GAATCTATGCTAAATCTGGAAAAGAGTATCATGAAACTTATCTTGGGATACAAATATATTTTGATGGCCATAGATCATCTTATATGATCTAAGAACTGTCCAACTAAAGACATTAAATTCAACGCTGCATGGGAGGCAACTCATGATTTTTATTTCATTCTATTTATTTATTTTAAGTTTTATTTTTCTTAAAATTTTGTAGTTTTTATTTTTATTTTTATTTTTTTCGAAAAAGTGCAAGAGGAAGAGTGTAAGATGAAGTGAAAAATTAAAAACAAGGTTGAGGTGATGTCTTTCTGAGCTTTATCATTTATGACAACATTTTTAGTACTTAACTACATAAATGCATGGTTCACTTGAAAATTATATTTTCTACATATTCCATTCTAATTGTTCTATGTCATTGAGGACAATGTCATTTTTAAGTTAGTGGGTGAAATATTAATTCTTAATTTATGTTGTACGACGATTAAGAACATGTGTTTGCATTAGTTTTCATGCTCACTTAGAAAAGTAACTAAAAAAAATCAAAAAAATTACAATATTTATTTTCTATTTCTATTAGGAACAATAGAAATAATTTACAGACTATCAAAAGTAGCAAAAAAAAAAAACAACCCGAAATTTGAAATTCTAGAGACCCTTTTCTCACATTTCAATCCCCTAGACATATATTATTGAAATTCGAAATTATAATTATAAATAAGATATTTTTGATTTATTTTTGACAAATTTATTATTACTAAATAAAGAACTGAAAATAGAAAGTAAAACTGTCAAAACTATTTAATTTACAAATTTCTTATATCATATTACATGCACAAAAAATTAAATCAATTAAATTGATTGATACCAAAAGATACTAGGAAGATTTTTATTGAGTTAAAAGAGTAATTTAGTAGCATGAAATATTAGAATACTTTTTGGATATATAATAAATAACATAGATTTGATTTTACAGATTTTCACTTCATGATCATGATAGATAATATTTACTTGATGTGAAAATTTGATTGATTATTTGAATTTAATAGAAATTTTTACACCCTTATTTATAAGACTTGTGAGGAGAAATCACTTATTTCAGAATTTAAAAAAGAAAAAGAGCAATGTGAAAAATCTAAAAAAGAAGAGTACATATGGAGGGTGTAAGACATCATTCTCATTATCGGAAAACATCTATAGAAAAACACTTGTTGTAAAATAAGCAGATAATGTGAAAGACTTGAAAACGAAGAGTAGACATAGAAGCTGTGAGACATCATTCTTATTGTCAAATATCTATAGGAAAAGTTACTTATCCACCATAGAAAAAAATAGAAGAAATATAGTGCAAACTTTAAAAATTAAGACATGAAAAAAAGAAAATGTAGGATCAATATTATTCTTAGATGAGTATTGATAATTGAAATATCTTGTGAATTATATCTATAAGTAAATAAGTGATAAAGATGTGAATAAAAGAAGTGAAGGTCTAAATTATTATTCTAATGAGTGCTTAAATATTTAAGTGCTTGACATCATTCTTAAATACTTGATATAAGAGTCCAAAGTGTCTAGAGGTGCATCATTTCTAATTGTATTTTTTTATGCATTGAAATATGATATTTTGAGATTTGTGAATTTTATTTTCATAATTCTATTACTAAGGGACTATCAATGATTTACGTTGACATGTGTGATAAGTCTTCATTATCATGACTTAATAATTAATAAATAATATAGTTTTAGCTTTAAATCATGATAAATATACTTATATTTGTGTTAATTTGTGAAAAGTGGCTTTCAGTTGGTTAATGTGATTTTTTTGCTAATTATATGATTTTATATGAATGTATATGGTTTTTATAATCTTATTTTTGAGATAAAAAAATAAAAATAAAAATAAAAAAATAAAAAAAGGGGGGCCTTGTCGGCCAGCCATGCCCGCAAGTAGGTTGGAAGCGTAGTTGGGGTAGAGCTGCAAGCAGGGGCTCGAGCAACTATGGACCGATGGGGGCACGTGTGCACCATCCCCTTCCATGTCACCGGTGGCCAGCCAACTGTGGGGTAAAAAGTGGTCATACACATGCAACAAATGGACTCATTGATTTTCAAATCTTGCATTATCATATATGCATGTCAAGAATCAGCGTATAACCAATGTGGGACTAAATTGGCGAACACACCTTCCCGAAATAATTTTGAAGGTTTTAATACCTAAAATACCTTTTGTTTATTAGGAGGTAGCTTAATGATATCACTTTATAAGGATATTTACGTACTTATTCTCTCTCTCTCATGTTGGCAGGTGACTAGCACAGGTTCAAATCTTACCAAAGCTAAAAGATGTATTTTTATTTGATTAAATCGTGACTTTTCTATAGATCGCCAATGAAGGATTAAGTTGTCAAAATCGTTTGATCATCGGCCAAAATCTCGTCAACGTGATTCGTAGAACATTGTTACTAAAATTATTGAACGATTCATGATAAAAGGATCTGAATCTATTAAGTAAATCATTTCCACTTGATCAATGAAAAAGTTGTTGGCGAGAAAAGGACGATATGCCAAGAGACAAGTCGCCACCTCTTGAGAACATATCAGATGCGATGAAGAGTCTCCTCTTACTGTGTGGACCTGAGGATGAAGCTCCCTAACATGCACCCCACCTCTATCTAGCTCCTTTCCGTCAGGTGATAGTCGCCGAAGAGCCACAAAGTCGTCATCTTTTCACTCTATTGAGTAATAGCCACAGAAGATGATTCAATGACCCATTGCATGGATCTCTAGACTTCACAAGAAGATTTAGAGATTGCTCACGTCGTCCTTGTCTAAAGAGAGCTTTCAAAGTCATAGACACTACACAATAATTCTTTCGAACGCTTAGGATTCCGGTGCATCATCAACACAACGTTAGAACTCTATTTTTTCTGCTTTCAACGTAATTTTTGCTTCATTTAGAAATAGTTTGTGTGATTTTAAATTTTTCAAACTACTCTTCATTCAATTACAATTTTTTCATCTTTTATAGATCTTAATTTGACTAATTAAATCGTTTGTAATCATTTATGTAAGAATCGTTGGATGAAACTCAATTTCTATTCGATTTACATTCGTCGGGTGCTAATGTTATCCTAACGTTCGCACCCTTATTTTCCTTTTTCGTGAATTTTAAATATATTTTATTTTTATTTCTCAATCTAAAATTTATAAAAAAATTATATTATTTGAGAAAAATTCTAAAATATTATCCAATATTATATTACATTCTTATGATTGACCTAGAAATTTACTACTATTTTTTAGAATTTTTATTGAATTATAATTGATATATTTATTTTAAAATACTTCTAAATACTTAAAAATTAGTATTTTTTAGTTTTATAAATTTTAAATTTACTTGATTTATTATACAATGACTAAGTTACATCAATGACATACTTAACGTCGCACTATGAAAATAATATGTCTAAGATGGTGAAGATTGTTGGAAACAAGTGTTGAAAGAGAGTTGCCATGATAGAGGTAGTGGGTGTCAAACGTTTTAGGACATTGACAAATATGATAAAGCTTGATTAGAACTCTAGTGCCATGAATTAAGGCACATTCTACAAGCCTTAGAGAGGCTCTTGATTTCATAAGGTTAGGATCCCCCTTGAGCATAATCTTGTGATCTTTGAACATAAACTAAATGGTAAAGTGTTTATAGTTGGATTCTATAGGTTCTAATGTTTGAAGTCATTGTATATTAAGGATGCTATCAATGTTGCTTAATCATATAGGCAAAAAACTATCTTGAATATTAATACCTTACAATTTTAGTAAAATAACTTCTCATAAACCTTTGCCATGAATGGAAAGACTATGCCCATGACAACCCAACAATTTGACATAGGTGAAGATGGGAGATGCATCTTATTGACTAGATTGGAAGAAATAAAGTTGTTTGTGGCCCCTAAAATGATAAGAATTGTAATGTCAAGGACTCTATCTTGTAGGAGTATGTTTGATCATGTTTGTGACATGAGTGACCATTTTATTGTTGAGGTATCAAAGTGGAGTTGTTATAAATTGTGGTAAGAGAAGGTGTTGTCATAGTTCCATAAATATTGATTATGCTTTGAATACACTGTTGGTGGCATCTAGAGGAACAGTTCTCGTGTTGGGGGGAGAGATTGTGTTCTTGAGGATCCATCAAAAAGAGACGAAGAATAGCTCTATGGCATCTTGTACAAAGATGGCTCACCTTATCCTTCCTTGCTTTGTTTCAAGATCACCCCATGTTTCTCAATAGTGTGTGTGTGTGTGTGCACAGTCTGAGGAATCCACAGAGAATGGTGGGGATCAAACGTTGTTTTTCTCCTCAGGGTCTAACCAAAACCCTCTTGACTCATATAATAAAGATTGTGGAAACTCCCTTCTCCCATCTCTCTCTCTTTCTCTCTCTCTCTCTCTCTCTCTCTCTCTCTTTCTCTCTCTCTTCTCTATGTTGTCCCTAAAAACAAGACGCTGATTCTTTATCTAGAGGGCTTATTATAGCTGAAATGTGATATTTAACATTGAAACATGCCTTTATATAATGCAACATACCTCATTTCGTAAGGATCAGGCTTCTCGCCCATAGATGATTTGGGAAGCTCCAATGAGCACAAACCCACTGGCCCTATTTTCCTATATGCCTTAATCCAGTTAACGGAATACATAAATGTAAGCAATCCTTATGTACTTTCGTTTTAATGTATAGATGTTTTACAACGAGACAAATAACTGTCATCTAGTCTGTAAAGTCCTCTCTCTCTCTCTCTCTTGTTGTCTATCAGTCTATCAATTAAATGCACCTTGTGGGCATCAACGCAAGCCATTTTATGTCTTAATCTAGTCGATAAAACGCATTAAGATAAGGAATCATGCATCTTCGTGCTAGTGCGCCAATCATTTCCAACCAGCCGAGAAGGAACCATCATTCTACCATGTTCCATGATTTAATCTGCAAAACCCTGATCCCTCTCTCTCTCTCTCTACATGAAGGGGTGGAGATCCTTGGCGGCGCTCCATCGGTGGAGGACCTTTCCGGCGACGTCATAGAAGGCGACCTGGAGACGGTCCCTCGTCAGCTCCATGGCCATGAAACCCTGCCCGTCGTAGAAAAACCTCAGCTTGTCTGTGTTAGGTGTGTAAATCCCTCGCCACGCCTTCGAGCCGGCTCCGCTCGTCAGGAAGTGAATCGGGCTGAAAGAATCATAGAGTCCAGAACAAACAGGTTATTATACGAAACCCCTAATCGAAGGCAGTGATCTGCTGATTGTGATGATGACAATCATGATTATCATCTCGGAGTCATTCTTTGACCTGTCGTTGCTGCTGATGTGCTCAAGGCAGTGATCATGGCCATTGATGTAGAGATCGACGCCGTTCGCCTGGAAGAAATTTGCGGGGAATCTCGTCAAGATTGGGTACATAATTTCTTATGCGGGATTATATTTTGATAATTTACAATTTTGTGATTTTTTTATAGAAAATCATAATACATACATTACATGGATTATTATTATTGAGATTATATTAAAAATAACTGAAAATGATATATTAATTTATCGAGTTAGACAAAAAAAATAACGAATATGGTAGTTATTTATAAAAATATATGTCGAATTTATGGATCTGGGGCTAATCTAGGATGCTGAGGTGATGGGCTACCTTGAGGACAGGGAGGAGTTGCTTGACAAGCTCCATGGTGTCGCCGTGGACGCTGACGCTCCGGATGGCGTGGTGGCCAACGACGAACTTCCACCTCGCCGGAGAAGCCCTCAGCGCCGCCTCCAGGTCCTACGTTCATGTGGGGGGAGAGAGTCAACGCGGTGCTGCGGAGAAACCCAGAGTCGACGCCGTGGATAGCATGTACCTTCAAGGTGTTGGCGACGTACTTTTCCCTCGGAGCGACGCCTCTGGAATCATAGTGGATCCCGTCTGGATCGGTCCAGTATCTCCCCACGAAAGGCGTCGTGTCAACGAAGAAGAACTAGGCGACGTCTGCCTCAGAGAAGCACCACCCATTCGGAGTAAGATTTCTCTTCCGAACGAAACACAGAGAGAGAGAGAGAGAGAGAGAGAGAGAGAGAGAGAGAGGACGACCTGCGTCCAAAGTGAAAGATCTCATGCAGATCCAACGCCCATCGATCTCCCGGAGAGCGGGGCTCAGCTGGGCGAGAGTGTCTCCCCGGTAGTCATGGTTCCCCAACACTGCAACAATTTTGTTTCAATTTTAGGGTATTTTCCTTCACCTTCTTGTTGCCGGAGGGACTGCCGGAGAGGTGGTCAACGGATGAGGCTCACCGCTGTACCATGGCTTCTGCAGGCTCCGGGCCGTGTAGATCTTGGTGAAGGACTTCTCGAAGGCTTCATCGTCAATCCCCGTCAACCCCTTGTCGTAGAAATTATCCCCGGTGGACACGACAAAGTCAACCTCCAATCTCTCTCCGACCCTTCCCATCTGATGGGCAACCGCTGATTGGTTGAACGCCCCTTTCCTCCCCCAGTCGCCGACCACCAGGAGGCTGATAGAGCCGTTGGGCTTGGCGGGGTGGTGGAGCCACGGGAGCTCCGCCGTGGCTGAGCTGAGGGGGGCGAGCCCCGCGACGAGGAGCGAGATGGCGCCGCCGCCGGCCATTGCTCCTGCCTTAGAGAGAAGAAGGGCTACGATCGAGAGAGAGAGAGAGAGAGAGATAATGGTGATGATGATGACAGAGAACCAGACTGGCGGACTTCACGGAGGAGGGTACGGTGGAGGATGACTCATATAGGGAGGAGGAGGATTGCGGTGGGAATAGCACTGGGATGAGGATGCCCACTTCTTTATCTTCAGGGAAGGACGGACCCAGCCCCACATGGCCGCCGAACACGGCGGCGTGATAACTTGTCCCTTCGCCGATCTCTGCGACGCATCAGGGAAGAGTATGCAGTTATATACATATCATTTTTAATTTATAAATGATAATTACCCGTCAGGCTATTTAAAACATATAATATATAATATTATATAAAACATATAATATTATAATATTATTGCCTTTATAAGATGTTGGACTCATTATCTTTGACTGCATAAACACAGAGGTGGAGATAGAGAGAGAGAGAGAGGCGCACCATGTTCTTTGTCGCATGGCCGTTAATGCTACAACTGCAGACTGAATAGCGTCACATGGCCGACCAGAAAGTCTACCAATTATACAAGCCTTATGCTCGCTGGCAGCTTATCCATACCTACTGATCAGCATTCCCTACTCCATCCTCTCTCTCTCTCTCTCTCTCTCTCTCTCTCTCTCTCTTTCTCTCTAGATGAAGGGATGGAGAGCCTTGGCGGTGCTCCACCGGTGGAGGACCTCGCCGGCAACGTCGTGGAAGGCGAGCTTCAGGCGGTCCCTCGTGAGCTGAATGGAGAGGAATCCCTGCCCGTCGTAGAAGAACATCAGCCTGTCCGCGTTGGGCTTGAACACCCCTCTCCACGCCTTGGAGCCCGCCCCGCTCGTCAGGAACTGGATCGGGCTGGAAGAATCACAAAATCCGAGACAGACAGTTTATCACAAGAAACCGTCGCAATCCGAATGGAAATATTCCCATCCGGGTCCACTAGACGGCTTTCGAGCTAGTCAAGGGCCACTAGAAGTATTTACTGTTTATAAAAATGCAACTATATATTATTTATCGAAGCTCAGGCTTCTTCTTCCTCTTCTTACCTGTCGTTGCTGCTGATGTGCTCCAGGCAGTGATCGTGGCCATTGATGTAGAGATCGACGTCGTTGGCCTGCAAAGAAGAGAACCCATGATTAACCAGCTCATCCTTCTCTGCGGTCTGGTCGCCACCGTCGCCGGCCAACCTTCAGCACCGGCAGAAGAAGCTCGTCGAGCTCCTTGGTGTTGCCATGGACGCTGGCGCTTCGGATCGGATTGTGGCCGACGACGATCTTCCACCTCGCCGGAGATGCCCTCAACGCCGCCTCCAGGTCCTGGGTACCACCGAAAACCAGTGAGTTCAGTCTATGTAATCTCCGCTACTGCTGCCGCCGCCGGCGGAAATTCGTCTTCTTACCTTCAGGAGGCCTGAGAGGTAAGCTTCCCTGGGGGCGACGCCACGCCAGTCGTACCGCCGGAGACCGGGGTGCTTCCAGTAGCGGAGAACGAAGGGGACGGTGTCCACGAAGAAGAACTCAGCAACCTCTGATGAAAGCAACCCGACCCTCCAAATTAGAATTTTTTTATAACGAGTAGAGCCGCCTGCCTGCTACATCTCTCTCTCTCTTCTCTCTCTCTCTCTCTCTCTCTCTCTCTCTCTCTCTCTCTCTCTCTCTCTCTCTCTCTCTCTCTCTCTCTCTCTCTCTCTCTCTCTCTCTCTCTCTCTCTCCCTCTCTCTCTCTCTCTCTCCCTATCTCTCTCTCTCTCTCTCTCTCTCTCTCTCTCCCTATCTCTCTCTCTATCTCTCTCTCTCTCTCCCTATCTCTCTCTCTATCTAGCTATCTCTCTCTCTCTCTCTCTCCTCCTCTCTCTCTCTCTCCTTGCCTCCCTCTCTCTCTCTCTCTCACTCTCTCTCTCTCTCTCTCTCTCTCTCTTTCTCTCTCTCTCTCTCTCTTTCTCTCTCTCTAAGTTGTCTTCTGTTTCTCCCTCTCGAGGTTACCTGCGTCAACTATGAACGATCGCATGCAGATCCACCGGCGGTCGATCTCTCGCAGGGCGGGGCTCAGCTGCGCGAGGACGTCGCCATGGTAGTCGTGGTTGCCGAGTACTTTCCGGGTTCCGATTGCAGATCAAAATGGAGTCAGAATAATGGAGTCTTCCCACATTACTTCAAAATAAAAAATCACTACTTTAGTCGTAAATAGGCCGCCGATGGGTCAGATTAGCCCGGCCCGCAAATAACAGCCTCTCTCTCTCTCGCGCGCGCGCGCGCCCTTGGAGGCTGTTTTCCGTGCTTTTCCGAACTTGAGTAATCCTCCATGGCTCGTGGCGATGGAGCCGCTGATTGTCAGAGGAATGGGTTTCCGGCAAGCCAGGACTCACCGGCGTACCATGGCTTCTGCAAGCTGCTGGCTGTGTAGATGTCCGTGAAGGACTCCTCGAAGGCCCTGTCTTCAACACTCCGGATCCCGGTGTCGTAGAAATTATCGCCAGTGGAGATAATGAAGTCGATGTCCAGCTTCTCCCCGACCCTCCCCATCTGCAAACCAGCGACACAGATCTAATCGGGGGGGGCACAGGATTCACAGAAGGATAGATAGAGAGAGAGTTTCTATAGAGAGAAGGGAAGAGAGTTTGTGGGGGGGGGAGTTAACCGACTGACTTGAGCAGCGACTTTAGACTGGTTGTAGCCACCCCTCCTGCCCCAGTCTCCGACAACAAGGACAGAGAGAGACCCGTCGTTCTTGGCCGGATGCGCCACCCGCTGGAGCTCCGCCGACGCCAGCAGCAGCTGGAGGCCGACTGCCGTCAAGGCGAGAAGGAGAACTGGCGGTGACCCGCCGCCCCTCCACCGGGAGAAGCCTCCGCCGCCGGCTGCCATGGACGAGAAGAGGAAGAGAGTGGTGGCGCCGGATTGCTTGAGACGCAGGCGATTCATTATTTTATAGCCGAAAGGTATGGAACTCGACGACCGACCGGTGTCGCCAGACGGTGGTGCCTTCCGACTGGTGGCCCGTCGTAAAAAGACATTTGCCGCAGTCTCATTGGCTGTGGGTTGGTGGGCCCCACAAACTCACCGGAAGCAACTTTCACCTGACAAGTTTGGTCGATTCGTATATTCTACTTGATAATAATAATATTTTAATTTGATTTTGAGAAAGGGGAACACGTGTGCCTTTTTTTATCAAAGTTTTCTATAACAAAAAGGCCTTTCTGTTATCGGAAACATCTTTACTTCATTATTATTCTGCTTGATAATAATAATAGTATTTTAACTGGGGGTTTGCAAAGAAAATACGACACGTGTAAGGTACCTAACCGTCCGATCACGCCACGATTATTGGTGAAACAACGATTTCGAATCTTCAGCCCCACGAAGCACATGGTCCGTCAACGCAGATCACATTTTACAGTCCGCCATTGTCCGCATGCGGACTGAGAGAACCCGACAAGGATCCGAAAGGAATCCTTAAATGGGATAATGATGTCAAATAATTATTTAATATCAGGGTTTCTATCCATCGCGCGATATTATATTTTACTATTAGAATTATGATCCTTAATTTTATATTAAAAAATGGGTTGTGCACTCTTGACTCTCTTTCTCTCTCTAAAACAACAAACTTATTTCCCGAGGGAGAGCTGAAGAGTAACCCACATGTTAGTATCATCTCTCCCTCTCCCTCTCCCTCTCTCTCTCTAAATCAATATTTCCCATTAAATTGGACCATTGTAAGGGCATAATAATAATATAAAATAACTCCTTACTCATCCAAGACCCTAACCTTGGTCATATATCCGAAAAATGGGTCTTAACATAAAAGTCAGATCTTTGGGCTAACGTAACATTTCCGAAGAAAAATGACCGAAATGAATATATTTTTCGAGAAAATTAATAGAGTAAAAGTGAGGGTCGTTCATGAAGAGCTCTTGTTGGGTCGGGCCTCTTTTCTGTCTGGGCCCAGAATCAAGGCCCAAATGTAATAATGGGCTAGTCGAACCTTCTCTCTCCCCTCTCTCCAGACACAACTAGAAGGCGTAGGCTACAAAAGGATACGAACCCTGCTACTTCCGGGCCTTTTCTCTAGACTTTTTAAAGGCATCGAGGCTGGGATAGCTTAGAAAGCCCGGGCCCACCGGATAGACTCTTTTTTTTTTTTTTAGATCGGGCCGGGCTCAATAAGTTTTTTTGTCGTATATGAAACTTGTCCTATATGTAACGGGTCGGATCCGAACCGACGACCGATAAGTTGGTCCCATATTTCCCAACAGATCACGGCCACGTGTAAGAATTTCGGGGCCCACAGACTTCCCGAATCACAGCCGTTGAGGAACGATCCGACGGACGTCGCCGTCTCCCAGGCACCGCCGCCCCTCTGCGAGCTTATCCAAACAGCGACTGCAGAGGGGTGTAATAGTAATTTACTCCCCACTTTTTTCCCACGTTTGCACAAGATGGACGACCGGCTCCTGTGGCGGGGGAGCAGAAGAAGCTCGAGGGCGGAGAGTTCTCCCCCCCAGTCCCTCTCCATCGTCCTCTCCTTCCCCCCGCTAGGGTTCGTCGGCAGACCGATTGTCCCTTCTGCGTTTGTGGAAGGCGGATGATCGGAAGCTCTTCCGCTTCTGTGCTCTGATCCTTATCGGAGGGCGATTTCACCGTTTCCTGTTGCCCCCCTCCTCCGGCCATGGCGTACCAGGGGAAGAAGCTCATCGGCAATCCTAATGGTCGGAATTTTCTGCATTGTTATGTTATTTTATTTAAATGTAGTGTTGATGCTTGGATCGTTGGTTTTCGTGTTGAGGCGTCATTTTTTGTATATGCATGCTGGTTTGATCGCGTGAATTTGGATGGGAGCCCCGTGTTGTCGTAACAGCTATGATCCTGGTGCATCAGTGTACAACTTAACTATGTCTATGATGTATTTTTGTGGAAACATACCACTGTTGCTCGGATCGTACGTTGTGGTGTTCGGATTTCAATTTTACTACTGCATGTTGCTCTGAAGATGTGAATGCGGATGAGAACTGCATGTTATCACTAAATTTCTAAAGCATATATGTAAATTTTAAACTTATGTTGCTTTTTGAAATGTTTTCTCGTTGATTTCTTAATTCTGTGGTGTCCGCGGTGGTGCAGACGTCGTGACGGAGTTCATAGAGGGCTTGGTTGAAACCTATCCTGGTTTGCAGTATATCGATGGTTTCCCTCAGGTGTTCTTTGATATGGCTAATACTCGTCCTTTTCTTACTTCTTTCAAAGTCGTGCGCCTACTGAATGAGACGTGATCTGAATTTGTGGAACGAAATTACATAATTACAGGTGAAAGTTGTTTTGCGGGCAGATGTCACGGGCAAAACTTATGACAAGGTTGCAGTAATATCTGGTAAGCCGATCTAAAAACTCTCTTTCTTAGCTGTCTTCAATCCATCATACATTATTCACGAGAGATGTTTAGACCATGATTTTTGGCTGGAGATTATTGCCCATTGACGCTGGGAACGAATTTAGAAATGGCCTCTCGATTGATGGCTCCAGTCTAGGTTAGGATTGGTCTATGCTTGCGTGAAAGCTGTCAGGTTGCACTTAAAATTAACCTGCTCATAGATATTGGTGAAAACTAGCGTTACTTTTCTGGATATCTAGTTTCCTTATTAGTCCCCCGGCATAAAGTCAGTTTCACTTACACTAATATTATGATGATATTTGGACAAAATTCAGGGGGTGGAAGTGGCCACGAGCCTGCCCATGCTGGCTTTGTTGGGGAAGGGATGCTCACAGCTGCTGTATGTGGGGATGTTTTCACCTCCCCTCCTGTGGATTCCATTTTAGCTGTATGATTGCGCAAAACCTTTGCTATTAGTAGTATTATTTTCTATCTTCAAATTGTATCTCTTGAATCTTAGCTAAAGAATCTTAATACAACAGGCTATCAGGGCAGTGACTGGTCCAATGGGATGCCTTCTGATTGTCAAGGTATAGTGACACCAAATTTTAATTTGTGAGTATGATTCCTTTTAGTAGATATTTCTCTTGCTCAGTGCCGTAGGGATGCACTGTGTTCAGTTTCCCTTTTTGTGCTTTTTTCCGTGTCTGGTGGTTTACGTGTGTATTGCGTATCAAATGCAACAGAATTACACAGGTGATCGATTGAATTTTGGTTTGGCAGCTGAGCAAGCAAAATCTGAAGGGTATAAAGTGGAGGTATTCTATTACCTTTCCTGTCAAATTATTTTTAATAAACTTCGTCTTTCTTTATAGATCAATTTATGATAGAAATGATATTTTTTAGATGGTTATTGTTGGCGATGACTGTGCACTTCCTCCGCCTCGTGGCATTGCTGGACGGAGGGGTCTGGCAGGGACCATTCTTGTTCACAAGGTATATTTTCTAGTTTATTGGACTTTGTTTTGTGATAATGGATGGTACATCAATTGTTTGCAGATTCAATCTGCCCTTACAAAATGACACTACAGAAAATTCTCTACTCTTTTATATTTTCTTCTTTTTCTCTCCCTGCTTGATGAACCTAGAGCAGTACCAAATCGCGTTACACAGTGATTTCTAGTAAAGATGGGAAAAAAATCGCTTTCTGGTGAAGTGGATTGCTGGAATTTGTTACTCCCTTTTTTCTAATTTACGATACACCTAGGAAGCACCAGATATGGAAAAATCTCATGTGACTTCATTTTTGAAATCCAAGTCACCCAACCATTAAACATGTCGACACCAAAGCATTTGATATGTATAAATCTAAAGAAATCTTTGTTGAAGTATTAATTTCCATGATATGCTTTATTAAAATGTGGATTGAAAAAGGGAAGATCTAAGTTGGTATTGGTGCAGTTCGGGGTGAACTTGAAGAAACTATACCATCCTATGGGTAGCTATCTTAAGGAATTAACTGGGCATGATTAAGTAGGGACGGGTCTTTTTCGGAATCTGTAAAAACTGTTTCGTCCTAGTTGTTAGTATTTCAATTTTCCCTATTTATCATTTGATTTCGTTCCTTATTTTTGCATTTTTTATTTTCAGCGATTTAATGACACATACTGATGAATGATATCTTAAAGTATTTAATTATAAATAAATCGTTCCCATTCCATTTCGTGACGAATTCTTTTTCACGAACTTCGATATGAAATGGGCATGATAAAGTTGGGGTGGGTCTTTCCTGGAATCTGCAAAAACAGTTTCGGCATAGTTGTTATTATTTCATTTTTCCCTATTTATCATTTTATTTTCACTACTTATTTTAATTTTTACTTTCAGCGATTTAATCATATATACTGATGCACGATATCTTAAAACATTTACATATATGATATTCTTGGAAAATTCCTTTTTACGAACTTTGATATGATATTCTGCTTAGTGGTGTGTGATGAAATGCTTCTGTTGATGGAGTTTAGGGATAAATATGCGTTAAAACAAATGGAAGAGAAAATTTGTTGTAACCTTAACGCTGATAAGATGAAATCCGGTCATCTTTGGATTAAGAAATGGGAGGGAGCACTAGAAAGGGTGTGGATGGAAGTTGTGGGGTTTTCTCCCGATGACCTCTTGGAATTTTGGAGAAGATTGATCATTTACGAGGAACATATTGATGATATCTTCGTATTGTTGTTTGGATTCAACTAACAAATGGGATGTCTTACTTTCCCCCCATAGCTCTAACGATTGCGTTTTTTTAGTTCGTTTCTTCCTGTATCTACCTCTCAGTCCACCGTTGGCATCTGACTGGTTAGCTTGAAGCTGAATCATATCACATTCTCACCATTTACCTTAAATTCCCGTTTTCATTTCCTAAAGTGCCATTACTACTAGGCTTAGTGATCAAGTGCCTGCTTCCAAAAGCATCTACACTTTTACTATAGCTATTTTAAAGGAATTCATACATTATAGTATTGCTTTATAGCTACCTTAATTATTGGAACAGTGACTCTTCATGGTCCTTTCAGAGTTCTGACTCTATTGTCCTCCTTTTTTTTGTGGGGCTACACTTAACAGGGTTCGCTTGTTTCAGAAATTTTACAATAGGACTAGATTACTTAAAAAACACATGAGGAGCTTTACAAATTATTGGAATAAGCTGAAGCATCTTCAGCCCAAATTATTCTTGGTCATGTGGACGTTATCAGACAATTGCAAAGATTCTTCTAAAACACAGTTATAGATCAAATCTATTATTTATCTTTGATTGGTACGATAGAGTATCTTTCAATGATGCTCAATATCACAGTCAAAGAAACATTTAGGTTGGTCCTCCCTTGCTGTAGGTTGCTGTTTCAAGCACTGATTGACCATCTAGCCTTGGTAATGCTCCCCTATTTGGACGATATCTGAGAGGCTTGTTGAGCAATTGTGGTAATTTAATGTAGCTCACTTCGAGCCCGTTTCAGAATCTCGTTTATCCTTGGCCGGAAACATAAAGACTCGACCCAAAGCAATTTAATCTTGCCTATGTTGCAAATAAAGTAAAAAATATGCTTTAGCTTAAATTGAAAAAAGTCATTACCATGAGATTATAGAATTTGTGGAAGATTGATATCGGCATTTGATATGTGAAATTTTTTTATTACAATTTGCATATGCTCCATATAGATCACCATTTCATCCACACCGTTTGTGATAGGTTGCTGGTGCAGCTGCTACTGCCGGTCTTTCTCTCAATGAAGTTGCTGCAGAAGCAAAACATGCAGCTTCAGTCGTCGGAACAATGGGAGTTGCTTTATCGGTTTGTACGTTACCAGGTCAGGTTACGTCAGATCGTTTAGGTCCAGGAAAGATGGAGCTCGGCCTTGGAATTGTGAGTTATAGTCATTTTAAGTTGCATTCACTGTGTTGGTTGGTTGTTTTTCTTTTGTGCAGTCTTGATGAGATTTTTCTTACGAACATAGCAGTGTTTCATGAAAAACAAAGGTTATGCCATACTTTAACATTGGAAACGAATAGAAAAGAAGAATATTAAGAGTAATCACTCCTGAAGAGTTGCCTGTTTCTTGCTCAAAGAAGAATATAGTCAATCAAACACAGATGTTAACCTTTTCAACTAATCACAGTAGCTACAATCCTATACAGAATGATGATAGCATCACCTGATTTACCTATTCACAAGTGGCATGTAAATCGGAAAGCGTTGACAATGTTATTCTCCATAAATTCTCATTTGATCAAGCACCTGCCTTCACAGCCATCTTCTGGGAATTTCAAGAAGAACAATTTTATCCATCCTTTCTGTTGTATTAACGATTAGACAAACACTGCTAACTCAGAACACAACCAGAATGGGTAATGTTCTTTCTCTGTATGCTAATGACTTGTCCCATTGGTTGTGGTTTGACATATCCTTTTTTCAAATCCTAGAGGATGGGTTTTTGCCTATCTACATTGTATTTTGTGTTTCTGTTTTTACTAGTCTAATATTACAGTCACAGTTTCGATTAATTAAATAATTATGTGGTTGCATCTCCCAATATTTCTCTTCATCTTTCACCATAGTGCTCATCACGACTTCTTGTGTTCTTTTTCTAATCATCTAAAACAATGTTTGAAATTTGAATGTGTTAACTTTTGCCCAAAAACCATTTATATCCTCCATAAGCACCTTTTATCGAATATCCCCCATTAGAATTCGCATTCCAGAGAAAGTGTCTGAAAGCTTTTTCTATTTCCACAGCATGGAGAACCTGGTGCTGCAGTGACGGATCTCCAGCCTGTTGATGTTGTGGTATCTCACATTCTTAAGCAGATACTATCAACGGTATATTCAATAACAGTGCCGAATCATACCATTTTTTCGTTACTTTTATTTGTGCTAATCGTTCCTAGATGTTATGGCAGTGGGAATTATCTTGTAAATGGATCCTCTAATTTCCCCCCATTCCATCCTTCTCAAGCGTGCATTGTAGTAAAATTTCATCATTTGTTTCTGAAGTACCGTTTCTGTTAATGAATGTATTCTTTAATATTTGAACTTGTATATTTTGTAAAGCATGCCATTAGAACACTTTTTTGTGAGTCATCACAGCCAAAAAGGTTGTAGGGAGAATGCCTTGCAAGATGTTGACCTTACATCTTGGAGGATGGTCAGATCTATTTTAATCTCAAAAGGTGCCAATGGTAAAATTTAAGCGTTAAAATATTCTGATTTGAAATTGTAGTTGTCAATTTTCTTAGTAAAGCAATGATTCTACTACTAGACACCTTGCCTTTAAATATGCCTATAGTTTTTTTTTTGTTTCAAAATGAATGTATTCTTTAATATTTGAACTTGTATATTTTGTAAAGCATGCCATTAGAACACTTTTTTGTGAGTCATCACAGCCAAAAAGGTTGTAGGGAGAATGCCTTGCAAGATGTTGACCTTACATCTTGGAGGATGGTCAGATCTATTTTAATCTCAAAAGGTGCCAATGGTAAAATTTAAGCGTTAAAATATTCTGATTTGAAATTGTAGTTGTCAATTTTCTTAGTAAAGCAATGATTCTACTACTAGACACCTTGCCTTTAAATATGCCTATAGTTTTTTTTTTGTTTCAAATATTGCAGGAAACTCATTATGTTCCTATCACAAGAGGAAGTCGGGTCATTCTAATGATCAATGGGTAAGTCCTTAAGTATTAGTGAATACTGTGTATTTCCTCAATGAAACATATAGATATGAGGTTCATTTATGACAATTGGATGACTGTTTCTGGGAGGAATCTTTAAATGGACTTTATTTTTCAACGCAGTGACCAATGAAAAAGAGAATGTAAAGGAAAATCCTCAAGTTTTTGTAATAAATGATCTAACGATTATTGATTTCTTAATCCGTATTGGTTAATCATGATATTGGGATGTAATCGGTTAATTACCCTTGAAAATCTAGATTCAGACATGATAAATCTTTATTTTAAGTTGACTTGTAAAACAAATCCATATCAATGTTACGATTGAAGAAAAAGCTATTTGCAAACAGGTTTCTTAAGGGTCATGTCTACTTTCCAATGATCTTAGATACGTACGTTTTTGCGTCCTGTTACCATGACTGAGTACAAGATGGTGGCTATTTTTTAACGAAACACAATCTCGAACTTTGTTCTCCGCATGGACCTTTTTTTCATGATTGTTCCGAACAAGTCTTAAGCTGGCCTTGTTTAATTTTGATTATACAGATTGGGCTCCACACCCATAATGGAGCTGATGATTGCAGCAGGAAAAGCAGTCCCACAGCTACAGCTGGAGCATGGAGTTGCAGTAGAAAGAGTTTACACAGGATCATTTATGACTTCTCTTGACATGGCAGGTTGGTTGGGGTCTATTTTACTTCTATTTTCCTTTTTCACAAATAAGTAATTCCAGTGTCATTATTGAGCAGGGTTCTCTATTACTGTGATGAAGGCTAATGCAGAGATTTTGCAGCGTTTGGATGCTCCAACTAAAGCACCAAATTGGCCTGTTGGTGTTGATGGTAAGAGATAACCCGTGAGTAGAACCATATTAAGCATGCTCCATTTTTCTTTTCATTTGTTTGACTCATCTATTTTGATGCAGTTTCAAAGATTTTGGCAGTTTTTTCTTTTCTTTTTTATGCTCGAGGATACAATTTTTCTGGTTGTTTATTTGTGTGGTCATTGTAAGGTCTCTTGATGGATTAAAATTATTTCTCGACACTTTTCAATATATATATACATATAGATTAACTATGTTGCATCGGTTATCTACCGATTGGAGGTTGAGATTATGCGTGCTCAGTACCCAACTGCCTGAGGTTATGTGGAATTGACTGATTTTGCTTCTTCTCTCCCAAAATATTCTGGATGTTGAAACTCACTGAGCACTTGCTTCTACAGAAAATAGACAGATTTCCCTTCCACACTGAGGATTGATCCAGTACGATGGTATAAAGATTCATTCAGAAAGAGGAGAAATACTTCATGCAGAAAAACGTATCTAATATATCAGCCCACAACGCAATCACGGATTTTTTTAATCAGACTGAGGGGTGTGCCGATGCATGTGAATTATGATTTTGTTGAATCGAATGAACATATATGAACAACTGGATGCTTCTAGTTCAAGGCATTTTGAGCTAGATTACAAGTTATGGCATTGGGTCAAACTATTGGGCTATGCAATCTTTCATTGCCTAATGTAGGCATTAACAGAAGTCATCCTGGCCTTTCTCTAGGTGCTAACTTTATTTATAGTGTTGATGAGTCATAATGCCCAAGAGTGCAAATGATTAAACGACTGTAGTGACCTTCAAACGACTTAAATATCTCTTTCTGTTCGCATAGTGGCTTTCTTCTAAGTGAGAAAATGACAAGTGATGAGCAAACCTAGTAAAAATATACTGAAACAGTGCTCATGTGCTGTTTCCCTCATGAGCAAACAGCTGCACTATGTACCATAAATCTTATCGTGCTCCCAATATTTCTCTGCAGCTGAGTGTTCATCTCTGTTAGAAAGACAGGTAATGGTGATTGTATCAGAGAAATGGGGATACATGTTCTTTTCTTTTCATCTCTTCTCACAAGTTAGGAGAATTTTTTGTCGTACATCAGGTATAATTATACAACCTGTAACTGATTGTGTTCTTGCCATCAAAACCTCGTCACATGACAGACAAGTAATTGAACTGTGATTCCACCGATGAGGTATTAATAGGATCTTATGATTGCCCTTTTCATGAGTTTGAACAAGATCAACTGCAGCTTGTTCTTTTCATTTTTGGGATCTGTATCTGTGATTAGACTTATGAAATAGTTTTAAAATGTTAAATATCAAACCTTTTAGTTTATTCTCATTCATATATGGTGTACTTCTATCATTTGATATTTTTCTATCACTAGTCATCTAATTGCCCGGTTATCTGGAATCACGCTAGTGGTAGGATATACCAGTGGGATCTGGTGCGGTATTCTTCGGTCCAATTTATGTGTGCTTTGATGTCAAGCTGATGAGCGAGAGAGAGAGAGAGAGAGAGAGAGAGAGAGAGAGAGAGAGAGAGAGAGAGAGAGATTAATGAATAGATTGATGGATAGATACATGGCAGTTTTTATCGATTTCATCATTGTTGTGGTGGACTTGTCCTTTTTCTATTTTTTTGAGTTTCATGGTAAAAAAAAAAGGATCCTTCCCATTCCTGAGAACTGAGCTTAAGGCGGATCTTTTGTGCAGGAAAGCATCCACCAACAAAGATCCCCGTCCCATTGCCACCTTCTCGATCAACAAGGAATGAAGAGGTAACCGAATTTTGTTTACTTTTTTGCCTCTGTTGCATAACCCACACGCATTTACTAGAATAGTACTATTTTCTTATATCGGTTCTGTTTGAATTCTCAACAAAATTACAAGACGTTGTTTTATATTTCAATTTCCAATATCAGATCAAATTATTTCACTGATATTAATTTTTACGTCGTAATTAATTCTCAATGAAATCACAAGACGTTACTTTATATTTCAATCTCTAAAATCACATCAGAATTCGGCATTGGTATTAATTTTTACATCGTAATTCTCAACAAAATTACAGGTATTAATTTTTTCCATTGGTATTGATTTTTTTAATCAAATTTTTACATTGGTATTAATTTTTATGTCGTAATTGTCAGCAAAATTACAAGAAACTGTTTTATATTTAAATTTTTTACGTCACATTGAATCTTCAGATTGGTTCCAGCTTTTGTATTCTAATTCTCCAGAGAATTACAGGACATTTTTGTGTGTATATATATTTTTATTATTATTTATTTATTTTTAACCATTCCTAACAAGAGTCTGAACCAGAAATGTCCTAGGTGGGTTCCCTTGCCCCCGACTAGCTCCGGTCAGAGCCCCGCAGTTTTTACCCATTTCTTAATGATTTTTTCACCAGGCGTTGACTCAACCTCAAGAGCTGAGGAAACAAGGATACGTTCTCCAAGCTGCCATTGAGGCGGCGGCAAACGCTATCATCGGTCTCAAGGACAGCTTGAACGAGTGGGATAGTAAAGTGGGCGACGGTGACTGCGGGTCAACAGTTGAGTTCATTCTTTGACCATTCCTGGCCATCATCTTCCATTGTCAACTCAATCAGCTGGAGGATGGATTTCCATGGTTTTGCAGATGTTCAGAGGCGCCGCGGCCATCCTGGAAGACCTGAGGAAATGGTAGTCTTCACGGCGTTCCTCTCCATTCTTTTTATTTCCTTTTTTGGGGTGCTTCATTAATCCCAGAAATTTGTCTTTTCTAAGATATGAATCTGAGCAGCCTTCTTCCTCCTCTGGCAGCTACCCGCTCAACGACGCTGCGGAGACGGTCAACGAGATCGGTGCCTCGATCCGACGGGTGATGGGAGGAACGAGCGGGATTCTGTACGGGCGTTCAACTCCCATTAATCACCCAGAAATTAGATTTTCCGAATTTTTTATTTATTTCTGTGCGGGTATCCGAATAGTCATCTCTCTCATCCCACCAGGTACGACATATTCTGCAAGGCGGCATACGCGAAGCTGAAGGAGAACCAGGCTGGCCCCACACCACGAGACTGTGAGATCGATCACCCAGCATATGAAGTTTCAGTAAATATTATTTATTTATTTAATTTTCTTGTTTGTTTAAATTTAGAGCGAAAATGTTCTTCTCTCAGGGGCCAGTGCTTTGGAGGCGTCCATTGCTGCGGTGAGCAAATACGGTGGCGCTTCAGCGGGCTACCGAACAATGCTGGACGCCCTCATTCCGGCCGCGACGGCTCTAAAAGAGGCGCGTGTTGCCGCCCATCTCGAAGATTTTCTTTTTCCTTCTTTGGGAAAAAAAGAAAAAAAACTCGTCCGCTTTTGTTGGCTGACCCTGATCTTGTTGACAGAAGCTGGATGTGGGTCTCAATCCCTTGGATGCATTCCTTGATTCCTCAGAGGCAGCTCTTGCTGGTGCAGAATCCACAAAGAACATGCAGCCCCAGGTCATCTCTCTCTCTCTCCCCCCCCCCCTCTCTCTCTCTCTCTCTCTCTCTCTCTCTGTTAACCTTGAACCCAATCAAGATGCTGTCTCTTCATCAAGAGGGCTTGTTACAGCTGAAATGAAATGTGATATTTAACGTTGAAGCATGGTTTTTTGGTGGGGGGATGCAGGCCGGGCGATCAAGCTACGTGTCCGGAGACATTGCAATGACAGTGCCTGACCCTGGAGCGGTTGCCGCTGCAACCTGGTACCGGGCCGCCGCTCTCGCCGTAAAGAGTCAGATGGCTCCTCCCTGAGCTGGTTTCACTCTCCTAACCCAGTGGGTTATCTCTATCTCTCTCTCTCTCTCTCTCTCTCTCTCTCTCTCTCCCTATATCTTCTCTTCCTCTCTCTCCTCTTTTCTTCACCATTTTCTTCTCTCTCTCTCTACCCTTGTAGGATTGTTAAGAACCCACCCGGCTTTCGTCTCTTGCCGTGCATGAGTTGAGAAGGCAATTTTTCCCACGGTTCACTTTTCTAAGTTGCGCGTACATCCGAGAGATGAAGACGAAGGGAGGGGTTCCGAGAGCCGGCCTCATCGGCATGCTGGGCCGAGCAGACTAATCCGGCCCGTTTCTTTCCGAAAATTCCCACGGAAATGGGCCATTAATTTAAACGAAGGGGGAGGAAAGATTCAAATTCAGTAAAAATAGGAAGAAAATGAGAAATAATGACCAGGTGAATTGAACAGCTGTCGATCACATTCTCCGTAGCCTTCATCCATCTCGTGATATCTCATGATGTGGAGAGAGAGCGAGAGAGAGAGAGAGAGAGAGAGAGAGAGAGGGAGATGGGGGGGCACAAGACGGATGACCTCATTCTATTGACCATCTCATGATACCTATGAAATTGTGAGACCCATGAGATGTAGCTAGAAAGATCATGAGAGAGAGAGAGAGAGAGATGTGGTGATCACATTCTCCAACTTTCATCTCATGAGTCCCATGGAAGCCCGCATATGAAAAGCCACGAGTCTCGCCAAGATAGGTAGAAAGATTGTGTGTGAAGCTGCCTAGATAGCTACAAATATTTTGAGAGAGGGAGAGAGAAAGACGGATACAGATTACGGATGGCGTCATTCTATAGACTTCATGTCATGATACCCTATGATACTCTGAACTGAAAGACCACCAATCCTGCAAAGGTAGCACAAAGATTATGAGAGAGAGAGGGAGAGTGCGAAGAGGTGTGATCACATTCTTCAGCATTCATCTCATGAGACCCATGGAAGTCCGCACATGAAAAACTACGAATCCTACCGAGATAGCTAAGAATGATTGTGTGAACCTGCGCCTAGATAGCTAGAAAGATTATATGAGAGAGAGCGAGAGAGAGAGAGAGAGAGAGAGAGAGAGAGAGAGAGAGGGTGATCACATGATCTGGACTTCATCTCATGTCACCCATGAAACTCTGCGCATGAAAGCGCAGTCCCGCCAAGATAGCGAGAAAGATTAAGATAGGGAGAGGAGACCCACCCAGGATGGCCGATCACATGAATGACCAATCCTCCCATGATAGCTAGAAAGACTATGAGTGAGTGAGAGAGAGGGACCCGAGACAGTTGATCACATTCTCGGGACTTCAATTCACGACCCACCACGAAACTCTGGACATGAAAGACCACCAACCCTGCCAAGATAGCTGGAAAGACTATGAGAGAGAAAAAGAGAGGGAGAGAGAAGCCCTGAGACTGGGGATCACATTGTCTAGCCTTCACCACGTGATACTCACGTAACTCCGGACTGAAATGGCCAATCCCGATCAATAGAGATTGAGCGAGCGAGAGAGAGAGAGAGAGAGCGAGAGAGAGAGAGAGAGAGCAGAGCATATCCCCAGATGAGGGGCGAATTTTGCTTGTATGTACATACACGGATTCATTCAATTCTCAAACAAGAGGTCAACATCGACCTGTCAAGGGGATCTCTTCTTACCCACACAACAAGAAGTCAAACATCGTATAATAAGGAAAGCAACCCTAGGGATGATACATCGGAGTTAGTCTGGCCGCATATCTACACATCCTAAAAGTCAACAAACCCGCAAACCAGAAGAACCCAAACCTACCTAATCCTTCGCCGCCTGTTTCCAGTATAACCCCCCCCCCCTCCCACCCCCCTTCTCTCTCAACAAAGAACCAACCATCCTGCATCTTCTTCTTCTTGGCCCTTCCTCCTCCCCCTCCACGAACATCATCAGAAAACTAGTGTACATCCCCGAACCTCCTCCACCTGCTGCATCATCAAAATCCGGCAAAAACCCAACATCAGACGAGTCATCGATTAAAAAAAACCAGTCTTGAAGGGCACAGCAGCTCACCTTCAGACAAGGGGGGGAGAGCCCGGCTCGGAGCCGCTAATGGAGGCAAAGGAGGACGAAGTATCCTCCTTTGAGATCGCCACGAAATTCAGCGGCGCCGTTGACAACCTCCTCGTCTCCCTGAAGAACCCGTTCTGGCGGCCGCCGGAGTACGAGCGGGGAGTGAGAAGCTCCGGCGTTGCGCTACCGAGGGAGACCCGGCGAGGCGCCGGAGTCATCGATCCGTTCAGGTAGCCGTTCCCTCGATGCCCATTTGCCGGTTTCCTGCTGTAGCTGCCGTTCCGGTTTGGGCTCGGCCTGGACCCGTACACTGATTCCCTCTCCGCCATGAGAAGCCCATGAAGCTTCTTCTGGTCCTGCCGGGTGAGAGAGGGAGAGGAGTGGCAGATGCTCAGGGAAGAAGAAGAAGACGAAGACGAAGACAAAGACAAAGAACTAGTAGTGGTGATTTAACTCGGTGGATACCCGGCGTCTTTTCTTCTCCTCTTCCTTCTGCTGCCGGGTGAGTTGATACTCCTCCAAGATGGAGACCAGACGGATCTGTGGAGCCAAGGGAGCTGCTGGTCAGCCTGTGATTATCAACGGATCACAGAGAGAGAGAGAAGAGAGAGACGGCTTTGAAGGAGAAACCAGAGCTCACCCCATCATAGAGGAACGGCTTATTCCTCTCATCCTCCCAGGCAAAGGTCTTCTTCATCAAGATGTCCACCATGGCTAGAGAAACCACAAACCCACAATTAAAAAAAACATTACAAAAGAACACATTTTGAAGCACATAGACAGCAAAGATCGAGACTTTGAGTCGCAAATACCAGGAATCTTGGTCACAGATATGCGGGCCCTCTCGGCCCGTTTCAGGTTCAGGTGGACGCCCCTTCCCGTGCTGTATCGGTTCTCATCCTACAGAAAAGAAGAAAAAAAAAAAAAAAAAAAACCCTGCTATCAGTAACTTAAAATAAATAAATAATACTAAATAAACACCTAATAAATAAATAATTCTATATATCTGCATGCGTTGGGGAAGTAAGTGGCCCCCGCCCCTTCCTTGCCTGGTTGTACTCTTCAAGCCACTTCTCCTCTTCACACGCCGACGCCCACTTGCCAATCCGGTCCATGATCTCCTTCCTACTCAGAGACTCTTCTTTCGCCTTCTCTATCTGCTCCTCCATATTCGCCAGAAGCTCCGAAGGATCCACAATGCCTAACATAGTAATAAATAATAATTAAAATAAAAATAATAAATAAATAAATCGTTGGGTCCCGGTGGGGGCCACAACTGAGGCGGCAGAGGATAGCTTACCGGCGTCTATAAGAGCAATAGATTTCTCAGGTGCGGTGCTGGTGTCAGGCTCGATGTGGGCCCACCGGCATATCTCCTCCAGCTCCAGCCTCTTTTTCAGCACCAGATCCTTCATCCGGCTGGCCTTCAGTTTGGTCAACCTCTCAACCTCCGCTGCTGTCTGTCCTCCGCCACCCAAAAACAACCACACAACAAAAGAAGAAGAAAAGAGATTACTATAAGTAGATGAAACCCAAGTCCTCTGCCAGCCAAAAAAGGTTCCGACTGATCTGAACCTGCTCGATTGTCTCCAGAGAGAGAACGCCGCCCTCCTTGATATCACAGTCCAGTGATCGGACGACGGATCCGAGCCTCTCAAATCCCCCCCTTTCGTCAGGGCCTGAATCCATCAAGCTCCACAGCTCGAACAGGGCCGTCATGTTCTCCCTCAACTGAATTATGAAACAAAGCTAATCAGAGAGAGAGATAGAGAGAGAGAGAGAGAAAATTTGCCAGGGGCCTCTGTTCCGCCACCACTCTCACCTTCTGGACCCGGGAAGCCTTCTCCGCCTCCAGGTTGTGGACGGCCTGCTTCAGCCCCTCCAAGGTGTTGTCGCTGATATTGGTCGACGACCCGGTGGGGCCCACCTCATGCAGGCTAGGGTGCACCCCGTCAACAGTCTTGGAGAAGTCCAACCCAAGAGTGCCACATAGGCTGTGGACCTCATTGACGTACTCAAGGACCTTGTTGAGCCGCCCTGACTATAGCCCATGATGGCCCATTATGGTCCACAATTTAAGAACACAGCCCAAAAAAAAAGAGAATTAGTCCTTTAAATATGAGAAGCCCACAATGACCCACATTTTGGTAATTTTTAAAAAAAGCAGAAATTAGATGGGCAATTCGATCAAGATATGTAGCAGAAAAGTATGTTGGAGATGAAAATAAGGAGAATTTCTTAACTATTACTTTGGGATTAACAAACCCATCATCACCCAAATTATAAAAAGAAATAAAAGCGGAAATTAGATGGCCAATGCAATCAAGATCCGGAGCAGAAAATGTACATTGGAGATGAAGATAAGAAAAATTTCTTAAATATTAATTTGAGATAAACAAACACATCATGACCCACATTTTTCTTAAATGTTGACTGGATGTGAAAAACAATTAGACTTTCTTAGAGATCAGTGCGGGATAAAAATAAATTCATAATGGTCTCCATTTCAAAATCAAAATCAGGTGGGCAATTGGATCAGAAATGTAGAAAGGAGACAAAATTAAAAGCTTACTTTATATTAGCTTGGGATGACCAGAAATTGATGGGCATGCGTTAAATACCTTCTCCTTCTGCAGAGCCCGAAGCTGGGCTTGGTAATCGCTGAGCTTCCTCAGCGAGAGATCAAGTTCTTCCACATCGGCAGGGCATCCCGGGCTGTCGTTCAAGTGAGTGTAGCCTGAAATCTCCCCACTGATCTTCTCGATCTGCGATCTAATCTCTATTAGCTGTTTGAGACGTTCCATCTTCTTCAATCTCAGCTCATCCAGCAGTGGTGCCACCAGAGCCAGCTGCTCCTTCAGTGACAACCTTTTCTCTGTCTGGGTACATCAGAAACGAATTGCACCAGTTTATTACTTTCTCTCTCCAACAAATGCCACAGATTTGAGTAAATTCAGACCACAAACCCACCTCAAAGAAAAACCATAAATTTGAGGATATTCAGTCCACAGAAATGGCAAATCAGAGAGCAAATACACACCAATTTACATAGGCACAGCCAGATTTATAGACCATAATTAGCGTCTTGACCCAAATCGTAGCGACCTGGGGAGTTTCTCTCTATAATTTTTCCTAAAAGAAGATGATACTGCCTATAAGTGAGAATGATAGAAATAGGGAGCAGCCTTTGAGGGGATGATCATTGTGCCCTAAAAATGACCCTTTATACAATACATCAAACCCTCGAGATAATAGGATAATCAATGACCTCCATTAAAAAAAAAAACCTCTCTCTCTTTCTCTCTCTCGCTAACAGAGAAATAGCTACCCAGAAGCCAAAATCTATCCACCATTCCCACACCCGGACAGAATGATCTACCCACATCTGAAAAATAAAATATAAACATAAATGGCAAGAGAGGAGGATGGTGAACGGCTCTACCTGTGCCTGAGGTGTGTGCTCCCCGAGGGATGCCCTCAACGCGGCTAGCTCGGCCTCCTTTGCTGCCACTGACTGGTGGAGCCGGGTCCTCTCTCCTGTAGACTCGTCCACCTTCCTCCGGTACACCAGCAAGCACTCCTTCTCCAGTTCGAACAGCATCCGGTCCTTCTCGGCGTCGCTCTCCCCAATCTCCGTCCATAGGTGCTGGATTTCCCAGGGGCATGATCAACAACAGTATCCAGAAATAGCACATATCTATGAGTAATCCCGTCAGCATATATATACACACATTAATAAAATTACTTTTTCAGCTAAAAGTTGAAGAACATGAGCAAGAAATTGAAGATCTCCACACGTGCTAGGTTTCAAGGGCAGAGGAGCAACATGTCTTGCACAATTAGCACATTTTTAATCTGATTTACGTATATTAATTTACTTTTTTTTGCCACAATATCAATAACATGTTCAAGAAATCGAAGACCTACCGAAGGAAAAAAAAAGAAAAATGAAAAAAAGGGGGGGGGGATTTATTTCGGTCCAAATGTGCTGGTTTTTACAGGGACGAGGGCAAACGACATTAAAAAAATATATTGATTTTTTGAACGTGTATTATTTGAGATATATGTAGATAGATACATTAACCCACTTGATTCTCTCAATTGAACCAAGAACATGAACTAAAAATCGATGGTCTACTTCAGAACAAAAAAAAAAAAAAACTTATTTCGGTGCATGTCTGCTGCTTTGCCAAGGGAAAGATATCAACAAAGGTGTCGAAAAGTAACGAATCTCTGGCCCGAAATCGTCGATGTACATAGATCAATTAACTTTCTTCACCTAATTGAATCAAGAACACGGGCAAGAAATTGAAGGCGGGCCCATTGCAGGAAAATTTATGTATCAATCACAAGAATTATGAGCTCCTGCATTGTCATATTGTGCGCATTCACAGGTGTAGACCAGTTATATGCGGCTAACTTCCAGGGTGATAACCATTTCTGGCACAAAAATCAGAATTCGTAGAGCAAAAATACGTGCTCATCACGTACAAATTAAGTGTCTGCCGGTGAAAATAAAGATATGAAAATATTTGCCCGTGAAAAACAATTTTGACAAAAAAGGTGGTAAACGGTGAGAGAGGAATGGGGAGATGAAGTTTCAGCAAAAACAAACTGTCTCGAAGATGAATAAAGAAGACGATTTTCTACTCGAGGAAAAAAATACACCATTTCTGTCCAAATTCTCCCTAATAATGAATAGGAACAGACAAATGTGATCAAGAGAGAGAGGTAGAGGGACGGATAGAGAGAATGAGGAGGGGGTAGAGAGGGAGAAATAGACAGAATGAGGGGAGAGAGAGCCAGAGAGGGAGAAAGAGAGAGAGAGAGGGAGAGAAGCAAGCACCTCTAGTTCTCTGAGCAGTGCACCACAGGACGACTCCATGCTGATCCCGGTCGGACTCCGCGTTCCCGACTCGACAACCCCCACCATCTCAGAGAGAGAGAAAGAGAGACAGAGAGACAGAGACAAAGAGGAAGCAGACCCACGATCAGGAAGAAAAAGAGTAGATTTTGATGGGGAGCGTAGAGAAGGCCCAGGATGAAGGAGACCTCCGGGGTTTCCCTCAAGAAATCGGAATGGGAAAGATGGTGGGGGAGGAAGGACGAGGACGCTGGCCCAGGTCTGGAAAAGCCTGCATTACTTCGAATCTGAGACTCCTGATCCAACCAAACACGCCTGTTCTCCACTTTCTCTGTCTGACCCTCTGCTCCTTTAGCAACAGCTTCCTTTTCTCTTCTCTTCTCTTCTCTTCTCTTCTCTTCCCTTCCCTCAGGAAATCACAGTAGTGAGAGAAAAAGAGAGTGGGGAAGGAAGAAATTCTACACGGAGAATGCCGCAGCCGTTGAACCCGAGATCAAAACGCAAAAAGCACCGAAGACTGTGTCGTGCACATCGAGAGAGGGGAGGGAGAGAGAGAGAGAGAGAGAGTGGGTTCGCTGGATGCGAGGACTTGCGCTGAATATTTAGGGCTTTTAGCAGGCGGAGAAAAGAATTATATAGAAAGAGAGCCTAGGGGAAGGGAGGTTTTCGGGGAAGCGGGTGAGGGAGCTGAAGAAAAAGCCAGGGAGACGCCGCCAAAACCTCGCCATTTCCTATTAAAGTACCCAACCAGTTGCAGTAAACCAGCTTCTGGGGGAGAATTCAGCCGGCCTCCGCCATTAATAAACAGGAGCTGGTGGAAGAAGCTCCCATCTGATCCTTTTTTACATTTCTTTCTCCGGGTCCTGGTATTTTGACCATGATATCTGACCAGATCCAAAATATTGTTCCCCGATGCCCTCTTCTTGTTGATCCAATCATTGATTGACGAGGCCCGCTTCCGGCCAGCTCAGTCAACCGCAAGGTCGGCAGGAAAATGGACCACGTAACCTCCCCGCCTGCGGGGTACCCCCACCATCACCACCCTGTTCTTGAATAAATTAACTCCTGGAATTCGGTGGAGAAGTAGATAATCAAGCCCTCCTCTGGTCCATCATAGTCCGCCGCGTTTAGCATTTCTTTTCTCACAATGGGTTTCAGTCTCCCCCCCACACGGCAAGTCTGTTCGGGATTTATGTCCTCGTTCTCTCTTCTCCTGGTCTACATCTTTTCCCAAATCTAACCCCCATTTCTGTCGGACTTTCTCTCTCTAGGTTCCCTTCACATCCTCCTCCCCCCGTTAGAAACCCTCTCTCTCTCTCTAAGGAGGACGGATAGGCCAATGGGGCTAGCTGGCTCTACCACCCGAAAAGAGATGAAAAGAACCAGACTAACAGTGTACCCACAACGGCTGAGGTCAAGGAAGATTCCTTCTCTTCCACCCCATGCAAGTGGACCCAGCAGGTCAACCATCAGAGTGTTTTTCACTCTCTCTACAGAGATAAAAACCCCACCTTTATGTAGAGAGAGAGAGAGAGAGAGAGAGAGAGAGAGAGAGAGAGAGAGAGAGGATGCCATGAAGATCGGGCAACCAATACTCTTCAAGGTCGTGGAAGTCAAGTCAAGGGGTTTAAACGGTGTCCTCTACCTTCTCATTCTGACGGCACTCATTTATAATAATCCTGTCGGTAGGTCCATATTTTCCGTTTTATTTTCCAAGGACAATCCTCTCGTACATCTCTCCTAAAAGGTACATGTAGACCCATCCAGGCTCTCTCTCTCTCTCTCTCTCTCTCTCATCAACCTTTGATTATATCAAAATTTAGGATTTTTATAAGAATTCATAAATTAAATAATTTTAAATAAAAAATTTAATTATATTGACGATAAAAAAGAGTACATTCCGAATAAAATTGAGGAAAATAGAGGTGAGGATAAATTTTGGTATAATTATAAGGAAGTTTCAGGGTACCAAATCATAACCTAGTCATCATGTCTCTGATGTGACCTTTCATCACCCGGGGCAGAGGACGAGGTTTAGGGACAAGGTGAAAAAAAAATAGGCGCAGCCAATTGGGTACTAAAATGAAAAATATACCATCCAACTCTAAGGGTGGGTAGGCTCCTTTATCCAACACATCAACGGATTGATGGGTTCCCCAAGGATTTTTTTCCCTTATAATTTGTTTTTTATGTAAAATTAAAAATTAATTAGAATTATATCATATACTATATCCGCATATTTTTTGGTATTTTTTTTCTAAATTTAATTGAAAAATTATTAGAATTATATCCTCTTAATTGAGATGTTTTGTTCAATATGTGGCTTTTCTAAGTCCAATTGAAAAATAATTAGAATTATATCATACACTATCTCCCCTTAAACATAATTTTAAAGTTATTAAACGAAAATTAGAGATCAAATCTAAAATAATATTATCAAGTTGAAAAAAAATATCGTAAAACCCACAATCTATATGGTTTGGCTGATGAATATATATTTTTATTCGATGTGGGGGACTATTAATCATATATTATATCCCCTTAACCTAATTTTTAAGTTCTCAGCCATAAATTAAAGACGGAATCTGGAGTGCTCAAATCAAAATATAAAAGTTAAAAAATAATTATATTAAAAATAAATTATATGGTTCGGTCGCGGAACGTACTTTTTATTCGATGTGGGACTATTCGTCCTCTTCTGCCTCCACAGAATCGGCACCGCCGCCTTCACAAAAAATAAGTGCAACGGAGTTCCGGAGCCTTCGCTTGCCGGCGAGGTCTTCCCCGCCGGCCGTCGGCATTTCCTTATCCCGTAAGCGAGACGGCCGCCGCCATTTATTCCCTCCGCCGCCGGTGGGTGAGGGCGGCGGTGGGCCCCAGGAAGGAGGAAGAAGAAGAAGAAGAAGAAAAGGAGGAGAGAGGAAGAGGGGGACAAGCGAACCGCATATTAGCTGGCGTTGAAGGCGACGGCCCTCCGGTGGCCGGTTCTTCTTCCGGATCCCTCCGCCGCAGCCGCCATCGCGGCAGATCCAGAAAAACGATGAGGATGAGAGAGAGAGAGAGAGAGGAGGGAGCTAGGATTAATGTAATGGTTTTTTTAGAAAAGCCCTCTTAAAAACAACGAATTTCTATTTGGGTTTACAAGGTGTTCGCTGAAAATAACTTTCCTAAGCCATATTAAAATTGAAATTTGAATACTTATCGATATATTTATTCAAAAGATTCCAGTTTTGATGGGTCTCTAGCAGCACATATGATTAATGCTTACCAAAAAAGAGGACTTGAATGGTTCGGCTATATGGTTTTGATCATATAGTTTTATGAATAAATTATTTGTTTATTATTTTCATAAAATCGGAATATTAAAAATTGCTTATATTATGGCAAGTAGGAGGGAAGGGAGGGAATCCAAAGCTTTCCGCTACACTTGAAGAGGACCACCCCCACATCCACCAACCGGTGGATTGGGGAAATTTTTAATGATATCCATTGGGAGTACTTTAATTGTAAATTTAACGAGTAAACGCTGTAAATTGATACAAGAGGATTATAACTCGCTTTCGAGGCTGAAATCCAAATATTGGGTCGAACGGCCTTGTCCATGACCTAGATGGCGCAACTGTCCACGCCACTGTCCTAGCATTGGATAAGCAAGAACTCTCTCTCTCTCTCTCTCTCTCTCTCTCTCTCTCTCTCTCTCTCTCTCTCTCTCTCTCTCCAATGAATAGTTCAGATAGTTCCCAAGCTAGGAAAACCAACATTGAGATCAGTTAACTTACGATCCCACTGTCCTTCAAATATCTTTTACATCTCTTCCCACGTTTCTCTCTCTCTCTCTCTCTTGGCTAGCTATATAACGTTATGTATGTACGTATATGTGTGTGTATATAACGTTATTAGTAAGTAGGATTGATGGGTGTTAAACTAAATGCTTTGCTACATGAACTTTGAAGGCGTTATGGGCGTCAAAGGGCGCCATGCATGGCCACTATTATGTGGTGGGTCATCATCAATCATCCTATCCATGAACAATATATGTCCACATATAGATCATATCTCCATACCTAATATCCCACATTTATATTCCCAATAACATAAATTACAATCCTTAGGTCTAGTTGACAGTGATAACTCTCTCTCTCTCTCTAATAACATAAATAGGAGTCATTAGTGATCAAGCCAAAAATTTAGACATAATTTGTGCCAATCTTACACATCTGAACTCCCCATCATAGAAATTATGATTATTAGGTTTAATTGAAGTCCCGAAATCTCCTCTCTCCTATCAATTCGTGTGTATTCTGGAATCAAATCTGACCTCCTGAATCTTCTAGATTAGCCACAAACCACTATATGCATGATTTTCCTTAATATGGAAAGAGTAAGGTGCTGAAAGGGATGGTTATGAGGCCATTTCTAACTAAATAAGCTCAAGTAAATTGTGTATTGACGCTTCACCTCGTGAAGGGAGTGTATGGGTGCCATGTGTGGCTGCTATTCTTTGATGGGTCTATCTCACACACATTAATCGAAGCGACCATGCTTGCACATAAAATCTTTAATTGGTAACTAAATGTCTAGCATCATCCAGCTCTCTCTCTCTCTCTCTCTCCCTCCTTGTTTTTCTCTCTAACTTATGTCCATAGTTGATGCGACTTCGATTGGACATAGCACCAATAGTCGTCTACAAAATGCCAATCAGTGATCAGGTCTATTCACCAAATTCAATCCAGTAATATAATCCTAGGTTGTTAGGTGTGCTTGAAACACCTAACAATCAATGTTAATAGCATACAAAAATGCTAATTAAACAAGCCAAATTGTATTCTACTTGCACGACCATGAGTATCATGTGTAATCGACAACCAAAAAGTTTTACCCCTCGCAACGCTCAAAGTTGTCATTCTCTACCTCTCCCTTTCTTTCTCTCTCTATATCATATGTTCTAAATCACTCCCACCCGTGTACCATATGTATGATCTATGGGACTACGATTGGACCTGATACCAAGACATAAGAACAAAATTTCGAATATCGATTTTGCCTACTCACCTAATGTTTGTAAGCATGTTACATTCCTATCAGCTTTAAAAGGTTTGCTATACGCCATCTACATACTTGTGTGTGCCCCCCCTCTCTCTCTCTAGTAATCAAAATGTCTGCAATCCATCAAACCTGAGTACAAAATCAACCCACTAACATTCCCAATAATGCAAGGGAAGAGAATCAAGAGTCTTTTGACGCTTAGAAATACCTCTCTCTCTCTCTCTCTCCCCCTCGCTCTCGAATAGAAGAATGTGATGAATCAATTGCGCCAACTTCCCGAATTGGAGACGGCTCCATTCATAGTACAATAGTTTAATGTATTGGATGTAGTTAACATAAATACCTATGATAAAAATAGTAATTGACCCAAGAAAATAAGCACACGTATGGCTGTGCAGGTATGAGAAGCTTAGGTGGCACCTCGCATCGAACGATTGACATGAGCCGACCACCGGTTCTCTATCCTCCTCACGACCACGCATCATTCACTTACCTGGTCAGAAGTCCCTTGCGGGTTCATGAAATGGCAACTAATTTGTTGGTTCCTCTCTCTCTCTCTCCTCCCTCTGCCACAAATGTTCTGCACTTACCTGGTCAGAAGTCCCTTTTGGGACTGTGATATGTCAAGCTAGATGTTGGATCCTCTCTCTCTCTCTCTCTCCCTCTCTGTGTCTCTATCATCCCACCGCCGAGTATCATCAACTCACCTGGTCAGACGTCCCTTTTGACGTTGAAGGTGACTACTTGCTGGTCTCTCTCTCTCCCTCTCTCTCTCATATGCTGACATCAGGAGTGTCGCCATCTCATTCTCCAGTGTGATATCTACAACCGGATTCTCTCCTCTCTCTCTCTCTCTCTCTCTCAACGTACATATGGCTGGGCCGAAGTCGGACCCCAGAACCATGTCCTAGAGAGAGAAATTTTCTATCTATAAATAGGAAATCTATACTATCTGACATATAAACCAGTATCTTGGACCCATCCGATGATTAGTGGGAATCATGAGGGGGAGAGAATGGTCTCCAGGGCCCAATCAAAAACTCGATCAGTAAATGGCCTCAAGGGCGTTCGTTGAAACTACGAGGACGCCCCCCACTCCCCACCTCTCACACGTGCTAGCATTGATTAAAGTTAGTATGCGAGCGTGTGGCCACCTCCAAATAAAAAATACATTCGTTATGAAACATATTTATAATATTTCATAAATTTAACATCAACGGGCCCGGGGCCGGGCCCAAGCGTTTGCATCATCATGTTATCCGGGCAAAGAGAAAAGCATAGAAAGTAACCCGACCCAGGCCCGACTTCCACCTCTCCAAGAAGATCGAGATATAGAGATGAGAGAGAGAGAGAGAGAGAGAGAGAGAGATTGGGCGTTCCAAGGGAGACGTATGGACAGGGACCCGGCCGGGCCTATTTTTGGACGTATATACGGGTCGGCCCCGGGATCTTTCAGGGCCAATTCGAGCCGGGGGCAGGCATGGATATTAATTGATTAATTAATTATCCGGTAAAGGAATAATTAGTAATATTAGTCTTATTATTTTTAAGGCGCGTCCACCCTTCATGACTTTGAGCGACAGAGGGGAGGATAAGGCCAAGCCTTTCTGTTATGCCGTGGCCTCCGCGCGTGTGACAAGTGACGTACGTGCGGGCCTCGGCGGTGGGGGCCACGGCAACGGATGAGCCGAACGTGTCGAGAGCCGACACTGAGGGGAGAGAGAGAGAGAGGGACGGGTCCTCCGTCGACGAACAGCGGCCATTTTCCCATCCCCTTCCCTCTCTGTGAACGAAGTGGCAGACAAAAATGGTGCACCTCAACCACCCTTGGGTCCCTTATGTCCTCTCTCTCTCTCTCTCTCTCTCTCTCTCTCTCTCTCTCTCTTTCTCTCTCTCTCAGCAGGGCTTCACTCTTTCACCTATGGTAAACATAAGTTCCTTCTAGTTTACCATGGGCACCGGAGTGAAGCGCTGTTGGGAGAGAGAGAATGAGGGAGGTAGAGAAATGGAGAGAGAGAGAGAGAGAGCTGCTGCGGGGGGCAACGTAACGGCGCTACCATGCAGCGAGCGGAGGGGTACCATGTGGCGGGTAAACAACCTTACGACCCGGCCCCCGTCAGCCCATTTTAACGTTAATGGGCTGATTGATAGCCCACTAAGATGCCAATCTACAAGAAAAAAAAGGAAATTATGAGACATCAACGGGCCAAAAATGTTAATAAAATATGAAATGGGACTTTATAATAAGAGATTTTTTTAAAACTCAAATTGGCCCGAATATTTATGCGGGGTGCCAATGAGTTGGGCCGGATATCGGCCCAGACCGGCCCGATTTTATAAAGCGAACGTGAATGATGGGCAGTTGGGCCCAGTATGACCGTGCTTGACATTGACCAGGACCAGCCCAAAATGCATTAATTCATGAGTTATAATATTCTGGGCCATACTTTAAAAAGGAAAACAACTACTTAGTTGCGGGCTCGATTCAGGATTTTCGGGCTTGGGTCCATTTACAAGGCCCGGTTTGGAAGGCAGGAAAAGAGCCATGGCCCACTGGATCGGATCAGCGTACTAGGTCAGACCAGATCAGCCCAGTTTTTCTTGGGCTTCGCCCGTTTTCACATAGGCCGAGCGGTCTTTGTCCTCAGCGACGTGGGCCTGGAAAGACTAAATGACGAGAATTCACTCATTCACCTTGTTGCCCATTAGTTGCCGGCCTCGCGGTAGGGAGAGAGAGAGAGAGAGAGAGAGAGAGAGAGAGAGAGAGGGAGACGGAGGCATATGATGGGCAGAGGGGCGTGCCCTCATGTTAGAGAGAGAGAGAGGGAGAGAGAGAGCCGTTCAAACAGAAATTTTTGGGTCTGATTCATGTACAAATAATACACGAGCAATTTTCATGGGCCCCATGTTACATATTTGTACCTCTCTCTCTCCTGCCCACGTCATTTCTCTTCATCCTAATTCCCTTGCCATCATCCCTCTCTATCCTTCATCCTTTCCCTAGTTACTAAATTCTTTATTTCTCTCTCTCTCTCTCTCTCTCTCTCTCTCTCTCTCTCTTTCTATCTCTATCTCGACGTAATGGGCTTCCTCTCGTTTCTATTTTCTCAAACCGTCATCTCTCTGTCTCTCTCCCCTTGTCCTTTCCTTTCTTTTATTGTTACTCTCTCTCTCTCTCTCTCCCCCACACCCAAACATGGCCTTTTCTCATGGTGACACCTGCTCTTTTCTCTCCTCTCCGTGGTTTCTGTCTTCTTATTCTCTCTCTCTCTCTCTCTCTATAATCCCCTCTCCCTATCATGGCCTTCCTCTTGTTCCTAACTTCTTCAGTTCCTGTCTGTCTCTCTCTACCACGACCTTCCTCCCGTCCCTAATTTCGTCTAAGCCCCTCTCTCTCTCTCTATCTACCACGGCCTTTCTTCTGTTAGTAATTTCGTCTATGCCCATATCTCTCGCTAGGGAAGCGTCGAACCAAGGGGTTACTCGCTTGTATATAACGTGAAACAATGGAAAGGGTACATTTACGAGTATTACTTGGACAGTATAGTGCAAAAACGGATGAAATGGCATATTAATAAATAAATATGATAACAGACATTTTTGAAATTACTTAATATAACAACGGGCTATCTGAAAGTTTGCTATTTTTATTTCAATGTGCCCCTTCTCCCTTTGACCGACGTGTAGAAAAATCTCCGGCCACTTTCCCGTCTCTCTCTCTCTCTCTCTCTATCTTCTCTCTCCGATCTCTGATCTCTCGTCTCTCTCGTCTCTCTCCTCTTTCTCTGTCTCTCTCTGTCTCTCTCTGTCTCTCTCTTTCTCTCTCTACATCACGGCTGCAAAGAACCCTAGAGAGGAAAATTCTCTCTCCTCTCTCCTCTCTCCTCCGGCGTAAGTGTTCTCTCTCCTCTCTCTTCCCCTCTCCCATTACGTATTTATGGAATGGTTTTACCTACACAGTACGCATCTCTGGTTTCCGGCCATTTCTTCAAATTCCGCAGCCTCCTCTCGCACCCCTCCGCACCCCCCACAGACAGCTCCTGCCTCTAGAATGCAGATCCCGGGTTGCGCCACGGCGGGAATCGTCGGATCTTCCCGCGGTTTCCGTTCTCCTCCGGATCTGTTTTCTTATTCTAGGGTTTGTTTCACAAGTCTCTCTTTCTCCATCTACTACCTGCTGTAGGCGCGTACTGATGTTTCTTCTCTTTAGTTCGCCTCCCTGCTTGCTATCTAGATCTTTTCTTTAAAGGAATTTGATCTAAATCGTGGATCTTCTGGCAGGAGGGCGTGGAAGAGGAGGCAATGCTGTAGATGGGCTAGAGAAATTAAACGGAGATATCTCGATCCCGTATGCCATTTCCACTGCATTCCATCCAACCATCTCATTGATTATTTTCCTGCTGTAGCCTGTCGCCATGGAAGATAACGGCGGATTGGGCATGAGAAACTGGGGGGGATACTATGAACAACCACAGATGAAGGGGGGGCTTAGTTTGCAGCTCATGTCAGCCGGAGAAAGGGACCCCAAGCCCATCCTTCACAATGGGACTTTCCTCCAGCGTGATTGTGGGGTCCAGGAACCTCCTGTTCCTATGGAGTACATGCGGGAAAGCTGGATGTACCACCACCACCACCACCACCACCATCGCGACAATAACAAGATGATCCACGTCCTCCCCATGAACCCCAACTATGGCTCTGGCGCTATGGATGTCCATGCCGCTGGCAATCCCCATACCCTTCAGATGTTGGAGCAGCCCGAACCGACATCAAAAATTGAGAAGGTCCAGGGACCGAGTGATCCTGGTAATGGCAGGAAGGGCACCCCGGCGAAGAAAAAAGCGCAGGAGAAAAATCCCTACAGGGTGCCCAAGTCGAAGAAGCCGAAGAATGCTCCTCCACAGAGGGATGGGGCAAATAACATCAAAAAGAACTCTGCAGCTTCTCAGGGGAAAGGGCCGAAGAAGAGCATGGCTATGGTCATAAATGGTATGAATTTGGACATCTCGCAAATTCCTACACCTGTATGCTCCTGTACTGGCACCACACAGCAATGCTACAGGTGGGGCACTGGCGGGTGGCAGTCGGCATGCTGCACCACGAACATCTCAATGTATCCGCTGCCGATGAACACAAAAAGGCGGGGTGCACGGATAGCCGGGAGGAAGATGAGTCTAGGTGCATTTAAGAAGGTATTAGAGAAGCTTGTATGCGAAGGACATGACCTCTCTAATTCGATTGACTTGAAGACTCATTGGGCCAAACACGGGACCAATAAGTTTGTAACGATTAAGTGAAGGATGGGCCACTCCTTTGAAGTTCTGCTGAAGTTGGGCGTTGCATTGGGTCTGCTTATCCAGTAGAGATGACTGTTTCCCTCTGCAGATTCTCAGAAAACAGTTTACAGTCTTGGAATTTACTTTCGGCATTAATGAGGACGCATTTGTACTTTATTTTCCATTTCAGCATCAAATGCTCGGTGCTCAAGTTTGCTTGTCTTTCTGAGATCTCTCTTCAATTGTTGTAGCTATTAGTGAATGGATGTATGTGATCATCATAACTGTGAGATTAACTGATAGGAGAAAACTCCATTCTTGTTATGCAGACCGTAAGAAATTCTAGTTCCTTGTCCACTTTATCAAATCATCGTATTCTCAGTCGCTACATATGATTCCCATTCTCTAAATTTTTATACCCTTTGCAATTTTATCGTTTGTGACTCGATTTGTGCTGGCCATTCTTTTTTTTTTTTTTTTTTCTGTTGGAGGAGAAATGTGATCTTTTGATTACTTAGAAACATTACTTCGCCAGAAGAGACCATTTTCAGTATTATTTTGGGCGAAACTTTACTTACTGAAAGCTCTCTGCATCTCATAAGTATGCTCCCGAGTGTATTTATATTGGAGAAATTGGATCATGTAGTCGATAAGCTTTTGTCTTTTAGTTCCATCTACTCTTTACTGGATCTAAAATTGTGCAAGAGTTTAGCTGTGCGCACTTCGCTGTCTTGTGTATATTCTCTATGCATGTTGACCTTCGCATTATCATAGGAGATTGATTAGTGAAGAAAGAATAGTCACTGCTACGTTAATGAGGAATTTGCTGATGAGGAGGTTCGTCATAATCCTATGTGATACAGCATATCGCTGGCTCCTATACTGCCCATACCCAAAAGAGCATAGAATAGACTAGTATTGACTATCCTCAAAGGCGAGCTAGAACTGAGCAACAAGAGGAAATAGCTACTAGTCCACTTATGAATGGCAGGTCGCTTCATACAATGCCTTTTAGTTTTTCCCTCTTTTGTGCAAATGTTTCGTTTGACTTTCCTCCTTTTTTTTTTTTGTTTTGGGAATGGTTTTAGATATGAACAGATTCTATGTTATGTTGGTTAGTGGGTTAGTATTTTCCCCGGACTGAGTCCTCTGGGATGATTGAGAATGGCATGATGAATTTATTCGTCCTTGTTGGTGCCCATTTTTTGGTGATTAATTGATCCATGAAATTTCTTTATTAATGCCAAATGAGGTGATGCTGGTGAGCAATGAGAATGGAAAACTCATATTTATAGGGAAATTCACATGCAGATCTATTGATCCAGAAAAAAATGGTTTTTGGTGGGTTGAGCGAACAATCTTGAAGAAAAGAAACCATTTTAGATTGGCTGAGATAGATCAGAATTGGATTCTCTGATCCCATAAAACCAGCAGGCTACCCTTTTTTTTTTTCCCTAACATAGAAAAAAAGAAAAATAATTTGGTAAATCGGCCAGTTGACTGTTGACCGGACCTTGCAGGATATAATCTGCCAAAAGAGAAGTCATGGTCAACGGGTATAGAAAATTAAATAGAAAGTTGTAAAGGAATTCCACACTGGTTACAGCTGCCGGTTGTTTACTCCTCTAATTCCTTTGGCTACACTGGTTACACTGGTTACAACTGATTTTGGATTGGTTCGGATTGACAGCAACAGGGTTTTCATCATTTGTTGATGAGCAAGAGGGTTGATTGCTAGGGTTTCCCAGGATTTTTTTATTTTTATTTTTTATTTTTGGAGCTGAAACCCTCTGAGATCTATTCTTCTTCTGCAACTCGTGCGATCTTAGCCTCTTTACTCCTTTTTAGCGTCTATGTCGACGCAATTAAGCAGTTTTTAGTTCAAACCCCTGAAATTATTGCTATGCTTATTTTCATCAACTTATTAATTTGAAGTGAAATTTCTTTCTAGTCTGAAATACTCCTCTCTCTCTCTCTCTCCGCTTCTCTGTGTGTCTCTCTTCCGATCTCTCTTCTCCCTCCTACAGAGTGCTGGGGGGCCCTGGGTTCGTAAGGGTGTGGTCAACCCAGTGGGAGCCGAATTCAGCTTTCTAGGGGCCTTTTAGGGTTAATTTTTTAAACCAATTAAAAGTACTAAAAGGACGCTAATTTCCGTTCCAAAGTCAACGAATCTTAAAGAAGTATACTGTTATAAAAGAGTATCTTCTCCGAGCACTCCTCTCCGAGCACTGACATTAGAGGATATCTTTTACTGTTTGTGGTATGGACGTGCGATTAATCTGACCCGTCCGATCTCATCGAGGACCGTTAGGATCCAAGGGACACGACGTTCGCGATCTGATGCTAATAATATAAAACCAGTCAATTCCTTGGGGCCATATTTGTATGGGACCGTGGGAAGGCCGTCGGCGAGTCAACTTCGAAGCGCCTCTCTGTCTCTCTCGTTCTCGCTGAATGTGATATGTGAAAGCCGCAGATCTCTGAATAGGGGCATTACGGTCTGCCTCAGTAGCTGCCCCGGGAGGGCAAAGCAGCGGCGCCTCCGGTACAAGTGGGTTTTCTTCGGGCGCTGCAGCGAGCCGAGGGAGGTGGCATGTGGCGAGTCTGCTCTGATTCCATCGCCCGACGCTTGTCCGGGGGAAGCTCGATAGAAGATTCAGTCTCACATTGAGAAGGCGCGGGGGGAGGAGGAGGGGCTGGAGAGGAAGTAGGCGTTAAGCCGCTGGTCTTCTTCGGATCGCGCGAGCCCGAAGGTTGGTCCAATTGGTACCTCGTTTTTCGTCTGGTTCCCCTGTAGATTTTGTTGCTTGCGCCACGAGCGTCGCGATTTACTGGTCGTCGTCCGCTAGTTCGCCATTTTCCCCTGGTTGTCTCCTGTCGTATTACTTTGTTGATAACAAACCCTAGGCTTCATTTCTTGTTTCTAGTAGCGTCGATGCTTATGGTGACCACGATTGGAATCAATGCGTCTCGTCTCTCGGCTTTGTGCTCCAAGAATTTCTTCACTCGGACAATCTTATATTCTACCTTCTAAACCAGTTCATTTTTCTTAATTTTCCCCCAATTTAAATCGCATCGGAATTACTCTACACTCTGATGCAGAGGGATTTGATAGACAGGGGGGTTAGATGGGGACGGTGGGAATCTTTATTGGACAATTTGATTGTTTAGGTTGACTCATATTGGGCTCTGTTCTTGGATAATAGGCGTGGGAGTGTTTTCCTCTTCAGATTGCCCCGTTAAAATAAAATATTGATTAATCCATTTTATGCCTATTTTTATGTGCTGCAGGATTATTGTTGTAGCGAAGAAGATGAATCATAAACAGTAATGGCTCGATCCCCATTTTATAAAAAATAATTTTTCTTAAATAAATTCTCCTGCATCCTTAGGTTGTTCCTGCTGTAGATGGCCTACATTGCTACCAGGGTTCTATTGAGAGAAATTCATGCCTTAAGTAAGATCGTTGATCAGTGATGAGATTCTTTACTGCCGAAATTTTTATTAATCAAAGATGATGCCTCAGAACGTTTCCCATTGAGCCTGTTGATATTCAGAATGTTTAGTTGAATGATGGGAATTATTGGAATTACTGGAGGGCGGCCGTTGACTTTTGGTACCTGGATTGTTCAAATATTAAAGCATGCTCTAGCTCAACGACCTGATAAATGCTGCAATTCTGCATCATGATGGCAGGAGTCAATCACCTCAATGCGCCTTAGATCCTGTTTATGTTCAAACTTTTTACCTTTTTTTTTCCTAAGATGGGAATTAGGGCTGTGCGATGAGATGGGAAAGCTACCGATGACTCTGGGAAGTTGCTTGGCTCAGATATCATCAAATGTGGAATCATATTCCAGTTCATTGACCTGGGAAAATTGCAGAAATTCTGTATCAAGAGTCAATATTGACTTCAAGTAGCCTGCAGGTCATTCTCTGTTTTAGTCAATCTTCTCTATGACATCTATCGTCCACGGGTTGACCCCAGGAGCGTTTATTCATCCATAATCTTAATTTTATTATAACTGGTTCAACCCTAAGATCAATTCACGTACACATTACGTAGTCTTTTCTTTCATTGTGTGAATCTTCCTCGGGTCACTTTCTTGATTCAGTTATCATAATAGACAGTGGCCTCTGCGTGATGAAAAATATGGTTGGAATCATTATTTTTGGGGACTTCTTTCACTTTCTTGGTCTGACCCACCCAGGAAATCCAACCGCCGGTTGACCTGTAATCAAAATTAAATAAGAGAGGGAGATATGTATATTTTAACCTTTCTTGCTTGGTTGCTAGTTTATTTCTGATCAACCGGGCATTTATTTGTTGTTGAAAACATCCTCTTAGACAGATGCCTGACGGCAAAGAGAATTCAAAGATGGGCGGTGACTCTGGTGGTCCAAGCGGCGGCGACCTTTCTTCAGGAGAAAGTCAACGCTCCTGGAGCGATACCCTGGGGGGTTTGACTCAGCGAGCGTCGGTGTACGGCGTGGCGGTGGGGTACTGCATCTCGGGCTCGCTGCTGTCGATCATCAACAAATGGGCGGTCATGAAGTTCCCCTACCCGGGGGCGTTGACCGCCCTGCAGTACTTCACCAGCGCTGCCGGCGTCCTCCTCTGCGGGTGGCTCGGGGTGGTGGAGCACGACCGGTTGAATCTCCACACAATGTGGAGGTTCCTCCCTGCCGCCGCCATGTTCTACCTCTCGCTCTTCACCAACAGCGAGCTGCTCCTCCACGCCAATGTGGACACCTTCATTGTGTTCCGGTCGGCAGTGCCGCTGCTGGTGGCGGTGGGGGAGACACTATTCCTGGGGCAGCCGTGGCCGTCCCTGCGGACGTGGCTCTCCTTGGCGACCATCTTCGGCGGCGGCATGATCTACGTGGTCACTGACTACCACTTCACCGTGACGGCGTACAGCTGGGCAGCAGCGTACCTGGCCAGCATGGCCGTTGACTTCGTCTACATCAAGCACGTGGTGATGACCATCGGGCTGAACACTTGGGGCCTGGTCCTGTACAACAACCTGGAGGCGCTGCTACTGTTCCCCGTGGAGCTGCTCCTGATGGGGGAGCTGAAAAAGATGGAGCAAGCCGAGCCGGCGGCGTGGCGCTCGTCTGTGGTGGTGGTGCCGGTGGGGCTCTCCTGCGTCTTTGGACTGGCCATCTCCTTCTTTGGCTTCTCCTGCCGCCGCGCCATCTCCGCCACCGGCTTCACCGTCCTCGGCGTGGTCAACAAGCTCCTCACGGTGGCGATTAACCTGCTCGTCTGGGACAAGCACTCCTCCTTCGTCGGCACTGTCAGTCTCCTGGTCTGCATGTTCGGAGGAATTCTCTACCAGCAGTCCGCCGCCACCAAGCCCAAAGCTTCTGGCGCCGCCGCCGCTGCACCGCCGCCAACGGACGAGGAGCAGCAGCGGCTTCTGGAGATGACAGATGCTGGTGGCGGGAAGGCCCCTTCGGCTCCCCTCGACGGCGCCAAGTGAGGCCTCCTGGTGGCGGCGGCGGCGGTGAGGTGGTGGCGCTCCTCAACGGCTTTTCTTCTGTGATGGCCTGGAGATCTGGGACAGCCGTTATATTCCTCGTCTTTTTGATTGGATGTGAATCACGGGGGGCCCCACAGGCTCGCGGGGGCCCATAGCATTCCACAGTTTCTGTAGTCTGCACTGAATAATATAATTATTTAAAAATTAAATACATATAATCTGTATTAAAATACGAATGATAATATGGGCTGGGCCTGGGATTAAGTTGGGCCTCACTCTCTCTCTCTCTCTCTAACCTTTTCTTGATGATGAAAGAGGCTTCAAAGAGATTCTCGGGCCAGACAGAGCCCGATGTGGTGGGCCCGGCTCGGCCCGTTTAGATGGCCACTGACTGACTGGTAGTGGTCGGGATGGTGGCGGCGGGGGACTTACGGTCCTACGATTGGAATCTGACGGCAGAAAATGAGGTCAATTGAGACGTCCAGCGAATATGTCTACGTGGACAACTGGACGGCCTGCTAGGTGGGGATAAGGTTGAACTTCCCAAAAGCGCACTTTAAATCGTCCCCCGTGACAAAATTCCACGTCAGCCTCTTCCGTCTCACACTTCCGTCTTGCTCACTTCTCTCTCTGTCCTCTAGCGGCGCAGGGCCTTTAGAGGTATACGCGTGGCATTAGCCGGGGGTCCCCAAGATGGACAGAGAGAGAGGGTTGTGATCGCTCTGCGGAGGACCGTCCTCTCGCGCATTGCCACCTCACCTGGGCCCACTATCGGCCGGGAGTTCGCCGCCGCAAGAGGGTGTACGGCGGTGTCTGTTTGCGGAGAAGCTCGAGGTGGTTTCTGATTGTCCTCTCTGTGTCAGGAGGAGAAGAAAGAGGGGAGCAATGGGTGAGGTGATGATGGCTGGGGGGGATGTGCTCTCTCGCGTGGCGCAGTCTCGGCGGAAACTGGAGGAAGCGGCGGCGGCGGCGGCGACGGCGGAACCGGAGGACGCCGTCGTGTTCGTGGGAATATGCCTGGTGCTCGGAATCGCCTCCAGGCATCTCCTTCGGGGATCTCGAGTCCCCTACACGGTCGCCTTGTTTGTGCTCGGCATTGCGCTCGGTTCCCTAGGTCGACCGATCCTCCTCGGTTTTTAACCTGACGATGTAGACGATACCGAAGATTTCTGAGCTCATGTCATTCTTCTGTCCTCGGTTTTCTTCTTTTCATCCATGATTCTTTTGCTTAATGCCTTTCCAGGGATCAATCTAAGTAAATCACTGAGGCTGACGTCAGTTTCTTTTTGTTTTCCTTTCATACTTTCCATGGGATGTTTCCCTCGGTTTTGCCGCATATTTCTGGCACAATTGTCGTTCCGGCTCAAACACGAGGGAATTTGAATAACGAGGAGGGAATTATCACACATTATTTTCTGAAACGGATCATCTGTTCTGTTGGATACAAAAAATCAGAAATCACCGCCGTGAAGTAGCTGGATATCTCTGCTTAGTTGCACTTTTGTTATTATAGTCTTCCATTATTAATCAATACATCCTTGAGATAAGGAGCGAGGGGTGTGACAGTAAGAGTATGAAAAAAGACGAACCTGCTACTACGTTTTAAACAGTGATCGTAACTTGCTTCCATTTTTTCCTCTCTGTTCTTCGGAGCTTCAATGCTGCTTCTGATTTCTTTTGATTGTTCGCTTCTATTCTTCCTGTGCTAAACGCAATCCTGCTGCTACAAGAAGCTGTGCTGGGGGCCATATGAAAATTAAGTTTTGTAGTAGCCTGAATTTCGGATCTTCTCTTCTGAAATCATGTTTTCCATTGAATGCTCGGATTTAAGTTTTTAATCATCAATTCTTGTCAAATTCAACCTGGTCGAGCTTTGGAGAGCAACCCATTGCTTCATCTTATTCACAGGACTAGCCACTTTCTCCTCATTTACCTACTCTATATAAGAATTTTGTGTAGTACCTTGTGATTCGGGAGATGATTGGCGTATGACGTTGAAGCTGGTGGTTGAAGATTCTGCTGAAATTTTATGTTTCGATCTTAGGAATAAATTGATTAGTGAACAATTTCAGGCTTTATTGCCGAGCCATTGCCCAGTATTTATGGTCCACTGCTTTCCTATGTACAGTAACATAGTTCAACCCAGAAAATTGAAAATCATGGGAAAAGAATTGTTCAATAATATTGTGGAGATTAAGGTCGATATCCAATATTTTGTGACTTACCTATGAAATAAATGCATTTATTTTGTTCCTTACATCGTGAATCTTCAGATCTTTTCGAACCCAGGTACTGCAATTCTATGACGGAAGTTAAAAAAAAGAGTTACTGGCTACATGGAATCGATTCGACCCCTTTGGATACATGGAAGAAGCCTAAAATATGCACTATTTTCTTCATACTCCAGTGGACCTCTCTCAGAAGGTATATCGTGAAAAAGGATACTTTAGTCATCAGAATAGGGAGTCATCAGAATAGTCATCGTGAAATATGCACAAGTTTGATTAGTTGCATTAAAAATGGGGGAGTTTCCGGACGTTCTCCTCGTTTTTTTACTTAGGGGTAGTAATTGATTTTGCTACGATCCTATTTCGCTAGAAGAATAGGGAGGTTGAGTATATCGTGGATTTTAGGAGTTGGAAAATATTTTATGCTCGACGAAGGTTGTTGGGGTAAGGTGAACGGAAGGAAAAAGGTTCAGAAGAACTGGAGCCTACTGGAGCCTACTTGAGTATCAACAGCATAAAAAATACATTTTGTTAAAGATGAATGTAATATAGATTTTTTGGAAATGCAACTGCACCAGAGAAATGTGGATACCTGTCTCATGCAATGCTAGGTAATAGAAGTCAATGATGAACGGTTTTGACTTCTGAGGAACAACAGAGGAAGATCCATGAAAGAACCATAATTTTTCATGTAAGTCATGTGATGGGTTAAGTATTGTAAGGGTCGATAAGAAAATTCTGAAACCTTTGTGATACCTTAGCTCTTCAGGTATTGAGAGATAAAAGGAGAAGCAAAAAATGTGCTGTTATGGACATCTACAAGGAGGATAGTAAAAAGGAGCTCTTATAGTGGGGTCGGAGGAAAGGTGAAAACTTGAAAGAGGATGGTGGATTAGGGAGCTCTTGGACTTCTCTTCACTATTTTTTTAATTCAAAACTAATAGTAGAATGTTCTCAAACCATGAATAATGGAAACAGTCACATAGAAAGCACACACATCTTTGTAATCGCAGGCTTTGAGGCATTCCCCTTCACCTCGAGTTTGGAAAACTTCAGAATGATATCAGATTAATGAGTGAGGAAGTTGACAAGAAACCCCTCAAGAGAGACTTTCCTCTATATGCTATAAGTGAAGGGAAAATTATAAAGATGATATATACACTAGGCTGTACACTAATTAGCTCATATGCTACCCTAAGCAGTGAGCTTTTTTTTCTGTGGCTTTAAAGTGGTGTCTGCATATATCCTCGGTCTTTCTGCTCGTATTTTCATACCACATTATGTGTTACTTGACTTAGGCCTATAGCTTCCTTAGATGTCATTTGGGACTCCATCCGATGCATTGGTCCTAGTTCTCATATTAATCCACCCTGGTTTCTCGTAGATGAAATCTAAAGGTTTCTTTAGTAGTCGTGGCATTAGGAAATCTTTCCAACAGTGTTTATTTTCCTCATTACTCGCTCATTTTCTGGATCCTTGCTGGAATTTTCTCTTAAATTTTCTGAGATGATGTAACTTACTAAACTTTGGAAAGTGGTTTAGATATGACTGAGGCTTCTTCCATTTTCACTTGTAGAGCAGCATCTGCTTCATGATTATTCGACTATTTCTTAATGTGAAATTATAGACCTTGAGTTGAATTGATTGGTATATAATTTCAAATTTTGTATAATAAACTACCAAACTACTAATTCTTCTGGAATGTGTGGGTGATGTGTGAAATTTTATTTTTGATATGAAGTAGCTCTAAAATCTAACTTTGCTATTGACAGAGTACGGGACAAGTCATGGATTGGGAAAAATGGGCGCTGGCATTCATCTGTGTAAGTGATGATCCTTGTTTCTGGTTGTGACCCACAACAGACATTACAGCTGTACTGTTATAATTTATTTTTTCTAATTTTCCTGATTTACCTCATACTAATATTGAGATTCACTCCACATTCTATGCAGGGGCAAATATCAATCCCGATCTTCTGTTGGCAGTTTTCCTTCCTGCACTTCTCTTTGAAAGTTCCTTTTCCATGGAAATACACCAGATAAAGGTTATTAATTTATAACAAGTATAACTTCCTGTTATCTCTATTTTTCTTATGACGATGGGGGCCTGCCTCTTGTACATATATAAACTAGATGTATGGTACTTTCATATTGGTTGTTTTAAGACGTGGACACTAGCGCTTCAGTCATGGACAAATAGGTCATAGGCAAAAATCTCATCTTGTTGTGTCAGCGCTAAGATCTTCATTTGTAGTCTCTTGATGAGGCTTATCCATGACTAGTTGTCCTTGCCATTTTTATGCCCATGTAATTGCTTAGGATGGCCTTTTTTGAAATGACAATTAAAATTTCTTGATTAAATATATGAACCTACTTTAGTCATTGAAAATCAATTTTGATCTAGACAATCACTTGTTTAACGAGGTCTATGACCTCCTCGTACCATTGCTTGATTGTGAACCATTTGTATTTTCTTCTTATAGATTCTAATTTTTTTTGTACTTGAGTAGATATTTGGAACATTCCTACCATGAAAGGGATACTCATATCATGTGGACCTACTTTATTCATTGGCCAGTATCCTTGAGTTGGATGGCTCAATTATTTAATGATTATTTCTTCGATGGATTGATTCGTGGGAAGACAACTGATGGCTCTAGAAGTCTGTCAAAATGATATTTTTGCTACATATTATTTGGGTACTCATCATAATTCCGATGCTTTCCTCTCTTTTCTCATTTTTTAGTGAATTATAAGTTAAATCCGCTTCTATTGAATCCCACTGTCTGTACTTCATCTGGTTAGATAGGACATGACAACCACAGGAACATGCGGGGCTAAGACTAAGACTAAGAAGATAAACCAATTTTTTATTGAAATAAGAACCTGGTGATGGTGAATCCAAGGGTTTTGAAATCCATACCAAGGCCTCCGATTCTCATTTTGCTTTTACAACATTTTTGGTGCATGACAGCTTGTCTCTATGACAAATCAAATTTATTTAAATATTTTTCATTTGAGGTAGGGCCAGATTAATGGGATACAAAACACCTACAAACTGTAGTAAAACCTGTCAAAGGAGAGACAAAGATAATTGTAAGAAAGCATTGGCAAGCTAACCAGATCAGTATATCAATATAAAAAAAGGCCCTGTACGGTTCCGTTATCAGTATTCAAGAAACACCATTTGGCATGTATTCGCCACATCTTAGTCTCATTGTGATCGAAATGGACCTCTGCTACTCACAATATTTATGTTTCGACATACACATTAATTTCGGTACTCTGCTACAGAACCTTTTGACCTGGATGGATATACGTTCGGGGAAAACTGTTTTGTTCCGAATAGTGACATCGTAAGGAACCTTTGCATGTGTAGTTCGTCTGATACGCTGACATTGATCCTTTATTTAGCTGGGTTATGTTAAGAAACATTTGTTAAACTCAGTCTTTTAATTCTCTGAAACTGTTATTTGGGCTGAGGCAGAGGTGCATAGCGCAAATGGTTTTACTCGCAGGCCCTGGGGTTATAATTTCAACCTTCTGCCTTGGAACTGCGTTGAAGGTATGGATTTGGCTTATAGCTGATTAGAAATTATTTGGTCTTGTAATATGAAAAAATCCTGCCTTCGTGGTTTATCCTCGTAAACTAGTTTGACTTTTGAAATGGAACAATTCTTTCATTTTTCAGTTCGCTTTTCCTTATAACTGGGACTGGAAAACATCATTATTGTTGGGAGGGCTTCTCAGTGCTACTGATCCTGTCGCTGTTGTGGCTCTTTTGAAAGAACTTGGCGCTAGTAAAAAGCTGAGCACAATTATTGAAGGAGAATCATTGATGAATGATGGGTATTTACTTCCATTCTTTTTTCCATTGAAATCGCCATCTGTAATAATTAATCTAATTCATTGGCGCATAATTTTCAGGATATGATTCTTCCAATTTCTTAGTTTTCTCCCTGAATTTTTTCTATGAACCATGCATAACCTTTGATCGATGGTCTTACCTATTACAGAACTGCTATCGTTGTATACCAGCTGTTATATCGTATGGCTCTAGGCCAGAGCTTCAGTGTTGGAGAAATTATCAAGTTTTTGTCACAAGTTTCTCTGGGAGCGTAAGTGACAAAAATAAAAAAAGTCTGATTTACGTGTCATAAAATATATTTCCCTGTGGTCTTATACCTTTCTTTTTCCAGAATTGCAGTTGGTCTTGCTTTTGGAATAGTGTCTGTTCTGTGGCTTGGCTTCATTTTCAATGATACTGTTATCGAGATTGCACTAACTCTTTCTGTGAGCTACATAGCCTATTTCACTGTAAGATATTTATCCTTGGTCCAAATTTTTACATGTTACCAGAGTAATTAGTTATCTGTTAAGTTCAAACTTTCAACCTCCAAGTGAAAAATCATGGTACATGCATTTATTTTTCCATGTATTAATGAGTCTGTCAGTTAAAAATCAGATCTTATTGAGTCTGAATGGCTTTTTATTTAACCTTATTGTTGAACTTTCTAGGATTGTTTCCTTTCTATCTGTTTCTTTTCCATTATATTTTTGTCATTTCCTGTCATTCCCCGTGTTAAGTGGATCCATTAGACTGTTAATGGATTTACTTAAAGACTAATGTAATGGACTTGGCCCATTAATTATTGTAACCTGTACTCAAGCGGGAAACTGTGATAATTGACGCATTCATTTTGGATTGTGGAAACCCTACTCCAAGAAGTGGTGACTCGTTCATCTTCCTGGAAGAAGAGGATCGTGAAGTTCGACTCCTTTCATTCTCCAAATTGCACGAATCTTAATCAAGATCAATTTTCAACGTGGTATTAGAGCTGTGCTGATTCTGGTGGGATCAGATACTTCTTGTTTCTTGTTTCTTGAATCTTATTTTCCTTTTTGTTTTTGAGCAATACCAAGGAAGAAAGAAACCTTCTGCAAGTAGTGAACTGAGGCATTCTGGAAAGTACGAAGGAAAAGACTTTCAGAATGCATTCAGGGGAAGGCTCTTCATCATCCATGGAACTTACATCATCTTCAGCAATGACTGGAGAAAGGGAGAGATTATATCATACTCTTTCAAATATCCTAGAGAAACTTAGATTGAATGGGAGAAATCTTCATCAATGGGACAGTTTTTGTTGATCTGACACTTCTTGGGAGAGGTTTAACAGATCACTTTATAGAAGAACCATTAAAAAAATCAGATCCAAAATATAGAGGATGAAAATCAGAAGAGGCTATTATCCATACATGGCTGCTAAGTATAATGACACCAGAAATTTATGAAAAATTCTTGTTCATACACTCGGCAAAGGAATTGTGGGATCAAATTCACAAAAGCTGCTCAAAGAAACACAACGATTGAAGAATTTATTCCCTGGTGGCTAAGGCAACAGATTTAGTGCAAGGAAGTAAATCTGTTATGGAATATTCGTGTGAATTAAAGGCTATATGGAGGGAGATTGATCATTATTGGCTACTAAAGAATCTCAGTTCTGAGGAGCCCATGTATACATTGAAACACAGAATGTATACATTCCTAATGGGACTGAACTTTGATTATGAAAGCCTCAAGAGTCAAATTCTCCATTGTGAGAAGGTACCTGAGCTGGATGAAGCTATTCAGATTGTTATGGAAGAGGAGAGTAGATTAAGTCTACTCATCAATACTAGGAAGAATGAGTCATCAGCCTTCACCTCTAGCAAACAAGATCGGTCAATTCATTCCAGAGAATTGCCCAATCAGGGGAATCAATTAGAGCAAAAAGAGTGTAATCAAACCCCAATCACTGCATCACAAGGAAGGTATCAGAAGTGGGATAGCAAAGAGAACCTTTGGTCTTCATATTGCAAGAAGAAGCATTATACAAAAGAAAACTGCTGGATGCTACATGAACGATCACCTCGACAGGGGAGGCTATTTCCCAACCAACAGAGACTATAAAAGGTCAATCTGGGATAAAGGAACCTCCAAATCCTAGTAATCAGAACAAGGATGATGAATTTGAAAGACTGAGTGAGTAAGTAGAGAAATTCAAGAATATGCTGAGCTCTACACCTTTGGTTCGGTCAAGTGAGAATAAACTTTTTTCGAAATCAGATGCATCCAATAGTTTTTCTAAATTGCCCTAGATACTTGACTTTGGTGCCACTGACCATATGACCTCAAATATGTGCAAATTTGTTGATTATGTAAAATGTGATGGACAGAAAAAGTTGTTACTGTTGCCAGTGAGATTCTACCTGTTGAAGGGATTGGGAGCTTGAAAATAGATCATTAGGCACTTTAAGAAATATTTTACATGTGCCTAAATTGAAGGCTCATCTGATTTCACTGCAGACACTTGTTAAAGATATTAATTGTCATTTCATTCTTGAGGACGATGGATGTTCATTGTGTGACAAGGTCTTAGGGCTGAAGATTGGACGTGTTAAGGAAGGAGATGACTTGCTTTACTGATAAGAGGATGATCATGCACTAATGTCTTTACTGCAGTCGCCTTGGAGTGGAGTGGAACACAAAAAGAATAATATACTGTTATAACACTGATGTTGGGCATCCTTCCTTTGCTCTCTTAAAAACATGGTTTCCTTCTATGTTTGAAGGTGTTGATTTTAAAACTCTAGTGTGTGAGGTTTGCCAATTGGCCAAATACGAATGCTCTTCATATGGAAATACTGGTGAACATAGTACAATCCCTATATATCATATACACATTGATATTTGGGGGCCATCAGTTATGACTAGCTTGTCTGGATGCAAGTGGTTTATCTTGTTTGTTGATGATTGTATCAAGTTTACTTGGGTTTACCTAGTAAAATCAAAATCAGATGCACCCAAATGGTGAAATCTTTTTGTGAAATGATTTATAATCAGTTCGGAACTGTTGTCAAGAGGTTTAGATTAGACAATGTTAGAGATTATTTCAATTCGGCTGTGTCCTCCTACTTTGATCAGAAAGGAATAATTCATGAGTCATCCTATGTCAATACACCCCAGCAGTGGCTGAGAGAAAAATTGGACACTTACTAGATATAGTTAGAGCTCTTTTGTTTCAACAAGTTCCAAGGCAATACTGGGGTGAAGCTGTCCTCACTAGTACTCATCTTATCAACAGGATTCTAGCCAAAACTCTAGAATATCAAAGTCCTATGGAACTGTTGAGTAAATGTTATCCTCATGTGAAACTAAAGACTCACCTTCGTCCAAAGGTATTTGGATGTACTGCTTATGTTCATGCTAAAGGCAACCTAGTGAGAAAACTTGATCTATGATCTATAAAATGTATATTTGTTGGGTACTCAACTACACAGAAGGGTTATAATCCCACTTCTAAAAAAATCTTCATCTCAGATAGTGTTATAAGTGTTATAAGGGAGTCATATTATGGGGTGAGAAATCCACAAGAGAGAGAGAATTTGATCGTTGACACTGAGTTACAGGACAAAAATGAATTCATGATTTAGGTGTCACCCATTCTTAAAATCAAAGGAGTACAAGTATATAGGGGACAAACTAGAGTGGAGACACAAAATATTCCAACAGAAATGAATGATTTACCTACACTGCAGAGAGAACTAGTAGGAGAATCTAGTTCAAGTACAAGAGACATCTCAAATTGATAATATCGACCAAGAAGAGGACAACCAGTTCACTAAAACCAATGATGAGGAGCAACTAGGTTGGCCCATTGCTCTACAAAAAGAGAAGATAAGTTGTATAAAGAAATCACTCTATCATATGGTCAACTACCTATCATATGATAGGTTAACACCATTGTACAAGGCTTTTCTCATGAACTTGAAGACAATTATTATCCCCAAGATAGTAGAAGAAGCTCTGTCACACAAAGAATAGAGTCATGCCATGGATGAAGAGATTAAAGCACTAAAGAAGGACTGTACATAGGACTTAGTCCCTTTACCTTCAGGAAACAATATGGTTGGTTATAAGTAGGTGTATAATCCTAAGTATAAAGCTGATGGAACATTGGAAAGATACAAGGTAAGGTTGGTGGCTGATGGCTATTCACAATCTTATAGAATCGATTATTTTGAAATGTTTGCTCATGTTGCAAAGTTGAATACTATCCAGATACTCATAACATTAGTAGTAAATCTAGGATGGGAAATACATCAATTCAATGTGAAAAATACATTTCTTCACGAAAATTTACAGGAAAATGTATACATGAATGTACCTCCAAGGTACACATTTATTCATTAAAATAATGTTGTTTGCAGGTTGAAGAAATCTCTATGGCTTGAAACAATCACCCCGAGCCTAGTTTGAGAGATTCACTCAAGCTATGAAGGGATTCGGGTACATACAAAGCAATGGGGATTGTTAGAAATCGTGCTGGACTTTGATCATCTCCGAACACCTCCCTTCCTTCTTGTATGTGCTAGCAGTGAACACGAGAGAGAGAGACACGAAAAGAAGAAGGCCGAAGCCCTAAATTTCATCACACTCTAATGCTTACATGCTGGTTGGTATTTTATACTGACCAGCTGTTATGAAACGGGAGAGGGTAAACCGGACCAGTTCAATTTGAACTGGTTCAGTCTATTGTTCTGTTACAAGGTATGATGGACAGAGAAATAAAGGACGAAACAGTAAATGGAAAAATTATTTCTAACACTCCCCCTCAAGCTTGTGAATGTATGTTGTCCATTCCCAGCTTGGACACAAGATGATAGAATATGTTGCCGTGTGGTCCTTTCATGAATATATCTGCGATTTGATCAGTTGTAGACACATATAAAATACATACATGTCCACTATCTATCTTTTCTTTTATGAAGTGGCGATCAATCTCTATGTGTTTAGTTATGTCATGCTGAACAAGGTTGTGAGCAATATTGATCACCGATTTATTATCAATAAAGCTTCATTAGACCATCTATGTTGATCTTCAAATCCTTCAATATGATATTGACCCATAAAATCTCACAAATACTTTGTTCCATAGCACGAAATTCAGCTTCTGCACTTGATCTAGCTACGACATTCTATTTCTTACTTTTCTAAGTAATAAGATTATCTCTAAGAAATGTACAATATCTTGATGTTGATCATCGATCTACAATAGATCCAGCATAATCTGCATCTGTGTACACTTCAAGTGTTAGATAATCATGTTTTTTGAACAGAATGTCTTTTCCTGGTGTTCCTTTTAGAAAGTGTAGAACATGATATGCTGCCTGTAAATATATTTGTTTCGGATTGTGTATGAACTAACTAATGATGCTGACTGCATATGTTATGTCTGGCCGTGTATCTGATAGATAAATCGTTGATACATCCCTTTATCCACAGCAATGTCTTCCTCCGCTGCACTTAACTTGAGATTAGGATCAATTGGAGAATTAGCTGGTTTGCATGCTTTTTTCTAGTTTCTTGAATCAAATCTATCACATATTTTTGTTGAGACAAAAAAATTGAATTCTTAGAATATGCAACTTCAATATCTAGGAAGTATTTTAATCTTCCTAAAGTTTTCATCTCGAATTCTTGAGATAAATATTGATCGAAGTTTTTTTTCTGCATCATCATTTCCAGTGACAATAATATCGTCCACATATACTATTAGAATCGTAACTCCCCCTGGAGAAGATTGTTTGACAAATACAATGTGATCACCTTGACTTTGTTTGTATCCCATCTTGAGATAACTTTCATAAATTTACTAAATCAGGCTCGAGGAGATTGTTTTAGTCCATACAATGCTTTCTTCAGCCTACACACAATATTAGCATCTGAATTTCTCTCATATCCATGTGGTACCTCCATATATGATTTCTCTTCTAATTCACCATGTAAAAGTGCATTCTTAACATCAAATTGCTGAAGATTCCAATCAGAGTTAATTGCCAATGACAAAAGTAATATAATTATATTCATTTTTGCTACTGGTGCAAAAGTTTCAAGATAATCAACTCCATAAGTTTGTGTGTATCCTTTTGCAACCAGCCTGGCTTTGTATCTTTCTATGGATCCATCTGAATGGTATTTAATTGTATACACCCATTTGCAGCCAACAACTTTCTTCCCTATTGGCAGACGTACAAGTTCCCAAGTATCATTTTTCCTTAAAGCTTTCATATCCTCATTCATAGCTTGTCTCCACTTCTCATGAGTTAAAGCCTCAAAAACAGTCTTTGGGATTGAGGTAGTATTTAGGTTAGATACAAAGGCCTTGTGTGAAGGTGATAATCTATTATATGGCAAAAAAAGTGTCATAGGATATAATCGTTTTTTGGTACATTCTCTTACCCCTTTTTGAAGGGCAATAGGTAGGTCTTCATCAATAGGTAAGGTGCTGGTCTGGGATGTCCCATTTGACTCATCTTGGGAATGTTGTTTTGATCTACTGCAATGTTTGATTGACTTGGAAGCTCCAAATAATAGAGTCCACTCTATTCTCTAGCACGTCTTATTGTCCTCTCAGACATCTTGTCAAAAAATAGACAAGTATTAGGATCAAACACAACATTACCTAGGTCACGTGTGAGTTTGCAAAGAGAAATTAGGTTGGTGGTCAACATAGGAACATGAAGTACATTTTTCAAGGTAATATAAGGTGATAGGCAAATGTTTCCTATCCCAGCAACCATGTTCTACGGATCTCAAGAATCATGGTTGTCCACATCCAAGCCATGATTCTTGAGTCTTTTTGATCCCATGCTTCAAATCTCGGATCTCCAGCTTTCAAGCTTGGATGAGCTAAATGATTTGCCATTCCCTGTCCTGTAAGAACAACTCAAACTTGCTGAGACCATCCAAAGTAATTCCTACCATCGAGATGATTTGTTTGTGGTATAATTGGCAAATCTCCATAGATCGGACTAGGTTCCACCCTCACAGATCGGGATTGTTCTTGTTCTGCCATAGAAATTGCTTCAGACATTCTTGAGAATTCAAGAATTAGGTATGTTTGTTTTAGAAATGAGTTAACCTACAGATCAAGACACTAACCTACAGTTCGTGTTCTGTAGATCAATAGTGCTAGATTCTCACCTAGATAGTGCAGAATCAGCGAACAACTAGTGACTTGTTACAAAAAGATGAGTTCTCTCTCGAAAATGAAAAAACAGTTGTTCAAGAAGAACTCAGAAGATCAAGGGAGTTTGGAATGATCACACCTGAGCTCTGATACCATGTTAGAAATCGTGCTGGACTTTGATCATCTGTGAACACCTCCCTTCCTTCTTGTCTGTGCCAACAGTGAACACGAGAGAGAGAGACACGAAAAGAAGTAGGCCGAAGCCCTAAATTTCATGACACTCTAATGCTTACATGCTGGTTGGTATTTATACTGACCAGCTGTTATATGAAACGGGAGAGGGTAAACTGGACTGCTTCAATTTGAACCAGTTCAGTCTATTGTCCTGTTACAAGGTACGATGGACAGAGAAATAAAGGATGAAACAGTAAATGGAAAAATTATTTCTAACAGAAGGTTCATAATTGTAATCTACATTCACAAAAGGAGGAAATCCATCGATTGAAATCTACATAGATGCAGATTATGCAGGGTCAGTCATAGATCGCATATCAATATCTGGTTATTGTACATTTGTTTGTGGTAATCTTGCGACCTGGAGGAGCAAGAAGCAACAAGTAGTTACATGATCTAGTGCTGAAGTAGAATTCAGGGCATTGACCCAAGGGATATGTGAAGGTTTATGGATTCGAAGTTTGTTGGATGAATTGAGAATCAACCAATCAAATCATATGAAACTGTCTTGCGACAACAAGTCAGCAATGACTATTGCCCAAAATCCTATACAACATGACAAGACTAAACGCATTGAGGTTGATTGATATTTTATTAAAGAAAAAGTAGAAATTGGAGATGTAGATCTGATATATGTTGGGATATCATAACAGGTTATCGACATATTTACCAAGGGACTCACAAGATCAATATTTCAAAAGATGGTGTCCAAGTTGGGCATGGAAAACATTCGTACCCAATTTGAGAGGAGGTGTTTAACTTTCTAGGTTTTTTTCCTTTATATCTGTTTCTTTTTCATTGTATTTTTGTCCTTTCTTGTCATTCTCTATGTTAAGTGGATCAATTGGACTGTTAACAGATTCACTTAAAGACTAATGTAATGGGCCTAAACCATTAACTTATGTAACCCGTACTTAAGTGGGAAACCATGATAATTGATGCATTCATTTTGGATTGCGGAAGCCCTACTCCAAGAAGTGGTGACTGGTTCATCTTCTTGGAAGAGGAGGATCGTGAAGATAGACTCCTTTCATTCTCCCAGTTGCACGAATCTCAATCAAGATCATTTGTCAAGACTGATCAGTGAAATGGTAAATGTGACATTCTTAGGAAGGTGGCCGGCATAGTATAAATGATGGTCGGTATGGTACTCCAGACCTGTGGTTTCCTTAATTTTCATCCTAAGGGTCATTTTATGTCTATATTTCAATGAGCCTTGCATGTAAGCATTCAGGAGGGTTATGAATTGGTCATTGATCCCCAACTTGTAGACTTACATTCATGTGATCTCAAGTGTGGTTTAGATGTATTGATGATGGTGATCACCAATACTATGGAAGGATTGTGTGCATGACTAAGAAAGGTGTTGGACAGGGGTTGGGTGCTCACCTACTAGGGAAAGGTGGGAAGGAGTTTCTTGATGAGGTTAGGAGTATTTGGGGTTGTGGGGTTTGCTGAGAAAGAGGGAAATCCTTGGTTCTGGATGGGTGAGGAAGAGAAAGAGGATGATAGGTGCATTTTTTTGAGCGCCCGATCAAATAACTGATGGAATTCTGATGCAAGATGTCATTTAGCATATGGAGTTCGGGTAAATTATCGTATGGTCACATATTGGTTAGAGGAGCATTATCGCAGCTGACTAAGGGTCAGGATCCAATCCAATATGATGCTCCTGTCATAGTCTTTGAAGATGTTGCCTCTTAGGGGAGTGAGATTCATCCTAAACTATAGTTTTTATTAGTCATTCTCTGCATGAGAAAACCTGTTTAGAGGTAATAAGATCAGGGGAAATTGTTGATGGTCCATATTCCGATTCAAAACTATAATGATTTAAATGACTGAGGCCACTGCATCCGTCCACTTTGCCTCCGTTTTTATGGTTTCTCTCTGTCTCTGCCTGGTAGAATTTCTCCACACATAATATGCTTACCGTTGTCCTGTCTTCATTTGGGCATGTACACTTCTAGCCTCTGTGTTTTATATGACTATGAAAGTTGTCAACCTTTCTGACAGGCTCAAAATGGTGCGGAGGTTTCTGGGATCTTGACAGTGATGACTCTAGGGATGTAAGTCCATTTCCTTGTCAAATGACTGTCTTTAAATATTTTTTCACTGCAAATGATGTTATCTTATAAAAAGAAATAAATTATGATGCAGGTTTTATGCTGCAGTTGCTAGAACAGCTTTTAAGGGTGATGGACAACAAAGTTTGCATCATTTCTGGTGCGCATTTTTTTTGGTGTCTATGAGAATTCTTCATCAGTTGTGCAGATTTTTGCTTTTCCTCATTCCATAATGCAGTTTTAGCAATTGATGCAGTATTGTAGATATATATATATATATATATATATATATATATATATATTTGAAATGAGGAATTTGATTCCTTCTGGATTACACTTTTTTGACTCACTGCATATCATTGAAGGAAAATGTGTCAAATGCTTCTTCTTGGCTTTGGCTTTAATATTTTCTTAATTCTAATAGATAAGATTGCGTAAGAGATGTAAACAAAGATACTGAGAATTTCTGATAAAACTTTCGAAATACAAGTGAGGGTAGTTTTCCAGGAGATTGAAAGAATTCATTTCATGGAATTTTACTGAAACAAAGCTCAACTGGAACAGGTATTACCCACCACGACTCTCACATAAGAATAATGTGAAATACAATCGAGGATAGTTTTCCAGGGTAGTTCTCTACATTCTTTAGAATGATATTTGTAGTGAAGGCGTTCTTGATCCAAGAGTGTAGGAGAACTGCTAAATTCTTCCAACTTAATTTTTTCGAATCTTGTGCTGTATGCACGACTTGACGGATTGTGGGATATAACGTGTTTTGTTTGGCATATTTATCTTATATTTTATGCCTTCATGTGCAGGGAAATGGTGTCGTACATTGCTAATACCCTTATATTCATTTTAAGGTAATTACTTCATGCATCTGCTCTTTTGTGTTATGTAACATCCGATGTAATTCTGCAAGTTTATACCCTCTATTTTTTCTTTAATTTCATAACAAAGTTGATTTTTATTTTGATGTGAGTAGAGGAAGGGGGGTTTAAAATTTCACTTGGATAAAATTTCACTTTTAGAAGAATATTTGTGTTTCAGAACTCGTGCAAAAAAGCTTGTATCATATGCATCTAGCCAGCCGTACTCTCAACCTGTCTAATTTGACACTACATCAGGGAAACTTCACTCGAGATTCTATACTCAAGAGAAGAATACTGGGTTCCAGTCCCGATCACTGGATCAGTCTGCATTTGCTAATAATTCTATTGGCTATAACTAATCCATTTTTGCAGTTGCAAGCAGATCTCGGTGATGACATGTGATCCAAACTTTGGCCCCTATGATATGTTATTTTTATCACTTGATAGTGTCTTTGTTCAAATTTAGTTATGGCTTACATCCATAGGGTCGCTTGGTTAGGGCATGTGTGGAACTTGGAGGTTTTGGCAGAGAGGGGGTAGCCTCCTGTTGCATCTTAGTTAATTGTTGTCGGTTCTGGAAGTTCAAAAAAATTGAACCATATCTGCTGCTTTGATCTGGTTTGTCACTTTTTATTTCTTAAATAAGGAGGCACTCATTGAACTTATGATTGATTGGCCTGCTGCCCCGTTTGGCTGAGATGGAAGCCAAAAAAATTCTGCAATCTGAAAATTATAATACTCCATAAAAAAGATTTTTCAGTAAGTTAAAAGCATCTAGAGTAAGGAGGTGATATTTCCATGTCTTTCTTGTGTGTCCGTTTCTATCTATTCAGCAGGATGTTCACTACCCCAAGTTGGGTGGTCTGGGTGTTGCCTGTTTATGTATTTTCTTGATTGAAGAGTATAGTCGTTGGAATCATCACACGGAGTGTACTATTTACATACTTTCTCATATAATGAAGTAAATGATTTGACTGAAAGTGGGTCACTAAAATTCGAGGAGTTTCAGAGGTTTTGGGTGCTTTTGATCAGTTCTAAACAGCAATGGATTGGGATGGGACAAGGTCTCAAATAGAATTTCCTGGTATTAAATCCATCATCAAGGTTGACAAACTTGACATTTTCAGTTGCCAAGTTTTCAGTCCGAGGGAGAATATGTTCGTAATGATGCACGATAAAGACATTTCTTAGTATTAGATCACTATGTTCCTTCAACTTTTCTTAAAAGATATTTCACTACTGGCCAAATTTGTTTTTTCTTTATAGTTTTTAATTATTAATATAAGTCAATTAGCCTAAGTTGAGTGTAATTATGACGTAGTGAAACTTGAAAAGGTAATGACTTGAATGAATTGTGATCAACTCTAATGTTGTGGGGGTCAAAGTCATGTCTTGAATTCTCGAAAAATGTGCTCTAGTGATTGTCTCTTCGCTCTGAATTCACAAGTTGAGGAGGACAGGTCCCTTGAGTAAGAGGGTGATTCTAAATCCAAAGAATCAAGAACAAGGTTCCCTGAGTACACAGGGGTGCTGGAGTCCACAAGTAGAAGAAGAGAATTTCAAGAGAAGAAACTCACAAAATTATATTGATAGAAAGTAATGTCTCTGGGGCTACATGGTGCCTTTAGATATGCTAAAGAGTCTTGATTTGGCACAAAGATTTGAATTTCAAATGAAATCTAAATTTAAAATCAAATTTCGAATGAAATTTGAATTTCAAAAATAAATTCTAAAATGAGAAATGAAATTTAAATTTCAAATAAAAATTTGATTCAGATGAAATTTAAATTTCAAACAAAAATTTGAATTTCAAGTGAAATTCAAAAAATAATAAAAATAGATATATTGGCCTAATTTCGTAATTGTGCCAACTAACTAAAGTGAGCTTCAAGCTGCAACAGTAATGGGCTTCTAGGTGCATCAATCGTGGGCTTCAGACTTCTTCAATAGTGAGCTTCAAGTTTTGGGCTGCATTAATTTCTCCTTCTTGAAAAGGACTCGTCTTGGAGTCTTTAACTTGCTCTGAATAATACTCATAGATATCCATAACATTGAATGTAGATGAGATTCCCATTGTCTATGGTAAGTCAATGACATATGTGTTATCATTAATCTTTTGATGGACTTTAAATGGACCATACTTCCGTGGACTGAGTTTTTGATATTTTTTTGCTGACAATCATTCTTTTCTTAAGTATATCATAACCAAATCACCAACATCAAAGATCTTCCTTCTTCTTTTTCTATCTACCTTTTCCTTATAGTTTGAATAATTAGTTGTAAGATGTTTCTTCACATTCTCATGTATTGTTTGGATGTATTCTGCCATGTTATTTGCAGCTACACTAGTACCAGATTTTCTTAGTATTTCAATAAGTCAAGAGGGACTTTTGATGAAAAATAATAGACAATAGAAAATGAAGAATAATTTGTAGCCTGACTTATCATAGAACTGTATGCGAATTTTGCTTGAGCTAAGCCAAGATTCCATTGTCTTGATTTGTCTCTTGAAATACAACGGATTAAATTATCAAGTGTTTTGTTAACCACTTCTGTTTGACCATCAGTTTGTGGATGACTTGAAGTACTGAATTTTAAGCATGAGTCAAATCTGTTCTAAAGAGTATGTCAAAATGAGACATAAATTTTGAGTCTCTATTAGATGTAATAGTTTTAGGCACTCCATTCAAATGAACTATTTCCTTGAAAAATAAATTTGCTATTTTTACGACGTTATTAGTCTTTTTACATGCAATAAAATGTGCCATTTTAAAAATCTATCCACAACTAAAAAGAAGAATCTACTCCTCTTTGAGTACGTGGTAATCTTAAAATAAAATCCATAAAAATGTTAGTCCATGCTTTATCTGGAATGGGTAATGGAGTGTACAGATCTTTGTTCTGGCACTGTCTTTTATTAGCTTGACAAATTTGATATTTTCATTCAAAACTTTTAACTTTCTTTTTACGTTGTGGCCAATAATAACATTCTTTCATCATTTTCAAAGTCTTGTCATGTCCCCCAAGTCTTCGTGTATGTAATTTCCGAATTAACTTCTCACACAAAGAAGCTCGAGGGATATATAACTGATTTTCTCAAAATAAGTAATCTTCAAGAATATGAAATCCTTTGGATAGTTTGTCTTGTTTACATATATATCATATTTGAGCAAAATCTTCATCTCCTCCATAGAGTTCTGTTAGATATTCAAAACCATTAACTTCACCTCTCATTATAATTAGAAATACTGATTTTCGGCTCAATGCATCAACCACTTTATTTGATTTTCCTGATTTGTGCTTTATCACAAAAAAAAACTTTTAAATAAATGAAATCTATCTAGCATGCATTCTGTTGATAGTGGTTTGATTATTGATTGATTTCAAAGCTTGATGGTCAGTAAATAAAATAAATTCTCATTGAATCAAGTAGTTTTTTCAAATATGTAATGATTTAACCATAACATAAAATTTTAATTCATACATAGTCCACTTTCTTCTGGCTTTTGTTAATTTCTCATGATAAAGAGTGATTGGATGACTTTCTTAGGATAATACAACTTCAATTCCAGTAATTGAAGCATCACATTCGACTTCAAATAATTTATTAAAATTTGATAGTGTTAGTATAAGGGTAGAACTTAATTTTTCTCTTATTAGAATGAAACTTCTATCTGCTATATCTGTCCACTAAAAGTTTTCTCTTTTTATACACTCAGTGATGGGATCATAATTGAACTAAAATTTCAAATAAATCTTCTATAAAAGGATGCTAAGCTATGAAAACTAAAAACATCATGTATATTCGTTATAATTAATCAGTCTTTAATAGCTTCAACCTTTTCTTCATCTATTTTGACGCCTTCTACACCTACAATATATCTCAAAAAAACTAAACTTGAAGTAAGAAATTTGCATTTCCTTAAATTGGTAAATAACTTATTTTGTTGTAAAATAGTCAATATAGATCTTAAATAATGATGATGTTCTTCCTCTATGGAATTGTATATCAAAATATCATCAAAATAGATAACAATTTTTTTTTCAATAAAAGGCTTCAATACTTGATTCATCATTCGCATAAAAGTATTTGGGGCATTAAGCAAGCCAAATGACATAACCAACCATTCATATAATCCTACTTTCATCTTGAAAGCAGTCTTCCATTCATCACTTGGACGAATTGGAATTTGATGATACCCACTTTTAAGATCAATTTTGGAGAAGATTCTGGAACCACAAAGTATGTCAAGTATATCATCAAGTCTTGGAATTGAAAATCTATATTTCACTATGATTTTGTTAATTGCTCGACTATCTACACATTCATTAGGTTCTATCTTTTTTTGAAAGTAATAATGCAGGTACTGAGCATGGGCTCATACTTTCATGAATTAATCCTTTCTCTAGTAACTCTTCAACTTGTTCTTGCAGAATCTTATTCTCCTTAGGGCTCATTCTATAATGAGGTAAATTTGGCAAACTTGCTCTAGGAATCAAGTCTATATGATATTGTATGTCCTTGAGCGAAGGAAGATATATAGGAGAATATTATGTGATAGAAAACTCATTTAACATATTATGTGCAACCTTAAGTATAACACCAAAATAATTCAAATAAACATTCTCTTTTTCAACTAACATAAATATTTCAGAATTTTCTTTCAAAGTATTTAAAAATTCTTTTTTATCAATCATCATAACTTACTTCTTCTTTTTTTTAACTATGTTGAAAAACTTATTTTCTTTATTGGACATAAAACAAATTTCTCACCATTTTTTTAAAAAACATAATAATTATCTTTGCCCATGTGAGTTACATCTAGAATCATATTGTCATGGTCTACCCAAAATTAGATGACAGGCATCCATCTTAACAACATCACGATAAATTTCATCAAAATAAACTTTGCTTATTGAGAACTTAACTAAATATGTCTTTGTAACTCTAATTTCATAATCCTTCTTTATTCACCCAATCCTATATGGATGTAGATATTTTTTAATTTTCAGCCCTAGTTTCTATACCATCAAAAAAGAAACAATATTTTCACTACTACCATAATTAATAATCACATCACATACCTTCCCATCAACAGTGTATTTTGTTCTGAAAATAGTATGACACTAGGGAGGTTCTTCCTTCTTTGGTGCATACATCAACCTTTGAATGACTAAAAAGTGACCAAAGTCTTCTTCTTCTTCACCTTTAATAATATTTTTTTGAATTTCTTCATGATATTTCCACCCTTAATTTCATCTTCATCTATGGCCTTTGTGAAATTTACAGCACCACATTTTGGACAAACATTTGATTTGTGACCCTCGTCATTACATCTGTAACACTTTGGAATAGAGCTAGGAATATATGGATTCTTTTGAGAAGAATTTCACCCACTAGGAATAGATCTACTTGGTCTTGGTACAACTAAGGTTGTTGATCTTCCATTACTAGTAGTAGATGAAATATGTGATGGTCTTGACCTATCTGGCTGAAATGCTGACACATTAATAGAATTTTTAGTTCTGGTTTTTTCTCTCCAATAAAGCTTCAGCATGTTTTGATGCCATAATAATATCATTTAATTTGAAAAATGATTGTAAAGCCACCTTTTCTTCAATATCCCATCGAAGTCCACTTTTAAATCTAGATATCATACAAGATTCAGATTCAATCAAATCAACTCTTGAAGAAAGTCTATAAAATTCCTCATCATATTTTGTGTCAAATCTACTTCTCTATTTACAACTTTGATATTGATGATATAAAACATGTTCATAATTAGGAAGAAGAAATCTAGATTTTAATAATTTCTTCATTTTATCCCAACTTTGAACTTAATCTTTTCTTCATATTGCATGAGTGGATTGTAGCTGATCCCACCATGTAGAGGCCCCACCTTTGAGTTTATAGGTAACTAATTTTACCTATTTCTCATCAGAAATCTTCATATATTCAAAAAATCTCTCAACTTTAGAAATCCAATCTAGAAATTCTTCTATTTTCAAATGTGCATTCAAATTAGGCAAATTAATTTTCATTCGAAAATCTCTACAATCATCATAATCTGATCTACTTTTTGAGCTTGCTATATCATTTGATAAGTTTTTATGTGAGAGATTACAAAAATCAATTTATTTTTGACCAATTGGACCATGAGATTGACATTCCATTGCAGACATTCGTGCTAAGATTTGCTTCAAAGTGTCATTAAAAACTTCAATTTTTTGTTCCATATGAGTCTTGAAATCAACAAACTTTGATTTTGAAATAGGACATACCTTAGAACTTTCATTGTCATTGATGTGAATCCCTTTACCTCATGACGTCTTGCAAATCTAAATCTAAAATGCTGACCTTGCTCTGATACCATTTGATGCAGCGAAACTTGAGAAGAGAATGGCTTGAACGAGTTGTGATCAATTCTACTGTTGTGGGGATCGAAGTCACATCTTGAATCCTCGAAAAATATGTTCCAATGGTTGTCCCTTCACGTTGAATCCACAAGTTGAGGAGGACAGGCTTGAGTCCACAAGGGGGTGATTCTGAATCCGCATAATCAGGAACAAGGTTCTCTGAGTCCACAGGGGTACTAGAGTCCACCAGCAAAAGAAGAGAATTTCAAGAGAGAAACTCACAAAACTATATTGATAGAAAGTAATATGCCTCTAAGGCTACATGGTGCCTTTAAATAGGCTAAAAAGTTTCAATTTGGCACCAAGATTTGAATTTCAAATAAAATCTAAATTTGAAATCAAATTTCGAATGAAATTTGAATTTCGAAAATAAATTCTAAAATGAGAAATGAAATTTAAATTTCAAACAAAAAATTGAATTTTCAGATGAAATTTGAATTTCAAATAAAATTTAAATTTCGGATGAAATTTGAATTTCGAATTTGAATCTAATTTCGAAAAATAATAAAAATAGATATATTGGCCTAATTTCGTAACTGGGTCAGCTAACTAAAGTGGGGTTTAAGCTGCAATAGTAATAGACTTCTAGGTGCATCAATAGTGGACTTCAGGTTACTTCAGTAGTGGGGCTTCAGGTTTTAGGCTGCATCAAATTAAATGCCTATTTACCAAGTTGTTACATTGAATGAGGTCTGTGGTGAGTTACTAACTGCTCACTTGGATATTAGGTAGGTAGCAAAACCACTAAGTCATACAAAATGTCAATAGTATACTTACTATGAATAAGAAGATTCCTTTTCTAAAAATGTTTTGATACTTTCTTACAACTTCTTGAGATAGACAAGAGGTGAGGAGATGGAAATTATGATCCATGACCACCATATATGATAGAAGTATTTTTGCTTTTGTATCCTCTAATGAGAGTATTTTAGATTTTTACTCATTAGTTGTTTTCTTTCTTTATTTACCCTAATACAACAACTTCAAGTTTCGAGCTCGAAGCAGCACTCTTGTTATTTGTGGTTAAGACGCACCAAATTTAAGTCCAAGTAAAAAGACTGAAAACTTAACGTGTTCATGAATGGTGAGTTAAGAATAGTCCCATACTGTCATTAAAAAAAATACAGAGAGGATTAAAATGATGGATCTAATTTATTTGATTCGGTTAGCTTGAAAGATTTACCTCCTTTCTTCATTTCCTAATGTCCAACAGTTGTAGATTGCTGAAAAAGGAACATAGTTGGAGTCTGTATTTTACAGATCTTGTTGATGACATCTGAGTGGGAGGCGAAATGATGATGAATGATTTTTAGCATCAGATGGTTGGGAGAATTGAATGGTGAGGCTGTGGTATTTGTGGTTGACTGGAGGAAAAATTCTGCCCAAACCTTTTTGGGTTATGGACTAGGGTGGGGGAGGCAGGGAGGGGGACGTCCATCACTGTTCACAATGTTATGGTGAGAAACATAGTAGTGACAGATGGCATGGTGTAGGACGGGATGGCAGAGTTAATGCCAAGTTGGGCAGATGGAGTCCGATGTGGGGAGGTCCTCTTATCTCGCCTGGCAACCATGCATCTTCTGATGCTACTATTTGTTCTTTTTTATGGTGAATCATCTATAATCACATGACGAGTTATGAGTTTCAAACTTAAAATGGAAACTACACTATCGTTCATCACTCCTAGATCTCTTCCAATATTGTGTTCCAGCGTTTTTTAAAAGAAACTTAATTTTACACCATGTCTCTCGAACAACCACTGTTTGCATAATTTTTTTTCCATCTGTTGAATTTCTAGTCAACCAGTTATAGAGAATATGCCTGTCATTTTCCTAATTATTTTCTGTACCAAATGAAAGACAATAGCATTTTGCTTAACGCATTAAAAAGTATTCTTGTCCTTACCTTTATGTGAAATTTCAACCTTCTGACATAGTTCTAATGGTGCTATCTAATTGTCTCAGTGGGGTCGTAATAGCTGAGGGAATCCTTCAAAATAAAGACCATTTTGAAAACCATGGTAGTTATTCAATGGCTTGCTCTTCCCGTTTTATTTAATTATGCTGTTTCTACGAGCTATATCTCAAAGCCATACATTTCAATCATCATTTTTTTTTCTGACTTCTATTTCTTTCCATTGTTAGTTGACGTCACTTAGATTAATCGTTTAGTTTCTGAATTATATATAGTTTGCAAGATGTTTTTTGTGTAGAATTTTAGATTTTTTTTTCATGTGACTGATCAAATACCAGATGGGAAAAAATTAGGAACATATCTCACTTAAGGCTCTGGGCGAAGAGAACTTGAACGATAAGGTAAAACTTTGGAAGAACAATCGCGTTGGTTATTGGGAAAACCTATTTTTCAGTGGTTTTTTCTCAGAACTCTCATGTAGACCACACCACTGGGTTTGAGTTTTTGTTCACCTCTTCAAAGAGTTACAGTGCCCGTAATAACCATACATGACGCTTGAAAACATGTGTAATGGATAGAGAGAATAAAGCGTAGTGAAGATCCCATATGAATTATATGGTCTATGAAGTCAGCAACCCAGTGACGACTACGAGAAGAGAGCTGTCCTCATAAAGGCTATTGTAATGCTGTCCTCATAAAAGACTCCTGGTCACCATGAACTTTTTAAAGTTTTTAATCGTCTGCTATTTATGGATTCAGGAAGTCAAGACGTCCATATTTTGTTCAAATGTCGATCTGAATTGTCGTTAGATGAGTGCACATTTTTTTTCACGGTGGCTTGATTGGGTGATCATTTTAATGTCTGTGTAATTACTGACAGGTAATTTTGGGCTCTGGTTTCCCCTAAGGCTTTTGTTTTGTTGATGTAATGGTGCCATGATATCAAATAGCATACATAAAGGGAATAATCAGTTAGAGAAAGAAGGGAATAATCAGTTAGAGAAAGATTACGGATAAATCATAAATAATCGCAAATGAAAGATGAACTTCTTTAAAACATCATTTTAGAAAAAAAAAATGGTGTTACAAATCGGATTCTACCTTCAAATTTCTAGATCCTTCCTGATCCGGATCGGATCAGTCAAATCAGCCGATATTATCCAATATATTCAAAAAGAAAATTAGAAGTGACACCTTATAGCCATCAATATGCATATGTTTTTTAATAAGACATAAAGATAAAAATTGAGAAATAGACTTTTAAGGATATACCATCTGTATAACCTTGCCTTTCCTTAATGCGTTCTCATGCACGAATGGGATGGGAGAATCCTGCTCTGAGTCTGTGCAGTTGGTAGCAATGTCAGATGAAATCTGGTTTTCACTGGATCGCATGGTTTCAGAGAAACATTTCGTGTTACCCTTTGTCTTCTTTCACTATGCATCGGTCATTTCTCTTCTCATAGCAAACGACAATACCTGTGCCCATCTTTCATTGACTGTTACTCACCATGGCATGAAATCATAATATGATGAAGCCCCACCCTGCACTTGAGTGCCTTTCTCCTCTGCCATTGAACCCACAAGGGGACGATAGGTTCAAATCCCCATACTTCCAAGCTCAGAACAAGAGACAAGGACGAGAGCATCTGATCAAAGGTTGCCATCAAAGTGAATGAAATCTGTTAAGCATCAAAGCATATGATCTCTATCGGTGAAGTATATCGATATTTCTGTAGCACATACCTGCTATAATAAACCATGCACCAAGACTAAAAAGAAAGAATCGCGTCAACCCTGGTCTCTATGAACTTTTTCAGAATGCACGGATACAATTTGATTATCTTGGTGGTTTTATCACCGCATGATTTTTTCCATTACGACAAGATTTTTTGTCCACTCAATATGTACTCTTCCTAATAGTAATTATTTCTCATGTTTATTGCTCGATCATTCCTTGAAAAAACTTAAAATGCATGCGATTTTTGAAATTTTGCTTTCAGAAAATTATTCTAACTATTTTCTTCTCTTTCAGGATTGTCATGGGCCTATCTTATTCTCCTCTATGCTTTTGTCCAGCTCTCTCGAGCCATAGTCGTGGTGCTTTTATATCCCTTTTTACAGTACTTTGGCTACGGGTTGGACTGGAAAGAATCAATGATTCTTATATGGTCGGGATTGCGAGGGGCCGTGGCATTGTCACTTGCGCTATCGGTTAAAGAAAGTTTCACATCTCTACTCATTTCCTTGATGATATTTAATCATTTATTCTAATAGAGAATTATTTTCAAAATTTCATGAACTTTTAATTTTTTTGTAAAGATTATTATAAATCATAGTGAATCTATATGTTTTTATTAGTTTTTTGTGGTTTGATCTTTTCATAATTATCTGTATGAGACAAATTTTTGCATGAATTTTTTGAGCGAACCTTGAGCTTTAAGTATTCACATTTCATATCATGGATCATTCAAATCTTGCAATAGACATTGAAGCACAATGGTCAGAGAAACTCCATAATGGGAGCAATGACTAACAGTCAGAATAACTCTCTTCCAACTATAAATATAACATGAATGTGAATAACTACATATAGAATTTGAAGCATAAATTTTAATTATTTTATGTTAATTTGCATTATTCACTGGAAGTACTCCACTCTTTGTTTTCCTGCAGCGTGCTAGTGACAGCCAGCATTCAGTTGATCTCAAACCCGAAGTGGGTACATTGGTATGTATTCATCTACATTCTGAAGTCCTTGGATTTTTTCTGTTAGATTTTAAAATTATAGTAAATTAATGTATTTTGTATTCTACAGTTTGTTTTCTTCACTGGTGGAATTGTATTCTTGACCCTTATCATCAACGGTTCAACCACACAGTTCTTGCTGCATTTTTTGGAAATGGATAAGCTGTCAGCTGCAAAGGTACTAGTTTAATTTCATCTTATTCTCCTCAAGTGAAGAATCTATTATCTAAATATTACATTTTTCCTTGGTGGATAAAATTTTCCCCATTAATAATTTTCTTTACAATTATGAACCTTCTGTTAGAAATAATTTTTCCATTTACTGTTCTGTCCTTTATTTCTCTGTCCATCGTTCCTTGTAACAGAACAATAGACTTAACCAGTTCAAATTGAACCAGTCCAGTTTACCCTCTCCCGTTTCAGAACAGCTGGTCGGTATAAATACCAACCAGCATGTAAGCATTAGAGTGTGATGAAATTTAGGGCTTCGACCTTCTTCTTTTCGTGTCTCTCTCTCGTGTTCACTGCTAGCACAGACAAGAAGGAAGGGAGGTGTTCGGAGATGATCAAAGTCCAGCACGATTTCTAACAATCCCCATTGCTTTGTATGTACCCGAATCCCTTCATAGCTTGAGTGAATCTCTCAAACTAGGCTCGGGGTGATTGTTTCAAGTCATATAGAGATTTCTTCAACCTGCAAACAACATTATTTTAATGAGTAAATGTGTAACTTGGAGGTACATTCATGTATACATTTTCCTCTAAATTTTCGTGAAGAAATGTATTTTTCACATCGAATTGATGTATTTCCCATCCTAGATTTACTATCAATGTTATGAGTATCTGGATAGTATTCAACTTTGCAACATGAGCAAACAGAAAGGAAACACTTGATGCAGCTTTGTATAGAGAGTAAACAGAAAGAGATAGAACCTATGAATATCTTGTGGGACTGAACTCTGAATATGATCAAGTCAGAATTCAGATCCTAGGAAGAGAGAAATTACCTCCTCCCAATGAAGTAATCTCCCTAGTAAGAGGAGAAGAAAGTTGTCAGAACCTAATGCTTGGTTCTCATAACGTGGAAAATTCAGCATTTATGGCTAGAAATAGAAAAATTATAGCAATAACAGTACCAAAACAAAGGGTGAACCTTCAAGACAAGAGAGGACTTCTAGCATTGATTTTAGAGACAAGTTATGGTGTACATATTGCAAGAAAACAAGGCACACAATTGATAGGTGTTATAAGTTACATGGAAGGCCTCAAAGTCATGAATGGATACAAAAGAAAAGACAACAAAGGAGTGAAAATCAAGCACATATATTTGTTGTCCAACAAGGGGAAGTAAATACCTCAGCTGCCATAGAAGAAGGTCCACAAGCTCAAGTATTACAAGCTTCGTGTTCATCTAACTATTCAAGTAAGTCTCCAATTTTTATTGGGTTGAGTGCCTCAACAAATAGTAAATCTTCACCCTGGATCATTGATTCAGGGGCCACAGAACATATGACCTATGTCTCTCATCTATTTAACTCATATGCTCCTTGTCCAAGCAATAGAAAAATTACCACAGTTGTTGGTTCCTCAATCATGGTTGCTGGGATAGGAAACATTTGCCTATCACCTTATAGTACCTTGAAAAATGCACTTCATGTTCCTATGCTGACCACCAACCTAATTTCTGCTAGCAAACTCACATGTGACCTAGGTAATGTTGTGTTTGATCCTAATACTTGTTTGTTTTTAGACAAGATGTCTGGGAGGACGATTGGATGTGCTAGAGAATAGAGTGGACTCTATTATTTAAAGTTTCCAAGCCAATCAAACATTGCAGTAGATCAAAACAACATTCCCAAGATGAGTCAAATGGGACATCCCAGACTAGCACCTTACCTATTGATGAAGACCTACCTATTGCCCTTCAAAAAGAGAATGTACCAAAAAACGATTATATCCTATGACACTTTTTTTGTCATATAATAGATTATCGCCTTCACACAAGGCCTTTGTATCTAACCTAAATACTACCTCAATCTCAAAGACTGTTTTTGAGGCTTTAACTCATGAGAAGTGGAGACAAGCTATGAATGAGGAGATGGAAGCTTTAAGGAAAAATGATACTTGGGGACTTGTACGTCTGCCAATAGGGAAGAAAGTTGTTGGCTGCAAATGGGTGTATACAATTAAATACCATTCAGATGGATCTATAGAAAGATACAAAGCCAGGCTGGTTGCAAAAGAATACACAAAAAATTATGGAGTTGATTCTCTTGAAACTTTTGCACCAGTAGCAAAAATGAATACAATTAGAGTACTTTTGTCATTGACAATTAACTCTGATTGGGATCTTTAGTAATTTGATGTTAAGAATACATTTTTACATGGTGAATTAGAAGAGGAATTCAGATGTGGATATGAGAGAAATTCAGATGCTAATATTGTGTGCAGGCTGAAAACGAAAATATTGCAGTAAGGTCTCAACCAGCTAATTCTCCAATTGATCCTAATCTCAAGTTAAGTGCAGTGGAGGAAGACATTGCTGTGGATAAAGGGATGTATCAACGACTGGTAGGTAAACTGATTTATCTATCAGATACACGGCCAGACATAGCATATGCAGTCAGCGTCATTAGTTAGTTCATGCACAATCTGAAACAAATACATTTACAGGCAGCATATCCTGTTCTACACTTTCTAAAAGGAACACCAGGAAAAGGTATTCTGTTAAAAAAACATGATTATCTAACACTTGAAGTGTACACAGATGCAGATTATGCTGGATCTATTGTAGATCGACGATCAACATCAGGATACTGTACATTTCTTAGAGATAATCTTATTACTTAGAGAAGTAAGAAATAGAATGTCATAGCTAGATCAATTGCAGAAGCTGAATTTCGTGCTATGGCACAAGATATTTGTGAGATTTTATGGGTCAATATCATATTGAAGGATTTGAAGATCAACATAGATGGTCGGTCTAATGAAGCTTTATTGTGTTAATAAATCGGCGATCAATATTGCTCACAACCTTGTTCAGCATGACATAACTAAACACAGAGATTGATCGTCACTTCATAAAGGAGAAGATAGATAGTGGACAGATATGTATTCTATATGTGCCTACAACTGATCAAATCGCAGATATATTCACGAAAAGACTACATGATAACATATTCTATCATCTTGTGTCCAAGCTGGGAATGGACAACATACATTCACCAACTTGAGGGGGAGTGTTAGAAATAATTTTTCCATTTACTGTTTCGTCCCTTATTTCTCTGTCCATCGTACCTTGTAATAGAACAATAGACTGAACTAGTTCAAATTGAACCGGTCCGGTTTACCCTCTCCCGTTTCATAACAGCTGGTTGGTATAAATACCAGCATGTAAGCATTAGAGTGTGCTGAAATTTAGGGCTTCGGCCTTCTTCTTTTCATGTCTCTCTCTCTCGTGTTCACTGCTAGCACAGACAAGAAGGAAGGGAGGTGTTCCGAGATGATCAAAGTCCAGCACGATTTCTAACACCTTCGTTGCATTGTAAACCTTTGACTTTGGGGTAGTGGCGAAACAAACTGGTTGCATTATGTGACATGAAATTGGTCAACATTAATATGACATAAAGGGCAAATCCTGCAGTTAACAGACAAAAGTGATAAAGAATAATGGACATGAGTCTGTTGAATTGTATTTTTGGATACCCAGGTTCAGTTAAAATGTTATCCATTGCTTTCTGAGCCTGCTTATGGAGGTAATACATGGACCAATGATGGAAAGCTCAATTCCTTTGTTTCAAAGAACATTACGGTTGAGGTCAGGGTATATCTCCTCTTAGCACCTCTGAGGAGGCTGATGGGTGGCACACAAGAAAAAAGCAATGTAGGCTTGTTACACACAGCCACCCTCTCAAGAGAAGGAAAGCTGATCATAAATATTGACTTACTCCTGGTCGATGGTATAGAACACTAATGCAGAAACAAAAAGTAAGAAGGAATAACAATAGAAGTGAGTTCAAACTAGTAAATATCAGATCTTTGGGCCTGATATTAGGATCAAAGCAAACATATGACTCCCTTTTTTACTTTCCCCCTAATCATTGATGAATATTGATGTCTCTTATGATCAGAATTTCAATGTGTCAAAAACCATACAGTGAAGCAAATCCTAGGATACATAGCGGAAAAAATACATATTTCTTATTCACGTTATAGATGATTATTAGCTACATAGAAGCACAAGGACCACGAAATAAGAAAATTATACAGCAAAATAGGAAAGTGACCAACTAAGAGTTGAATTCTTGGATATACATTCTTTCCAACTCTCCCCCACAAACTGGTGAATAGGATACTCTTCGTTCTCCATTCTCAGCTTGGATAGATGGCCCAAAAAAATGTGGTAGATGGCCCTTTGAAATGTTTGACTAGCTTGGTGCTTTTAGCTACTAGAGCCCATCCCATTTTTTAGCATAGACAATCTTTCTCTCTGAATTATTTTCATGAAATACTCGACGATTATGATGAAAAATCACATTGCAATATAAATCTCGAGTAAGCTTTCTGATAGGCAAAAGGTTTGTGGATAATTTAGGGATATGAAGAACACTTCTGAAGGTCAATGAAGGGCTTATTTTACATCTCCTATAATTGCTTCAGTGGTTAAAGAGCCATCATTGTGGCTATTTTTCTACTGTTTGGACAAGGAAAGTATGTTGAAGAAGACATTTGGTGAGTGGATCACATGGTTGGTAGCTCCTAAATTCATGATTTAGACGTTGTCAAAGGTTCTGCCCAAGGCATTTGATCCAAAAAAAGATTGAAACTCACCTGAACACGAAAATTAATAAGAATCAGTTTTGTTAATGAGAGAACTCGCCTCTTGACCTCTTCTTGTTTGAGACTACCTCTAGCCACGATTGCCAAGTCGTTGATGTTTTGTGGTTCAAGCATCAAGCCTCTCCTGCTCTCCTTCGATTGTGTTATAGCAATCATCTCTACAAGTTCTTATATATGTAGAAAAACTGACAGATATTTGCAGCAGAAGGATTGTTGGTGTTTAAGCTTGGGAGTGTTGACAGTGAAGGTCAGTGATAGGGAGATTGTCAGCAATTATGACTGAAATGTTCGAAAATCAAGGTCGACGGTCAACAAGGGGTTATCAATAATCAAGGCTGAAAGGATCGGCAATGAAGGTTCAATAATCAAAAGGGGTTATGAGCAACACAGGTTGAAAGGACCGACGATGAAGATCGATGATCGAGAAAAGGGTTTGAGAACAAGACTGAAAGCGGAGGAATCGACGATCTGCGGCCGCCACAAAGTGTGTCATAGGATGGGCAGTGTCTTTGGCAACAAACCCTTGGATGCTCTGGAATCAAACGCTAAGGAAGAGAGAAAAGAACGGCACGAACCCGGTGTTCGTGGGGCAGTACCTTTCGCTGCCTTTGATTCCGTTGTCGGTTCTTCTCCTCTGTGGTCGAGCGCCCAGAACGACGAGATCCTCCTGGTTCGTGAACAGCAGCCCAGGACTAATTTGAGTGGTTATCTTAGCAAGCCCTGGGCCACCGCAGAAGTCATGATGCAAACTCTAGATTCTCTAGAAGCCAGCGACTACAAACCAGACTCTGATACCATGTCAAAAAGTACACAATGTCGCAAAACCTAGGAGGATATACAGTGGGAAAAAAAAACTATACTTTATCGTTCACATGATAAATGACTGTTAGTTACATACAAGAGCCAAGAAATAAGAAAACTATCTAACAAACTAGGAAAGTGACCAACAAAGAGCGGAACTCCTAAGTATACATTCTTTCCCTCATACGGGGATTTGGAGAGTTCATTCTATGGGAAATCCCACCGTCATTCTGTCAGCGTCCTGATCCTGTTGAATGAATAAATTGGAATAATTTGCTCACGAGAGTCTGTGCCCAAAGTATGAACTTAAGGAGGTGAATATAAGATTGAGCATTAAATTTTATGTTTTTTAAGCCAGAGTGGCTCTTGAGCCATTTTATGTTTTTTTTTTCCTGTTTTCGATCTCGAAGAATAAGAAGGGAACAACGTGTGACTATCAATCAGATGGTCTATGGCATTTCAATGAGAAGAGAAGTAAGAGGGGAAAACGGGATGTGATGTTCCATTCATTCGATCTCGTGCATTACCTGGCTTGCTGGATGAAAGGGATGTAGAAGTAGAGGTTTCTATCTATGAAAGGGCTTTTTATACTTTCCTAATATCATTTGGAGACATCAAACTTGAATAAAACTCAGGAAGAATCTCTGTGCTGCTGTCCATCATTTGCACATTTGAACTAGAAGCGAGTTATCTTTGCCACGTGCAAGAAAGAGGTGCTTTTTTTATCTAATTCATTCTCTAGCACGAGAAATTAGAGGTTCTACAGATGAAATTAATTGAGTGATACCTCAGGATAGGATCTATAAACTGACAAGATGATAGTGGGCCAAGAGAACTGAATTCATGAATGGATTGCTATGAGCCTTCCCTCAGTGTGGGATCTCAAAACCTCTTTATAGACTTCGTAACTGTAGAAAATTGAGAGAGAAACCTCTGTCATGGAGGACAGAGGGGAGAACGGCGGAAACCGTCTCAATTCCATTCAACTATTACACCCTTTAATATAGGGAGAAACTCTAGACAATTTTCCAAAAACACCCTCAATAGTTTTACACCCTTTACTCTATTTTCCTACGACCTAGAACTTCCAAGAGAAATATATAAAGGAGGGTGGGAAAAATCTGTATAGATAGAGTCAATAGTTTTACTCTATGACAGAGATTGCTAAAGCCGCAATCATAGTGGTGCCTCAGCTTTTCAAACTACTTCTAAATTTATTGATCAGATTTGTATGCATTGGTTGGTGAATACAGAATTTTTGGGCGGAGCCATAACAAAATTGAGTTTATCATGGGAACCATTGAAGAGCATATTATAACTCATCCCCAATACAAGCCCGGTTCCATGTCAACATATTGGTTTTTATTGTTACTAAGTTCTGTTTGTTAGAGGATATTACGCTTAGATCTTCTAATACTGTTAATGAAAGGGCACATCAAATGATCTTGTTTAAGAAGATCAAATGATATTTGCAAAACTCTAGAAGAATTGTTTCATCGAAAGAAATGCAGTGTCTGGTGTTAGTAAGTAAATCACGGGAGGCATGAATTGGGTCAGGGTTCAATGTAGTTTACTGGCTTTTTGGATGCTCTAAGCCATGTGGTATGTGTTTCATTATTTCCTCATGAACGAATAGTCTTGTATTGAAGATCAGAAGGGACATGAGAGACGGGCACATGAAACGCCTCTAACAAGACAATTTTCAACTTTCTTGTAAGGTTCAACAATGAGTTTGAAACGTTAGTGTAAATTGTAAACATGAATGTTACCCCTTTGTCAGGCCATGTATACAATAATATGTCATATGGGGATGGACAATAATACGTGATAACCTGAAACCTTAAATCTTCTATTTCTGAGGCAGAGAGCAAGCGTTAATATCTTGCAAAAAGCACCCAAGACCCAAGGTTTAAAGAAAATATGAGTGAAATGATGGGTATACATTGTGGGAGAGGCTTAATCATGAAGTGGGACAACTACCGTTGTTCGGAGTTATATCCTTAAAGAAGCCAGTAAAATTCAGAATTGCAGAGAAATGATAGGTAATGCATAACGATGTTGCAGCTACGCCAATTAATCACCTGAAGAGGGACATGTCATTAAAGAGCTCCTGTATAAGTTCACTTGTGCTAGTATATTTGGGAATCTCTGCTTTAAATATCACAAGCTCCCAATAGATTCTACAACAACTTGTGACAGTCTCCCAAACTTCTTTTCATTTGGCATTGCCAATTATGATATTTGGGGTCCTCCCATGTCTTTAGGAATTGGTACAGATATTTTACTACCTTGATTGATGATTTTACTCATTCCACTGGGGTATATTAATGATTCTAGATAGGAAGTTCTGCTAATTGTTTCAGTTTTCAGTAATTTGATTAATTGATATGGAGGTTAAACTGTTCCAATCAAACAATTTATCTAGAAAGTTTATAAACATTTTGATGGAAGATTAAGGCGTTATTTATGAGTTATTTGACATATATACTCTTGAAAATGATGTTTCAGAAAAGGAAAAAGAGTCATATTCTTTAGATTGCTTTGAAAAATAGTGTCATATCATCGGCCCAAAAAATATTGGAAAAAATGTATTTACAGGTTCAGATAGTATAAATCGAATGCTATTTACAGGAATTGGGAATCGGCCCTTTATACTCGTTCTGCTTTACTTCGAGAGTTTGCCCTTCTTTTGCTTTATCAACCTCTAAAGTCCTCCCCCCACCGAACTTAGTCCTATATTTTGATTTCTTTGTCACTCAGTATATAACTACCTCGATCCAAACATTGTGAGGAAATATGTCCAGATGTATGTCAATTTCAATGGTCAGACTATTTCCTTGCAAGTCTCTTATAGTGCGGGAGAACATTCATCATCTCAATTTGTTCTCATAGCTTCATTTTAAAGACATTGTTCTCTATCACCCTATCCATTTGTTTAACACCTTCAAGTGCCACTAGTAATTCTACATGAGCAAAACTTGCATAAGATGGGACTTTAAAAGAGATAATCAATTATTATAGGAGCAATAATAAGAACAATGACAAAGATAGGTCATACTGGATGGTCATCTCATGAGGTCCTTGAGTCCTAAATATTTTAAATGGAATATGAACTGGGTAGGAACGGGGATATCATATTGTTTTGTACATAACCCTAATCCATCCTCTTTTCTTTCATCGTACATATCTCAGATCTTCATTCTTCTTAACACAAGTAATAGATTGTCATAAATTACTTCTCTTGCTTTTCATCAGTGAGTTGAAAGGTACAGGCAACATAAGATGTTTTCATAAACATCTCTTGTAAACATCAAATAGTTTTCTTCCTTAATGCGATGTGTTGGATTCTACTCTCTACAGTTGATAATCTAGGCTATAGCTACATTATTTTCCTCAAATTTATACCCTTGCTTAACCACTTTTCCCTAATCCAACTATGAGCATCTAGCCCCCTTTTTACCATGTTATGTAATTATCCTGAACGTTTTATTAGAATAACTTGAATGATTAGTATTGGAAATGAGAGAAACGACCTCTGTCATGGAGGACAGAGGGGAGAATGGCGGAAACCGCCTCATGATTCATTCACCTCTAAACCCCATTATATAGGGAGGAACATTACACAATTTTTGCAAAACACCCTCAGTCTTTTGCATAATTTTCTTACGACCTAGAATTTCCAACAATTATTAGTTCTCACTTTCCAAGTTTACAAGTTAGTATGTAGGTGATACAATGAACTTAAATAATCCCACATTGGGAAAAAAAAAACTATGTAGGTGGTTTTGATTTGGATGGCCCATTAACTTTCACACTTTTATAAGTGTTTCTATTGTATCGAGTTCTTAATGATGTGAATGTACTTCATCACCCAATCAGTGTATTCGGGTTTAAATAATGAGTTGCCCTCTTGATTTTGGGCAGTCCAATTTGACTGAAAAACATATCAGTACGTGAAACCTGTTCTGGTTTAAATAACGATTTAACTTCTCCCAAACCTTCCATTATTTATATTGTTTCTGAATTCTTCATCACCCATCTTGTCATATGTGAGCATTATTCTATAATTAATGCCTCTACGCGGAAGTCTATCGAAGTGTTTCCTGAACTCCATATTGTATATATGTCCCATTGCAGATCCGAGTTTTGAACTATACAAAATATGAGATGTTGAATAAAGCACTGGAGGCTTTTGGCGATCTCAGGGATGACGAAGAATTAGGTCCTGCTGATTGGCCTACTGTTAAGAAGTATATTACATGCTTGAATGACCTCAATGGAGGACCAGAACATCCTCACAACATCTCTCAGTCTGAAGAACATCTTAACATGATGAATCTAAGAGATATACGTGTACGCCTTTTAAATGGTGAGTAAGTGATATTGTATTTATTAATGACAGTTTGCTGGCTAGGTTCTCCTCAATGGAGACAGTTTTTTTCTAGTGAAAATCCACTGCTGGTATTTTTCATTACTCTGTCATATCTTGTTAGTGTATGTTTCTATCGGGTAATTCTTATGGAATGGAAAATTATTTTTTTTGAAATAAGAAAACCTCTTCATTATTCCACAAAGTTAAAAGGAGAAAAGAAAGAAGAGTTGAGCATTTAGGAGAAATGTGTATATATATATATAAGTTATTTTGCTGATAAATACATTTTCCATTTTACCCCCTTCAGATAAATTGAAAACATGAGAAGAAAACATATAATAATTGACTATTTAACTGACTGTTGAAATCTCTACGGGTTTACTAAATGTCGTTGTGTTTCAAATGAAGGTAGACATTTTTTTTTTGCTTCCCTAATTCTGGGTAATGCATTTTTATCTTCCAAACGAAAGGTTCCTCACATTTTAGGTGGGTCTAATTAAAAGATAAACTCATGAGAAAAAATCCTCATTTCAGTTAATAATTAGCTATGCAATATACTAAAGGTTTTTAGTAGCTTGGTGGGCGAAGAAATTTTAATTAGAAAATATACCAATAAAGCTTTTCATGAGAAAAGATATGATAAAATATATGGATGTATAATGTCTTGTCCGCTACAAAATGTTGTTTTGCACAGTCAGCATTAGAAGTGTGATCTGATTGTGTTGTTGTTTGAGAATGCAATCTTCATGTATGAAACTATTGTATTGATACACATGCTGTTATTTCTACTCATTCTAGAGACTTTGGCAATACGAAATTAAACCCAGTTTTATGGCCACATGATCACCTTTGCATTATCTCCAGCCTTGAACTATCCCTGCCCGTGCAACTTTTTATATTCTCTCACGTTGATAACATAAATAGGGTACTTGTAGATCAGGGGCGACCATCGTCTCTGAGAACATATTAAATTCATTTGGTCTTCCAACTCAAAATTATGTGGGATTGAGTGAAATTTTCCCGTCTTGATAGCATTGAGCTACATTTGAGTTAGGCGAAGTGATATATTGCAAAAATATAGAAATAAATTAAAAAATATTTAAGAAAAGGAACATTTGAATCAGAATTGTAAAGTAGTTAGAATGCAGCAAGTTCATCTGATTTTTTCATTCACATTTTTCAGGTGTTCAGGCTGCTTACTGGGGCATGCTTGAAGAAGGCAGAATAACTCAAGGCACAGCAATTCTGCTAATGCAGTCTGTTGATGAGGCTATGGACTTAGTCCCTCATGAGCCTCTGTGTGACTGGAGGGGTCTGAAAACTCATGTTAACTTTCCAAGTTATTACAGGTTCCTCCAGATAAGCCGATTACCACAGCGTGTCGTCACATACTTCACAGTGGAAAGATTGGAGTCAGCGTGCTATATATGCGCTGCATTTCTTCGTGCACATAGAATAGCAAGAAGGCAACTACATGAGTTTATAGGTACGCATTCCTGATGCGTCAACTGCTTTCCAGCTTGATATACTTTCAGAACCTCATATCTCATACTTTAAATGATATGGTAAAAATCTGAAACCTGTGATCTGAATACGTGTTGAAGATTTATGAAACAAGGAAATTGTGATGGAATGAGGGATTGAGTAGGACGTTTGGAAATCCTAGATCTACTTGTCGATTTTACAATCTGATTTGCTAATTTCAGCGGCCACAGAAGTGCACCAAAAAAAAATTTAAAAAACGAAAATAGGCTGAAATAAAAATCCTTTTTTTGTTAAAAACCCACTCGGTCTAATTCTTACAAGTTGAGATTTTTTTTCCTCTGCGAGTAGCACTGTATGCTTCCTTAACAGCTGATCTGCTAAATCTCAGCTCATGGGACCCTAATTGGCTGGCACATATTGCTGATTTGCTCATATGTATATACATTGCTGTATATATATATATATGGGGAGAGAGAGGGAGAACCAAGGCTAAAAAAATATAATTTTTTTATAGCCATATATCTATGATGAATATTCCTATTCACGATGCATAGTTCTATAGCTATATATCTATGGAAGAAAACAACAGATATGGCAAGGAAAATTTGTGACGATCATTCATCCATGGCAAAGGACCAGTCTAATTGACCGGCTATTTGACATTTGCAGTAGTATGCTGTGACTAGTATCTCGTAAAACTTCCGTCCATTTTGTTGCCTCTGAACCTTTCATTGAAAGATCGCAATAATTTTTCTTTCTTTTCCTAGGTGAAAGCGAAATTGCTTCCTCTGTCATTGGCGAGAGCAATGCAGAGGGAGAAGAGGCCAGGAAGTTCCTAGAAGATGTCGGCTTATCATTCCCCCAGGTATATAATTTTAAATTTTAAATTTATTACCTCAGTTGATCATTGTTTGTCTAGAAACATTATGCACTCCGGTTTTAGAGGCAATGTCTTGCATCACTGAAATAAAATTAAGAGGAGAAGATAAGTAGAAGAGTTATGAATGCAACACTAGCAAAAGCTTTTACCAAGAGCACCATCATTCCCCCAGCACAGACCTACCCTCTCAGGGTCTAAATCCAAATCTGGCGTTTTCCAAGCCCCGACCACATCCAAAATGCTACGCTTAAACTGACATGGGCATGGTGACTGAAAACTTTTTCTTTTTCTTTTTCTTTTTTTATTTTTATTAATTATGAACAGGGTCTGTAATCCTACCTCGATAAACAGACGAATTCAAGATTGGGTTCCAGATATGGATCATTCCCGGAGTTATCACCATGTGATTTTGTGTGATTTTGATTAATGCGGTTTTCCACATGTTCATATGGAATGCATCGATGACTTGTAATCATCCGTCCTAGCCTGCCCCATCTTAATCCTGCAGACTATCCAATTATCCCAACCCAACTGTGTTTATCTGTACGAACGCGCTTGGGTTTTGATGTTGAAACCCTCGTAGAGCTCAAGTTCCATTGCTCTTCATACTATGTCGCCCGTAATCATCCTCCATTGTGATGCTTCTGAGAGGGAATACCATCACAGGTCCTACGTGTTGTGAAGACCAAGCAGGTGACGTACTCGATCTTAAAGCATCTGAGCAGCTACGTGCAGAATCTTGAGAAGGTCGGCCTGCTGGAGGAGAAGGAGATGTTTCATCTGGACGATGTTGTGCACGTACGAACTCGGCAGTGCTATCTATTCGGAGTCTGTGTCTATTTTCTGCTGAACTAAACTGGCTGGAATCCATGGCAGACCGATCTGAAGAAGCTCCTGAGGAAACCTCCGCTGGTAAAGATGCCCAAAGCTGAGGAGCTACTGGGCACCCATCCACTGCTGGGCGCGCTTCCCTCCACTGTGCGCTCCCCCCTCCGATGCTCCACAAAGGAAGTGATAAAGATACGGGGGATGACTTTGTACAAGGAGGGCTCAAAATCCAGCGGAGTGTGGCTCCTCTCCAATGGGGTCGTCAAGGTAAACCACCATAGCCCCTTCATTCTGGTAGCATAGAGATAAAATTCCATGGAGTCAACGGTGGGCTCCTTCCTCATGGCGGTCCCTGCTGATGGGTGCACCTGTTCCCAATTGGCATCACGGGCCATTGAAGTATGATGCCCTAAACTAAAATGCCCATCAAGAGGCAGACTGCTGATTCTGCTTCTGGTAGAATTTCTTCTGATGTGAGGTTGAATCTCTCTCTCTGGTGCAGTGGGTCAACCATTGGGATCATGGGTGGCCACTAATGCCCAACAGCGAGCAGATCGCTGATGCTGCTTCTCGTAGAATTTCTTCTGATGTGAGGTCGAATCTCTATGGTGCAGTGGATCAGCAATGGTCTGAGCAATCGCCACTCTCTCCACCCCACGTTTTCACATGGAAGCACCCTGGGCCTCTACGAGGTGCTGACAGGGAAGCCCTACATCTGCGACATGGTGGCGGACTCCGTGGTGCGCTGCTTCTACATTGAGGGGGAGAAGATTCTCTCTCTTCTCAGATCAGATCCAGCCGTCGAGACCTTCCTATGGCAGGTATGGAATACCCGTCTCTGGTCAACCCCTCCCCTTCAATATACCAGCCCTTTCCCGCTCTATAATCCTTAGAAGATTATACCACGCCATTGCTCTTCTCCTGAGAATCCCACATCCATCAGTGAGCCCACTGCATGCATCCATATCATAGTCTTTCTCATGCCATGCACTGTCCGCCAGATATGATAGATATGGATCTACCCACAAAGGTTGCAGAAAGTCAATATGCTGTGATATTATTTATATTCAAAAATAGTTTCCTTGAAATGTGGCCATAACTTACTATTTAATTTGACTTTTTTGTCCGCAGAGTATGAGGATTCTTGCGCAGTCTTATGATCTTGGATATCCTTGTGTTTATTCTATCATGAAATTTAAGGCGTGTTAACTTCTCATGGCGTTTACATTTGTCCTCTTTTAGTTGACTTTTTGGAAAGAAACCTTCTTAGATTGACGAAAATTCCGATGTCTCTCAGACTACTTTACTAATTTTTTAGTTTTTAGTCTGGAGATGGTATAAAATATAAGACGGATCTATTGACAAATCATGCAATACAACCCTAAATTTGTAACCTTTTTGAAACAATATTCGTGCAGGAGAGCGCCACTGTCATGGCCAAGCTCTTGCTCCCTCTCGTGTTCGAAAGGATGGCCATGCAGGAACTGAGGGCTCTGATTGCTGAGAGGTCAACGATGAACGTCTACATAAGAGGAGAAATCATGGAGCTGCGGCAGAACTCCATCTCCTTCCTCTTGGAAGGCTTCATAAAGGCCCAGGACCGCCAACTGGACCTAATCGGACCCCCAGCGGCGCTGCTCTCCCCCGACGCTGACTCAGGCTCCCTCAACCTGGGATCTTCAGGTAATGAACGGCAAGGACCGGGCATTCTTTAGTTTGACTTTAGTCGATTCAGTTTTAACTAAAATTAGGACAGATTAAGATTCCGATTTAAGAGAATAAGATTCCGATTTAAGAGATTAATCATTGTGTGAAGTCAACTCGGCATGTTGTCATCCGGGAGGTAATTAGTGGCGGTGATATCCCCCGTTTGATTTGGGCATTGCCTTGAACTCAGATAGTCCTGATGAGAGGATTTCTTTGTCAGGTTTGACTTTTTTCTTGTTTTGGGGTTTTTGAAGTCAACCCATTATGTCGGCATCAGGGGGATACTTTCACCATGCGATAGTGGGTTGGCCGCAGTCATAATACCCTTCTGATTTCATCGTACGATGATCATCCCGATGAGAAGATTTCCTGTTTGTGTAGGAGGGGGGAAGGGTTGACTGTTCTGGTGTTTTCTAAGTCAACCCAATATGTTCTCATCATCAAGGGTTGACCGTGCCCCCCTTAATCTGATCATACGATGGAGTCGGATCATCCCGACGGGAGGATTTCTTTTGGAGGTTTGACTTATTATTCTGGGGTGTTTGAAGAAGAGACGAGAGTTGACCTTTTTTCAGGTGCGGGCTTGGACGCAGCAGGGAGGTCATGCCATCGCGCTCATTCTTACGTGGTGGAGACGAGGGCGAGGGCGATCGTGTTCGAGATGGCGGCATTTGACCCGGAGAATATTATGCAGCGTCAACCGTCGTGGGTGGCGCGGCCGCTCGATCTCCCGAGAAGTCAGAGCAATGAGCACGGGGGGCTCGTGAGCTGGCCGGAGCTGGTCCACGGAGCCAAGCCCCGCCACGTGCCGGCGGCCGAAGAAACCGGGGAGAGGGCTAAGAGTTTGTCGGCCAGGGCCATGGAGCTAAGCTTCTTCGGAAGCACGGTAACCTCTCTCTCTCTCTCTCTCTCTCTCTCTCTCTCTCTCTCTCTCTCTCTCTCTCTCTCTCTCTCTCTCTCTCTCTCTCTCTCTCTCTCTCCTTCTCTCTTCCTGGCTCTTCCTCTCTCTATCCCTCGCTCTTCCTCTCTCTATCCATCGTTCTTCCTCTATTACTCCCCCTCACTCCTCTCTCTCTCTCTCTTTATCTATACACACACACACAGATCTCTCTCTTCTGTGATAGAATGGGGGGCCTTCTCCGTCTCTTGGTTGCTGCGCAGATAAACGGCACGTACAGACGCTACGGGAGCTTCTCGAGGATGACGCCTTCACGGGGCCCCTCGCCGCACAGTCTCTCCTTCCCCAGGATTTCCGCCACGTCACCGCCGCCACGCGGCCTCGTATCCACCCTGTCCGAAGGTCCTTCTCTCGGCAGGAAACTCAGAGCCGCCGCAGCCCGAGCGTTCCCCCCGCCGCCCCCGCCGCCGCCGCCGCTGCCGCTGCCGCCGCCGGCCAACGTTGGCAAGGACGACTCAAGCGACGAATCTGGCGGGGAAGAAGTCATCGTGAGAATCGACTCGCCCAGCCACATCTTCTCTCGGGCCTCCACCTCTTGAACACCATCCTCAACAAAATATTATCATAATAACAATAATTATAATCATCATAATCATTATTATCATATTTTTAATAAATCAGAAAATCCCACCCTTCTCCATTGCTCCAAGTCATGAAGGGCGCCGTCTTCTAGCAGCATCACTCTTCATCCATATTCACATGAGATTATTTCCACTATACACGGTAGAGACAGAGACAGAGAGAGAAAGCTACAAGAAGCCACGTGGACGGGGGAGACCTCTCCTTCTCCCGCCATTACGGCCGTCAGTCGCCGGGCTTCGGCGGCGCGTTATTCCCCTCGGCGGCAGCTCGCGGAAGGAGGGCTTTCAGAATGCTCTTGAGGATTGCCCCACGCTCTAGCACGTAGCGGGGGGGCTCCGACGGTGGCGCCCTGCAGGCGGCGGCGACTGTCGGTGCCATGAGTGCCGGTGGATCTAGTGGACACGAGCACTGCCAGTTCCCGCTTATTTATACTGAGGTTGCCTCCCCACCAAGCTTCCATGTCGCTACGATCTACGTGCTTTGATGACGTGGGTTTCTGATGTCATTGTTTCCAGTCAACGCGTTCACATTTTGAACCCGTTCCCACTGCCCCATAGGAAACCTCCCTAGCTATCAAAAATTATTTCTATTTATAGCGATACTAAATTATTATTTTTAAATGCTCTCGGCAGATCGAACTTGGGAGTTCAAAAATCTGTGAGCAAAAAAAAAAAAAAAAAAAAAAAACCTCGTAATTGGAACGTTGACAGCGGTGGAGATGGAAATCGCCGTTCACTTTCCTTGGATCCGACATTTTCCTTCGATCCAAACAAACGCTCGCATGGAGTCCGCGGTATTCAGCGAGATGGAAGACCATGCATTCACATACAGAGAGAGCTCGGCAATCAATTCGACGTCAACCATCGTATAAGTCAAGTCAAACTCACCATTTCGGTCTGGCCTCGCAGCCTTCCAACGCAGAGAGCTCGACCTCCCGGGTGCAAGGGCGGTAGGCCGCAAAGGTGCCGTCCCTGGAGAAGGACCCCGGATTGAAGCACGTGATCCCAGAGTATTTGAAGGAATTCTGCTCGCTGCTGTCCCCCAAGACGATCTGTAGAGAGAAAGTCAAAAGCTAGGGTCTTGTCTTGGGGATTCTCAGAGTCAACGGAAGGAGTCTTCTCCTACCGTGTGAGGATTCGGGTAGAGCCGTAGGCAGTGGTCGTAGTTCCAGACGACGGGCTGGACTGTGAGAGGCAAGGGACAGAGGTGGCTCTGGTGAGTGATGGTGGCCACCAGCTGCAAAAGTCGCACCCCCCCTCCCCATAAAAAGTCAGCGCCCTCTAAAAAAATACTAGAATTGAGCATGGCGAGGGATTGAGGAAGGAAGTGCCCACGTGTTCAAAGGGGTCGCTGGTCTCCTCTGTGGAGGGAGGAATCAAGGAGGATCGGCGCATCCGGTAGAGGAGGTCGTTGCGGAAGAACACAATCTCCTGGGTGCAGAATTTTAGTCTGCAGGCGCCCCAAGGAGCTTGTTTAGAGAGAGAAAAAAAAAAGGCCTTACCATGCAGAGAGAGGTAGCACGCTATAATGTGTTTAAGTGCTGTTTGAGTCTGATCTGCAGGGTGGTTTTGTTTAGAGAGAGAAAAAAAGGACCTACCATGCAGAGAGAAGTAGCACGCTATAATGGGTGGTTAAGTGCTGTCTGAGTCTGATCTGCAGGGTTTTGTTTAAAGAGAGAAAAAGGCCCTACCATGCAGAGAGAAGTAGCACGCAATAATGGGTGGTGGTTAAGTGTTGTCTGAGTCTGACCTGCAGGGGTTGCTGGAGAATATGGCGTTGGGGATCTGCTTCTGGAGCTCTTCCGTGAAGTATTTTGGGAGAGCACACCTCGGAAGAACCGTCGATGGACCTGAAAATGACGGACAGATAGCACAGTTGATGAACAGCTACACGTTTCTCTCTCATCAGGGAAATAATGTCATGTATTTATATAGTTGGATGGGCCACTAACTTTGGTATATATGTCATTAGAGATGCAGTAAACCCGCAGATGATGATGATGATACCTGGATCGTTGGGGCCTGGGATGAACAGAAAGCGACTGTGCTCTTTTATTCGCGGATGGGATCCGATCATCTCCCCGAGCTTGGTGAACTTCAATCTGCAATAGCTCATCCACCAACCAAAGAAAAAGAATAACAGAACATCTAAAAATGGAAAAAATCTGAGAAAAATGGCCATCAGCCATGGGACAGAAGAAAGATGGGAAGGAGAGGTTCCTCACCTGAGGCTAGAGAAAGAATGGAAGGAGAGGTTACATGGTCTAGAGCAGAAGTTTCCCATCAAGACGAACAAAGAAGGTACCACATCCACGTTCTCGTACCCATCCAAGACCGTCGCTAGCTTTTCCATAGTCTTTACTACATACGGCATGAAAAAATTGACATCTTTTCTTCTCAACCAAGTATTTCTAAAAACAGAAATAAATAAATTGGTGACATCATGCATATTACCTCGTCATTATCTACCCAGACGTCAGACAGGACCACAAACATGTCATTTACCGCCTTCTTTTCCAGCTGCGATAATCTGAGCTGTTGATGGTTGCAGGAGAAAAAGTCAAAGGAAATTAGCTTGCAGGGGATGAAATTAAAGAGCCGAATGGTGTAAAGTAGGCCAGAGGGTACCGTTTCCTCCGATGTAAGTATCCCACTACCAAAAAAGTCAAGTCCCATGAGTAAGGAAAGAGACGCTTCTCTGTCTTCCAGAGGAGGGAACCCACATGTGCTGACCTACAATAGCAATTAGGAATTGGGAAATTTGCAGCCTGTTCTCAGGAATAAAAGGAGAAATTAAGAATGCATAGCATAGCGGTAGAAATTATTCATTGATGCCTAAAAGTTGCCTAGGTTGGTAGCCATTAATCACATGGACAAACAGTCGATATAGTAGATCTTACCGGAGTCTCTAAAGAGATATAGTAGCAACAACAACGCAGCCAAAAAAAAAAGGACGGCTCCCTTTTTTCAGGTGTGAAAAGTTAGCAGCGAACATGGCTTCAAGAAGAGAGCCCGATATTAGGACAAAAGGATGGCAGCTTCAAGAATTCGATCATATTCTCTTATTTTCGAAAAAAAAAGTTATTATTTTCTTACTTCTGGCGTGTAAACATTCTTCTAAGAGTTCACCAAATTACAAATCTCGATGTTTTCTTACTACCGAAAAAGCACTATTGTTATTATCACTAAGTGGGGAAAACATTAGCTAAAATGTACAAAAGCTAAAAATAATCAGGACCCACCATTAGCGAGAAAATCATATATTGCTTAAAAAGAAACCAATTCCATATATTGAAAAGATTAGCAAGTTACAAGGAAACGGTGCACAAGTAATGAGCCACAACAAGAAGGATACATCACCCCAAATCTGATGTTTTAATAAGATACATGTATGCTTAAGAGAACAAATGTAGTAAGTGGGGCAAAAGAAATAAAACCTGAAAGACGCCATTCAGAAGCAACTCCCCTTCAGCCACAATTATAGTGTTCTCTACAAAGAATCCTGAGGTAATTTTGTGTGAGACGTCAAAGAAAACAACTTCATCATGGCTTTCTGCAACTACTTGGAATCAGCATTGTGGGCAATTGTGTTGAATCTCTTAAAATCGTTCATGATGAATTTACGTGTTTCAATAAAACCCTATACTCGCTCATGGATCACTATTTCATTAGCAAAAGAACGTGTCCTATTCCAATGCATCTCCAAACATTTTCTCTGTCAATTCGTCGGTCACATAGTGGTGACGAGACTTCGACTGAGAGATGTCATGAGGAAAAAAGTGAATAAGAATAGAACTAAGGCAACAAGTAGGAAAAAAATTTAACCAATGTGAGAATTTTTTGGAACTCTCAAAAAATCATATATCTTTAAACCAAAAGGGACACTGTTTTATAAACGGGATTATGGACATGGAAGCCTGTTCTACGGGAAGTAGGTAACAGAGAAAGAACAGAATAAAGTTCGATGCACTGAGATTTGGCAAATGAAATATGTAAACTATATGTTCTATCAAGGATATTGCATTGGATAAGTCCACTGGTACAGCTCCAGTCAGATCTTCCAAGAAGAAGTGTCCATCTTCCAATTGAGATATTACACCCATGATCCATTTCCTTCCCACAGAACCAATCAAAGACTGAATTGAGGTTATCTGCATTGAGCAGCGCCAAAGAATATAACGACTTAGCATTCTTACGAGCAGAGCAGCTTAAAATGATGATTTCAAAAGAGCATTCGGGTGGCACACCTCACAGCTCTGTGAATCCACCATCTCAGAATCAAACACTGGCCTGGAAAAATGCTTATCACGAGAAATCCTCTGGAGAAGAAGATGGAACCGATCCCTATATAATGCAGCCTTTGCACTGGCCTCACCATGAATCGGCAGCCTCCCAGTATGCCTAAACCAAAAGAAAAGCTTCAGTTGTCTCTGTGCTTCTACCGTAGGAGAACTCATGTTACATAATAAACAGGCTTTTTAGTACCATAATCAACTTAATACATTGACGCTGAGAAAATGAGGAAAATACGTTAATGCTTCTCACCAAAAGAAATCCCTTCTACTTGAAGAAACGTGCCGTTCTACCCATTAAATTCATACAACTAAGAAACTACACGGTTTTATTGCTACAAAAAAAATATCTTCCTCCGAACAAAGAGCATGTGATTTAGGAAGGAAAGGTAGGAAGAATTCTGACGATCAATGTAAACCAATTCGTGGGTAACTATACCCGTCACAAGTTTACTTTTATCGTATTCAGTCATTATTTCCATATTCAGTCATAATCAATTATGAATGGCTAGGAATCAAATATACATTTTGAACTTTGCATGTCTATATTTAACGTGAACAGGGGACCAATATTATGTGGTCCGTTTCAGGAAGATATTCCTTACTGGTAATGAAAATCCAGAGATGAGCTTACTCGTAGAAGACTTTTTTGACGGGATCGTATTGAAACTTGGGGACATTGAATACGTCGATCACCCGGAGGGCCGTCTGGTTGATTACATCGGGGCCTGAAGCCACTGCAGAATCAGCATCCAGCAGGAGGCTCACCACACGGTGGACAGACTCCCTATCAAGGATGGTGGACTTATCTGCCATAAACAGTTCAAATCCAAGCAAATACGATCAGAACAAGCCAACAGAAATGACAACGAGGGAGATAAGATGGGCATATGGAGGATCAGCAGCCTGATGAGAGAGAGATGGACATGATTCGTTGTCGATCTCGTCGAGGAGGAGTTCGAGCGCCTCATCATCGGCGTCCTCGAACTGGCCGACAAAGCTGAGCACCTCCTCCACCGCCTCCACCTTGAGCGTGTATCCCCTTATCTTAAACCTCCGCAGTACCTTCTTCCGCATCACCGCTGCACCCCCGCCCCCCATCCCCTCCCCTTCTCTCTCTCTCTCTCCCTCTCTCTCTCTCTCTCTCTCTCTCTCTCCCCTCTCTCTCTGGGCGAGGGGGGAGACGGCGGGAAGCTTATAAGACAGAGAAAACACTGAGATCTTGAGGAAATTTTTTGCTCAGCTGTCGCGCTAAAAGCTGGTCATGTTCAGGACAAAACTACCCGTGCTTTGTATCGAAATTACGAAAATATGATCCGAGGGAAACCTGAACATTTTAAAGAACATTATTTATTTATTTAAAAATATTAATTATTAATCCAGTTGGAACCGAGGGCACGGATGATCAGATCAGATCGAACCTGATCCGTTCGATCCAAACCAGAAGGTAATAAAAAGAATAGTAGTAGTTTTAAGTCCTTACAAACTGTCAGATTTGGGAATGCGTCCATCTCATTAAAAATATAAATATAAATGATTTAGTATTTTTATTTTTTAAGAAAATGACATATTGGTGCGACATAGGTCATGAATTAGTTTAATAGCCCGGCTTATTTCAACCTATCAGGAAATATGATGTTTGTCAAAAATTATAATCGCCAAGATGGGGCCCAACCTTCAGCCTATTCAGTCAAAATTTGCCCACGACCAATTACAACCCATCATATTCTTACCAAATTAGCTTAGTATTTATTGAGTTGACTTATGTATAAATGTCTACATAATTATTATCGCATGCTAAGGAAGGAAGAGAGAGAGAGAGAGATATCACACATCTCACGACAAATAATTAACAATAAAATGTATCGTACATGTCATAACGATTGAGAAGATTATAAAAGTCAACTGCCTAACTGTCAGCCAATCGTATTAACTCAAATTAGAGTCAACTTTTTTAGTAGTCAGTCAACTCTAATGGTTGAAACTATGTTAACTATAATTTCCACCACAAGCAGAACATACTAAATTAGAATAGTTAGTTTGACCTTTGTGTGTCCTTCGTGGACAACTACATTGTCGCATTGACTTTGGATGACTCAAATTCTTGACCTCCCCTCCCAAAATTGTGTTGTAATGCATCGATACAAGCAAAAATCTATCAGTTTCATATGCCCAGATGGGGTTAGAATTTCAGCTTATTTCAGTTAAAATTGGCCAATGACCAATTACGACCCATCATATTCTTACCAAATTAGCCTAGTATTTATTGAGTTGACTTAAGTATGAAAATGTCTATAAATGCTCTACATACATGTGGCAAGACAATTAGTTAACAATCAAAGCCGATTTTCTTGCCATCTCATAACAATTGAGAAGATTAACAGAAGACCCAAGAAGCAATGAGTCATTGTGATAATGGAATCACTCTAAAAATTATGTGGACATCAATCTAATATTTGATTAAATAAATTATAAACCAGGTAAGAAAGTCAACCAGTCAGACCAACTCGAATAAATAATCAACCTTTTTTAGTAGTCAGTGAGCTCTAATTGTTGAAACTATATTAACTATCATTTCCACCTCATCTATAAACACAACATACTAAATAGAATAGTTAGCCTAACATTTTTGGGTCCTTTATGGTCAACTACATGGTTGTGTTGACTTTAGAAGACTCAAATTCTTCATCACCCCTCCCAAAATTGTGTTTGTGATGCATTGATACAAGAAAAAATTTATCAGTTTCGTATGCCACATTATTCTGAAGACCAACTTTGATAGATATGACATTAAATCTAACAACAATGAGGAGGAGGAGGAGGAGGAGGAGAGAGAAGCTTTGGAAGTATGGAAACCCACCCTTTACCAGCATTAAGGCCAATGGAGAGTGTTCCCTTCTCTATACGTGGCTTTGGATAAGCTCCATGCTCTTCAAAAGCTTCCATGGGTGGCAATTTTCCATCTGAACCAAGCAAATAAAGCAATCATGAGGTTGATCCAAGAAGGAAACAATGAGATCAGGATTCCATCAAAGAAGTACAATTGTACTCCTTGAAGATATTATTGCCCCGAATAATTAATTAGAGGGTTCTTCAGGGCAAAGCTCCACTCAAACAATAATAATAATAATAATAATAATAATAATAATAATAATAATAATAATAATAATAATAATAATAATAATAATAATCACCATCATCTTCTTCTTCTTCTTCTTCTTCTTCTTAATGTTGATAGGCAATTTCCTTGTTTGGTATCAGGAGATCTTGACGATTCCCCAGAAGAAGAAAGGAACATTATAAGAAAGTCAACTCTGGTGTGCCCTGGTCTGATACCACACAGTAGGAAACAGCAGATCAACACAGCATGCTGGGAAGGGAGGGTTGACTCAAAACGGGGAAAACTTTGGAAGAACAGGACTAGCACTGAATCAGAGCACATTCAGAAACCAGTAGTAGCTCGTGTTGTGTTTCTCTCCTTGATGACCGGGGTTTTGGGGATCATAAACGATGGAGGATTCTCATGAGGCGCACTTGCGCTGCATTCATTCTCAAAGTCAAAGCCTTGAATCAAAAAAAAAAAGAGCTGATAACGATGGTAAAATTTCAATGATGGTCAAAGATTAAAGGAATTGAAGGGGATTGGGATCCTTGATCTGATCAAAACTGTACCTTGAACGAGAGAGAGAGAGGTGTGACAGAAGACGATCTAATTGCGGAAGGTCCTGGCCTCGGCAACGTCCAGGTCCCTCTCTTCCTGGGACCTCTGACCGGCGGTGGCGGCGCTACCACCTGCGCTGGTTCCTTCGTCGCGAGTCCACACCGATGAGACCGTCTCTGAGCTGCTCGCAGGGCCGTCCGAAGCCTGCCCAGCCTGCGCCAGCCGTGAGACGGAGCTTCCCGGCGCCGACGGCTCCGGCGAGCTCCCGGGGAACGACAGCTGGTGCCTCGCCGCAATACGCCTCAGAATGGGCCCGATGCCGAGGAAATCAACATCCAGCTCCGGTGATGAGTCATGTTCCTCCGCCAGCGGCGGATCCCTCCCCGGGAACAGCGACCTCAGCATGCGGTGGATCTCCCGGACGTCCCTCTCCACCTGGTCCTCCCTGCCGCTGCCGCTGCCGCCGCCGGGAACCTCGCCGGGGCGGCGTCGCCGGACGGGATCGTCGGTGGGAAGGCGGAATCGGCAGACGGGGCAGGAGTTGTGGCGGGAGAGCCATGGAAGGATGCAATCCTGATGGTAGATGTGGCCGCAGGGAAGCCTCCTCGCCTCGGTCTGGAGGACGAACTCCTCCTTGCAGACTGCGCAGAGCAGGAAGGGATCCGCCGCGATGAACTCCTCTGTGATCTCAACTCCAGGGATCGACTCCACATACGACTTCGCCGCCGGCCGAGGAATCCCGCAGTCGACGATTTCGAGAGCGGGATCACCGTGGTCATCGGAGGTCGAAGATACGATGTAACTGAGGAGCCGATCGAAGACCTCGTAGTAGTCCTCGATGTTCGAGGGCGAGGTCTCCTCCCAGAGATCGCGGCCGGTCCTCCGAAAGGGGAATTCGATCAGGTCGTCGAAACCCCCAATTCGATCGAATTCCTCGTCTTCCTGGATGGGAATTAGGGTTCCCGACGAGGCCCGCAAGGAGGGAGACCGCCGGTGCTGGAAATCCATCTCCATCTCCTCCAGGAAGTCACCCCCGCAGTTAGGGCAGACGACAGAGGAAGACGAGGAGAGCACTGCCACGCTCATGTCGCACTCATGGCACCAGAAGGCGGCGCCGCCCTCGCCGGCGGACGACGCGGCAGCGACCGATGACGACGACTCCGGCCGGACGGCGGCGGACGACATGGCCCGAGATCTCCCTCCACCGGCTGACCTTCCTCGCGACCCGATCCCCTGTCAGTGGAAATCCTCCTCCTGCTCCTCCCTCTCCCTCTCCCTCTCTGCTGGCTTCGGAGAGTGACGACAGAAGAGGCCGTGGAAGGCGGCCAAATGGAGACGAAGACGAAGACAACAAAGCTTGGCCTTTCCCTCCTACCTCAAACAATCTCTTTCGAATACCTTCCAGATACCCCAAAAAAAAGAAAAACGATAATATCCCACATGTAATCTATTTTTTAATATAATATCCGAGTTAAATACACACCAGATCAGAGAAATTGATGTCGATTCCTACAACTCTTTATTAAAAAAATAGAGTATCATAACTATTTTCTTTTAAAAAATATTTGATAATATGCATATGTGCAAGGGACCTGAAAGCATGGGCTTTTAAGAGAAGCCTGAATCAAAATCTTGCTTTTGGAGTGCCGTGGTGGGTCCCACCCTCCGTCGAACGTCACCTTATGTTGGTTGACCGCTATAGGTCTCGGACTCTGTCCGAGTCGAGAGAAAGGCGGCAAATCGGTCAACGTGTTGCCTTTTACAAAGTGGGCCCTCCCCCCTCGGTTAATCATATATACATGTCTGGGATTGGGATTTCGGGCTGGGCTTTGCCTCTTTTTGAGCCCAAATGGATGATATGATTTTAAGGCCCAAGCCCAATAAAAACTGGGGAGGCCGACGTATTTGGGCAAGTGATGGACGAACAGGATCTACTCTAAGTGAGATAATGGGCACAGTAGGAGAGTCATTTGACTAGGTTTCTAGACGCTTCCAGAGCAGAACACTCCAGAAGGAGGGGCGGAGGAGCCCCCACCGTCTTCTTCTCCGCCGCCGATCTCCGATTCCCCTTTTTATCTCCGGCGGCGAGTTGAAACCCTAAGGAGTTCTTCTTCTTCGATCGCCGTCTTCCTCCTGGTCTTGCCGCCACCGCCGCCGACGTCGGGGATCGCCGGCTTCTTTCTCGCCACCGTTCTCCGATCTCCCTTTTTATCTCCGGCGGCGGCGGGTTGAAACCCAAAGGGAGGGAATCTTTATCTTCTGCGGTCATCGTCCTTGGTCTCGCCGGTGCCGGCGCCGCCGTCGGGAATGGCAAAGTTCGGCGAGGGCGACAAGCGGTGGATCGTGGCGGACCGCGCCGACGGGACGAACGTCCACAACTGGCACTGGGCGGAGCGCGACTGCCTGGAGTGGTCGCGGGGGCAGCTCTCGGGGCTCTTGGCGGGGCTCACCATTTTCAACGGCGAAGGAGGGCTCGTCATCAGGACGCAGAATCTGGAGAAGCTCGAAGGGGAGGCCTACGTAAACATCCGCAAGGGGAAGGTCATCCCGGGATACGAGCTCTCCCTCTCTCTGTCCTGGGAGGGGGAGGCGATCTCGGACTCCGCCGCCGCCGCCGCCGGCGGCGGGGCCGCCTCGCCGCCGCTGCTCAAGGTCCAGGGCTCCGTCGAGGTCCCCTACCTCGCGGATGAGAACGCCGATGAGGATCCCGAGGTCAGAGTCACGGTCCGCGGCGGCGACAATGGCCCCCTGGAGCGGCGGATCAAGGAGGCCTTCCTCGCCAAGGGGAAGCCGGTGGTCCTGGAGAAGATTAGGGCGTTCGTGCAGAGCCTGGCTAAGGGCGGCCCCGCCAAGGAAGAGCTCGAGGCGAAGAAGCCCAAGCCCTCGGCGGCGCAGCAGCCGGCGGCGGCGCCGGCCTCTGCGCCGGAGAAGAAGGACCCAGCGGCGGCGCCGGAGGCGAAGAAGAAGCCGCCCAAGGACAAGGAGGGATTCAGGACGATATCACTGACAGAAAAGTTCTACTGCCGGGCGAGCAACATCTACGAGATCTTGATGGACGAGAACCGGTGGAAGGGATTCACCCAGAGCAATGCGAGGATTAGCAAGGAGATCGGAGGGCCGTTCAGCCTCTTCGACGGCTCGATCACGGGGGTCAACGAGGACCTGCAGGAGGGGAAGCTGATAGTTCAGAAGTGGCGGTTCGGGAGCTGGGCCGATGGGGTACACTCGACGGTGAGAGGATCCCTCCCTCCATGGCCTTGCTGGTTCAGGCTCCCCCCTTTTAGGATCATCGTCTCTGACTTTTGTACTGTTTGTATGCTCTGCCGCCCCAGGTGAGGATGACATTAGACGAGCCAGAGACGGGAGTCACCATTGTCAAGTTGACTCAGACCAACGTACCAGTGGAGGACAGGTCCGTCGACTTCCATTCTTCTTCTTCTTCTTCTTCTGGGCCGACCGGATCCTAGATTTTTGCTGTCTCTGCGGCTTTCCTGATGCTAATCCTCTTGTCGGATTTCCAGATATGGCAATGCGACGGTGGTGGAGAACACAGAGAGAGGGTGGAGGGAGCTGATCTTCCACAAGATCCGGGCAGTCTTCGGCTTCGGAGTTTGAGCGCTCCTCCCTTCTCTCTCTCTCTCTCTAGCTCCTTCGATGTGAACTGATTCTAAGCTTCTGAACTGGCATTCGATGATGATGTAGCTGTGTGACTACTCAAACAGGAGACCCCTTTTTTTTTCCTCCATCGTACCACTCTTACGAGCACGCAGGCTTCAATATCTGGCAACCCTGATCTTGACTTCTTTTTCTTCATGGTCGCTGTGGATTCCTCTATGCTTTTCTTTCTTGCGGCATAGAGTCTCTCTCTATCTCTCTCAAAAACCGATGCGGTATTGATAAATCTCATCTCTGAACTAGTATCTTCAAGAATATGTAAAGGATCCAGATAGTCAAACACAGCAAGCTGTTGGGCTAAAAAAGGAACAAAAAAGGGTTCCTACAGGAAGGATTTGAGAATGGATGTGGCTTCGAATGGGTGGAGAGTAGCTGCTCGTGTGAGATTTACAGGTTAGTTCAGATTAAATGAGAGAAAGAGGGATCCGAGCCCAGAATGATGATTACAGAATAGGGACAACAAATCGAGCAGAAGGAAAACAAAAAAGAAAATTGAAGCTCTACAATCAAAAAAGGCATCGGAGAAGTCCCGCAGTGGATGGCGTGCTATGTACCTCGAATTCACCAATGGATGGTTTCTGACTTGGTAGTGAGGGAGTCAACGGAGAAAATTCAACTGCACCATGTAAGGAAAACCACACGTCAGAATCTCCATCAGAGCAGTAGGAGCGAAGTTCAAACCGAAAATTATCATATGAGTAAATATGGTGGAAGGGAGGCTCACCGTCGCCGGAATCTTGAGACAAAGAAATCAACGGCTGCACAGCAAAAGTCAGCAGGAACGAGAGAGAAGTAGCGCAGAGCTAGCTATCTGCCCCTTCTGTCCGTCTTATAGTGCTTGTTTCATGGAAGACGGGGACAGGCAGCTGTAGTATTCGGTGAAGTCCAAGCGGAAGAGAAGGAACTTGAGGTCAACGTGTTGCTGCACAGGCAACTGAGAGATGAAACACTTGAGCGAAGAGGAATACTCCTTTGCGATTGCGTCCAGGTCCTCTCCCATTCTCTGAAGAAACACCCCTGCCCGCTGTATCATCCCCTTCCTCCCGCCTTCTATCCTGGAGCTGTTCTTAGAAGGGCGATCCTTCAATTTCTGCTCTGATTTCCTCTTACCCCTGAGCAAAACACACATTCCTGGTCTTCAGCCAGCGAGCGAGAGAGAGAGAGAGAGAGAGAGAGAGAGAGAGAGAGAGAGAGAGAGCGAGCTGGGTTGACCTCGGCTGCAACTCATAGATGCCTTCGAACCACCGGTCAGCGCTGCTGCGGAACTTCAAGATGATGTCGAGCAAGGCGAAGAGGGTCCTGTTGATCTCCTTGGACTTCTCCCCGAGGAGGGACTTCTCCAGGATGGCGCCGAGGTACTTCTCGTGGGCAGCGAGAAGATCGTCCAGATCCTTGGAACCGTCCATCTCCTCCGAGAAATGGGCCCAAGAGACTTCAAGAACTTCGAACATGATGTAGTACTGCAAATTGGTGACGAAATGGTTCATCTCGTTCCTGAGCACCTGGCACCGCCGGAGCACCGACACGAACTGCGACTTCACCGCTGAATCTTCCTTCACGAGGAGGTGCTGTATGATGCGATTGGGCTTCATCGTCTTCCACACCGCGATCAGGGCGTGCTCGACCCTTCGGAGCTTCAGCAGGAAATTGAAGACTCTGAGGTACCGCCGCATGACGGAGGCTGTGAACACGGTGTCGAGAGGGACTCGGGCGTCGTACTCCAGGGAGAAGACGTCCCAGCCCTGATCTCCATCGCCGTGCTCCATCATCTTCACCTTCAGCCGGTCGAGAATGTCGTGGTCGTCATACTGAGCATTGGAACCCCTGATAGCGCTCTCCAGCAGGCCGGCGAGCTGGAAGGAGCTGATGGTGTTGGCGGGTTCGGAGAGCTCGGGGCCGACCATGTCCATCAGGTACTGAACGAAGTCTCCCTGCCCGAGCAGCAGGTAGCGCTTGATGGCCAGGCAGTGATCTCTGAACCTGTAGCGGCGATGGATCACATCCATGAGGTGGTGGTCGATCCTTCTTGCCGCCTCGACGACCAGCGCTTCAAGGGCGTCCGTCTCGCCATAGCCAAGGCCGCCCCTCCTCGTCGTCGTCCCCACCTGCGCAGCCGCCTCAGCCGCCGCCACAGCCCATCCTCTGTCGTCGCAGCATACACGGAGGAAGTTGATGGACTTACCAGTCCTCAAGATCCTGCTCGCTAGGGTTGGGGAGATGAAGGAGGGCAGCATCGAGGACTGGATCCTGTAACCTTCCCTCCACAGGGACTCGGCCTTGACGGGGTGGCTCACGATGAAGAACTCTGCGTATAGGTCGTCCAGCTCCCCTTCCAGGACCCAGCTCCGCACCATCTCGAACAGAGGAGAGCAGACCCTGCGGAGGAGGCGGCCCATGAAATCCTGCACCAAGGGGTCCCCGTGCTGGGCGTGCTCGTGGATTGCTCCGGCCATGGCACCGCCCCTCAAGGATCTGCAGCTGTCCACGAGCACCGCCATAAGGCGCATCCTCACAGTCGGCTCTGCAAACCAGACCGCGAGCCTCCTCAGAGAGAGATAGTTCCCCGGTGGCCCTGTTTCAGAGAGCAGCGGGATGGGATTGGAAGACTGCGACTCGAGGACGGCGAGGAGCTTGTAGTACTCGGAGAGCTCGTCTTGGAGCGCCGCGCAGAAGGCCTGCCCAATCGTCCCAACGTCCTCGGCTGTGAATCCATCCATACACTCGGAGATGTACACTTTCACCTTCCGGAAAAGCCAGCCGAGCTCGCAGAGCCTCCGGATCATCGTTCTGGTGGAAGCAGGGACTCTGAGAGAGTCGGGAAGATCGTATGCATCTATCACAGTGTTGTGCCTCACATACTTCCCGTCGATCCCCTGGACTGCGTAGAGGACGTCCTTGACTAGGGCAGACTCCGCCACCGCCGAATCCTCCCTGACGAGATCTGCGTACTCCCGGAGAGCGATCTCCCTGATGTTGCCCGGATCCTTGGAGACCACCAGAACTCCGCCGCCGGAGTAGGATTTCCTCGAAACCCTCCCTCCGTACTGCTCGAGCGGGAGGGAAGGGAGACCGCCGGAGACGGTGGAGGAGAACGAAGCTCTTGGACGTCCGCCGCCGCTCGCCTTCCGGCAATCCTCGGAGATCGACTTGAGGAGGTAGAGGACGGACCAGCGGTTCTGGATCGAGCCGGGGCCGGATCTGGCGGAGAACTTTGAGAAGAGGTCGGCAAAGGCCAGGGCCTCCGACGAGCGGCCCTGATTGACGAGGTGCCGCTTGACGGACTCCGCCATGGCGAACTCGTCAGCGGCGACGGACGGCGACAGGCGGCTGGAGAGTATCCGGTGGGCGTAGCGGAGAGCCTTCGGGAAGTCCTGCGGCGGGTGATTGGGGTCGGCGGAGGAGGCGGGAGTAGAGAGCAGCCGGAGAACCAGTTCCTTGACGAGATCCAGGGTTTTGGGGTCGTCCATCATCGTTCCCAACCTCTGCAGAGCCCTCGCCGGCGAGGGTTTTGGGGGGCGGGAGGAAAAAGACGGCGGCGGTGGCGCTTCTTCGGAATTTCTCCTCTAATCCTCTTTGATACCCTTTTTTTTCCTTCCCCTCTCTCTCTTTCTCTCTCCCTCCCCCCCTCTCTCTTCTTTTTCTCTCTCTTCTGTGAGTATACGCGGGGAAACGAATAGCTTTCAAATGTGGACAGGATGTAATTAGTTTTAGTAGAGGGTCGGCCCGTTTCAGAATTTTTGAGCCCGGCCCGTTCAGCCGAATGAGGCCCAAACATTAGAAAATTGGGCTGGCCCAGTAGGGGGGGTCCGAACTTACTTGGCCCAGTAATGCCCCTAATGTTGATATCAACAGCGCGAAGACAATAGGCACATTCAGGGCTGTAAGGTGGACACAGAGAGAGAGAGAGAGAGAGAGAGAGAGAGAGGGTGGGCCCATCACCTCTTGGTGAGAATAGAACAAGGTAGAGACGAGTAGAATTTAGGGGGGAGAGAGAGAGAGAGAGAGAGAGGATCAACCAGATTGGGAGGCCATCTACTCGACTGAATTCAAAAAGGACAATCAATGCTTACAACTCTCTCTCTCTCTCTCTCTCGCTCTCGTATCAGGAGCCGGGGAGGAGCCTGCCATTGTACATCTTGTCCAGCAGCTTGCGGGCCTCGGGCCTCCGCAGAAGGCCCTTGTTGTTGGGCAGGCCCGTCCCCAGGCAGACCGGGCATACCAGCTTCCCCCGCCCTACTCAAAATCACCACAACCCCACAGGTTCATCATTCATCGAGGATAATAATAATAATAATAATAATAATAATAATCAACGAAAATCCCACAAGATCACAAGATCATACCCATCCATCACTGAGGATCATCGTCAGCAGAGAAAACCCGCAAGATCATGAATCGTACCCGTAATTGGGGATAATAATGATTATAAGAAGAGAAAAAACCAGCAAGATCATGGATTGTACCCATAACTAAGGATACATAATGAGCAAAAAAAAAGAAAAAAAAAAGGAAGGAAAACCCAGAAGATCATAGATCATTCCGATAATTAAGGATAATAATCAAGCGAAAAAAAAGGACCCACAAGATCATAAATCATACCCATAGTGGAGGATAATAAGCAAGAAAAAAAAAAAGACTAGGCCACAATGTCGCAGTGGAAATGATTGGGTATGTTGGAAGGGTTTGAGCATCTGATCTGAAAAGGATCATGTGTGGGTGGGGTAGTGGACCGATATATTGTTCCTTTCAATGTTAGAGTTCATTTTAAAAATAAAAGTAGATTTTTTTTCCATGATTTAAACGCTGATAGAGTCATAATTGGATCAAAAAATATATTTTTTACTGTTTTAAGGGCGATATAAGAGTTATTATGAGGTAAAATAGAAGCTTCACACTTTTTAAGGGCTATATAGGAATCATAAGATAAAATATATGACATAAATTTAAAAATACATTTTTTTCATGGTTTGATGGGTGATGTGAGAATTACTATGGAATAAAAAATAGAATTTTCATGTTCTGAAAAGGAGATACACGAATGATTATCAGATAAAACTGCATTCATTTAATGCATTTGGAGGATAACATACGAACTATTATGAGATGAACGGTAATATAGGAATTATTCCGAGATTAACGGAGACCAGTTCATGTTTTGAAGGGTAATGTGGGAATTATGAATACATAAAAATAGAAAAATTCTTTTGTTTCGAAGGGTGGGGTATCTGGTGAGAACATACCATAACAATTGGGGCATTCGGTGAACTCGTAGACGTCCTTCGCTCGCTTCCTGTTGAGAGCTTTCCACTTCCCTGTGCCACCACACATATCGCCTGGACCACAAGCAAGGGGAGACTTGATGGTTTGGAATTAGGCCCCATCTTACATATCATACTTGACCCTATTTTCTGTAAATCTTTGAAGGTTTATGTCGTCTACGTTGGTTTTATCAGATCATCTCCTTGTGATCACGAGAAGAAAATAAACAACAAAGAAAGGTATACCAAACAGTATGGGTTTTTTTGTGGACAGAAACTCACAAAATTAATGGATATATATGCTATTTTTCTGAACCACTAAGGGGAAACAATGCCAGTATATCTAGCAACATGAATTTTCTTTTCATGAGAAGAAATCAACGAGATTAATGAAAATATATATGTTTTCAACCGCCTGGGGAAAGAGACAATAAATTAAAATTCCACACAATAATTATGCAAAATCACTAATTTATCATCCAAAAAGCTCACACGAAATTTGCTAGTTCTCTAAAACCTGATGAGTTGGATCGCCTCTCAACTCTTTTGGTCAGTACATTGAGGAAATGAACGGGTGAAATCGCCCAAGAAAAGCAAAACAAGATCAAGGAGGAGAGCTTCATTCTCACATATAATGGCACCGCTGCCCCCACAATTCCTGCAGGCAGCCCTTTCTGTCACAGTGGCACCATTCATCACATCAGCACCTGATCCTTTTGCTGCAGCGGCCGAGACAGCAGGCACATTTATCAGAACTAAGCTTGAGCATATACACGTCATGTATTTGCGTCTTGAAGTTAGGGACTGCTCATCCTGATATAGAAAATGGGATGCTCAGCTCAAGGGACAATAAAACATCAAAGTTGCTTATTACGTAAGGATTAAACCTAAATAAACAGTGTCTCGAATAATGGTCATTTTCTAATCCTACTTATAAATTCACAATTAATGTACGAATCATTGTGTGAAAAAGGTCTCGAATCCACCAGAGGAAGAGATTATAGACATTCTCAACTCAACGATACACTCATTAATCATAGTAATCCACAATAAGCATAAGGATATACATGTCTATATACAATTCGTTATAAACACATCCCTTTATATGCATACTTAATAATGTATTGACATTGGTTCTTTGATAATGTTTTATTTAAATACTCATTTATAGTGTGTATCAATGAACTGAGAATGCCTAGAACCTCTTTCTCTGCTGGGTTTTGAGTTTCAATGGCCACGAAGTTTGGCTCCTCCTGATGTACACAGGCACTTAATCATTACATTTCATCATAAACATCAGGATATACATAGGCATATATAACTCATCATAAGTGTGCGTGCATAACTGTATATATATATATATGTATATATAGCGAGCGAGAGAAAGAGAGAGAGAGAGAGAGAGGTCAAATCCCACATCAAAACTTAAGATACCTTTTAGAAAAAATTGATGTGGAAATTAAGGAGAGGGCACCCTCAGTCTCAGTGAAACCCTGCCACTTCTCACCACAGAAGACAGTTTCTAGAGTCATACGGCATGGCATGAAGGTTAATGATTTACACTCCAATCGTTCATCAGGATTGCCATGAAGGCAATGTCTCCAGCACAGAATAGCCTGTTTACTCCACAGAGTTCCCAAGAGGAGTAGGGATATAGAGATACTTATCTTCGGCAGCAAGAAAATGGAAAGGCTACAGCAAACATTGTATTATAGGTTTTTTGAAATTGTGGACCACTTGATTTATCAGGTAGAGATAAGACTGATACAGTCGATAGAGACAGATCACTAAACAGTAAGTGACGTATTTGCATATAATTCCTGGAAGGGGCATTCTGTGTTCATATGTGGATCTGCTGCATTCTTATATTTTAAGAGGCAGTGCTTGCTTTGGGGCTCTGCCATTTATTTCCGCCATTTATTTTAAGAGGCAGTGCTTGCTTTAAGAGGTAAGTGGATCTGCTGCATTCATTCTTGTAAATGAAAATTTCCGCCATTTATTTTATCTGATTAGGGCTCATAATCAATAAATCAAGCAAGGACCTGTGATGAAAAATCAGATGACTTCATAAACTAGAATCATTCTTCATCTATTTGCTTCATCCAATCAAGTTTCACCGTTGCCTTTGAAATCGGACGATAGAGAAATATTATGTACTTATACCCTAGTATAAACCTCAAGATGTCACGTAAATTTGTCTTGTAATGAGGACTCCCATCATTAAGTGAAATATCCACAGCCAATTTTCATGTCTTCAGACTAGATTCATCAGATGATGATCATACAATGAACTCACTCGCCTCCTTTCATTGATCAATTTCACAGATGTTATCCTCAGATAACAAAAGAAAAATGGAATCCACGATAAAAAATAAAAAAAGATAGTTAAATGGTATCGAATTACCACAACCAGTGACGACAAAAAAATTCAGAGGACATATCGTAACGAGTTTAAATCGAATCGAAAGGCATCGGGATAAGGAACTAAACATGCTAAATCCGACCTGCATCTTTGACGCGTCCGGCGAAGATTTGTGTTCAGTGGGCGTCTCAGGCTCATTCTCCAAGCTGAAGCAGACACGAGTCCTAACTGAGTTGGAGATTGAAACCACAAAAACAAGAAAATAATAGAAAATTTAACTTCATTAATCCATCTTATAACACAGCAATATCCCCAGAATTATTTTAAAAAAACTACTAAGTATGAGCGATAAATATGCCGCGTATAAACCATCATTCCCTATACATCCTAAAAAAACATGGAACCTTACTATCGTTTGGAAGAATTCTTCACACATAGGTAGAATAAAATAAGTACAGCGTGATTCAGAGCATAAATGGGGGTTAGGGGTTGGAGGAATCAAGGGGAAGGAGAGAAACTCGTGAACAGGGGAACAGAAAGAAGCTCACGTTTCCTCCTGCCGAGGCCAACGTTCGAAGGCAATGGAGGGAGCGCGCTGGAGCGTAAAAGGGAGGACAGGTGCGAAGCACCTCCCATGTCAACTGCCCACCTCCTCTGTCCCTCACCTTTCCTCCCTGTTTTCTCGGCGCCTGGAGAAGAAGGAAGAAGGAAGAAGAAGATAGGCTCGATCGCGTGCGGCCCCTCACACGGGGGATAACGGTGCGTGATCCAATCGTGAGATCTTTTGATAATGCAATAGAGCGTCCGTTCAGCACGTCATACGGATCTAGTTAATGGGACAGGCCACGCCTTGTGTGGCTGACAAAGCCCAGACCCATTAAGATGCACTGGCCAAGTCAACCTCTACGTGTGCGTGTATGCCACATAAAGAGAGAGAGAGAGAGAGAGAGAGAGAGAGAGCAAGAGAGAGAGTATCCGAAGAGGAATATGTGAGTAGTTGTGGCTCAAGCTTGATTATGTAAAGGTTATCATTATGTTCTTGAAAAATGATGAATTTTTGAGGGAGGATGGAAAATCAATAATTCTTGTATAATTTTTAGAAGACACTTAGATTTAAAGATTATTCTCTCTCAATGATTTTCTACATTCAGTGTGTTGATGAAAAGGGTTAAATCATAAGTTTATATTAACTTCAAATGAAGAGATATATGTATTTATATAGGTGAGAGAAAATAGAGAGATAATGGGCCTAAGTGGGCCATGTAGAGGAGGATGTCCAAACACTTCTCCTCAAGTTAGATCATATAAGTCAAATATGCCCAGATTAATACATATAACATTATAAAACACTTATATAAGGCTCTTGGTAAAGATGTCCACAAAGTGGTTGAATGAAGTGACATGTGATACAGAGATAACTCATGTTAAAACTTTGTCTCGAATATAGTGACAATCAATTTCGATGTGCTTGATCCACTTATGAAATGTGAGATTTTCGGCGATGAAGATTACTCTTTGATTGTCATAATGATAAGTACAAGTGTCTGAAGAGTGACACCTAAGTTCTCTAGAAGAAAGTAAAGTCATACCATCTCACACATTGTCACAGTCATAACATGATATTCAACTTCTACATTGGAACAAGTGACTAGGTTGTCACTAACATAAGTACAGTAGTTAGTCATTGACTTCTGATCTCCTTTGTCACAAGCTAACCCAGTATCTAAGTAGGCTTCAACATGTAGGTGATCATGACGTATGTAGATGAGCCCCTTCCCTATATCCTATTTGATATATAGGCTAAGACATGTAGTGCTCCCTCCTAACAGACTTGACGAGGCTCTTGTATAACTTAATTGAGAACATTGATTGTATACATGATGTTACGATGAGTAACAATGAGATATATCAGTTTTTTCAATAATCGTTGATAGTGATTAACATCTTCCATCAACGGTGAAGTAAATCTTAGGACTTCCAATGCACTTCTATAAGTGATGACTCCGATTTACAACCAAGAAGCTTTGTTTCCTAAAAAAACTCAATGACATTTATTATGAGATAAAATTAACTTGCTTGACTGATAAGTAAACTCTATCTCAAAAAAGTAACGCATTGCCTAAGTCTTTTATGACAAAATGTTGCTATAGATAAGATTTGTTGATAGAGATGCATGCCTCACTCTATGTCATAAAAATGTCATCAACAATATATGACTAGGATGACTATACCATTAGGTGTGGTCTTCATCTAGATAGTGGGGTTAGTAATTCATTGAGTAAAGTCAAAGGTAGTAAGAAAGTCATTGAATTTCACAAACTATGCTCGAGGAATTTGCTTGAGTTCGTATATAATATGTTGAAGTAAGCAAAATTAGAAAAACTCTCCTTAAGTAATATATCCTAGAAGTTACTCTATAAAAATTTTCTCATCTAAGTCACCATAGAAGAAGTCATTAGACACATCAAATTGATGAAGTGACCAATCATGATGCACTGTCTCCCCGTACACTATCTTCTTACCGCACGTCATCTCCTATTGTGTGCTGCCATTTGTTGTACATTCTTACACTTGCATTAGTACGTTATTTTCTATTATCATTATGGACCAAGATAGTGTATTTTCTTTACTTCATACACCTTGGCCCACAACCCTACTTCTAGTTGAAATATCTTTGTCATCGACACTCCTTTCCTTTGCAACACTCCATCACAACGCAACTAATTCGGCTAGCATACCTCTTCACCGGTCTCAATTATGTGTCATGGACATCGGGTTTCAAATATGTCTTTACATCTCACAGTTTGCTTCATCATCTAACGAACGATCCACTGGTCATCATTGACCCCAACCTATACTTCTTGGTCCCAAATTAACTTTATTATAGTCACTTGGATGCTTCAAAGTATTGAATGGACTATCAATTGAACCTTTTGCTCGTATCAAGCCCGTTACTTAATTTTTAACCATGTTGGAGATCATATATGCCAACAAAATAAATATTAGTTGTACCATGTAGTTATTTGACTCTCTTCTCACCTGTAAGCAAAATAATCTCTCACTCTAGGTAAACTTTGGATGACTTTAGTCGATCATTTAAGAGTTATCTCTTTAGCACCCTCCAACCACCAACCTTCGGATCTTTGAGTAATATCATCAAGAATTCTACGTTAGTATATATCTCAATGATTTACATTCGGACATGTCACCATAGGTTATAACTTTAGTTTGCAGTCAAAAAACCCCGTTTCGTGAAGGCCAAAGGCATATTTCTTTTGAGATAAAACTACCTTGCCGGACTAATAAGCAAACTTTATCCTAATGAAGTAGCAAGATGTCCCTAAGTCTCTTGTGACAAAGTGTTGCTACAAGTAGGCTTTGGTGGTGGAGATGACTATCTCATCACTTTTTGTCACAAAAATGTCATATAGTTACATCGTGATAGAGTGCCGTAAAAGAAAGAATGCCGACAACAGTGACACTTCGACTAGAAGTAGGGCCGTGGGTCAAGGTCCTTAAAGTGGAGAAGATGTGTTATCTTGATTTATAATGATGACGAGAAACAAAACACTGATGTAAATAGAAGAACGTGTAGCAAATGATAGCAAACACTAAGAGACGACGCGTGGTGAGAAGATAATGTGGCGAGAGGCGGTGTAGTAGGAGACAATATAATGAGATACGAAGAGATACTACAAGATACTGTGAGATACTGTGGTGGTAGATACCATGAGAGCAGGAGGGGCCACGGTGACAGATGTCGCGACAGCCTAGGCAACGACAACAAGAGGGGGCTGTAGTGGCAGAGGGCTGCGACGGTAGGGGCCACAATCATAGAGATTGCGATAGTAAGGGGCTGCGGTGGTAGGGTAAGTGTTGACATGCTGGTTGCACATGATGTAATAGTAGATTTCAGTGATGCAATTGATGACGGCGTGCAGTAGATGGCAATGCACAGTAGAGGATTGCACACATAGAGAGAGGAGAGCACGTAAAAGATGTGGTGGCAGCAACATGATGACAACAACGACGGTTAGAAAAAAACCCTAAGACTATGATACCATGTTAACGAGAAGGCTTAAATCCTAAGATTAGATTAACTGTAAATGAAGAGATACATGTGTTTATATAGGTGAGAGAGGAGAGAGAGAGATAATGGGCCCAAGTGGGCCACACAAAAGAGGATGTCTAAACATAGTGGTCAAAATTTCTCCTGAGACCACCTCTAATAAGATCTCCTTCCTCTAGTAGTCGAAGATATCTCCCATCTTATGTACTCTAGATCAAAATAATAACCTAAAAGAAGAAAAGAGAGAGTTTCTCCCCCTCCTTTTAAGACTTTGAAGTGTTGTAGGAGAAAAATATATATATTGGGGAAGGCATTCAACATTTTAGGAGAGCTCCTTCTCCAAGGAGGAAAGAGAGGATTGCTTCAATAGAGTTTCAACTTGTAAAGAAATAAATATGTAAACCTTACTTGTCTTTCTCATTACATGTTCCTATTAACTTCAAGAAGATAAGACATTCACTCTCCAAACATTTCGTTTACAAGTTACCTAAGAATTATTCTTCTTTGGTTATTTCTTCACATGGGCCACTACTATTTTTAATATCGATGTAGAAGATATTTTCTTTGAGCCACGAAACAATGTAGCACTTATTGAACTATGTTATAAGTAAATTATATTTAATTTTTCTATCAATTTGAGATTATACAATATTGTGTGATATTTAATATTTGAAAATACTTATTTTTATTAGAGAAATACATTTGACATCTGTTTTCCCTGATTTTTTTGTTGGTTATTTTCACAATTACAACTAGTATTTGAATCCAACTTTGGCAACTTTGATATTATTTAGACTCTACATTGAGATTTGTTTGTCATAATATTTAGTATTAGTTAAAAGCTACTATTAATCTGATTTTCTAAAAATATCGATGTCAAAGTTTGATGTTGAAAATTCTGATGAAAATATCCATTTTGGCATGTGGGATAATAAAGTAAAGATAATTCTTGAACAACATGGACTTTACAAAATTAATTATTATTTATAGAGTAAAAATAGAGAAAATCATAAAGATTAACATGAGTTAGATTTTAAAACACTTAGTATAATATATTGTGTCATGAGATGATGTATACCATTGTCGATGTAAAAGTTATGGTTGATTTATAAAACAAATTAGAAATGTTTTACATTTAAAAAAATTGTTACAATAAGTTATACTGAAGAATAAATTATATAATTTATGTATAAGTGAATGAATAAATCTATTAAAATATATGAATATTTTTGACAATTTAATATCATGGCTTTGTCATTTGGAGGTAAAGATGGAGGAAAAAGATTGAGTTATTATCCTTCTTTCATTCTGACCTCAATCTTATAATCATTTAGTAGCTACCATTTTATATGGTAAAGACACTTTAAAAATATAAGAGATTAATTTTACATTATTATCAAATTATGTTAGACATGAAGCTCCCGTAGGTAATGAAAATCTAGTTGTTAAATGAATGGGTCAAAAAAGATAACATTAGAAAAATTAAGATGATCAGAAAAATCATTTACTACCAAAGTTGAAGGAAAATGATATATGCAACCACTAAAAAGAATGTCTACCCAAAGAA